GCTGATATCTTATTAGCTTATTATAATATATAACTAAGGAACCTCGCTAGCTTTAATATTTCAATATCTTTACTTTAATATATATTCTTACTACTATAGTTTTATTATACTTCTTTCCTATAGTTAATTAGATAGTTATTCTGATACTTAGAAATAATAAGATTAAATAAATAAGTATAGCTAATACCTTTGAAGTCTTCACGAAAGAACTAAGACTAGTGTAATTGTAAAAGCTATCTCTAGCGTACTAATCTAACCTTTATAGAAAGAATTAAGACTATATATAATATACTACTCTTAAAGCTGTATAGTATTATAGATACTACTTGTAACAAGCCTTTACTATATAATAAAGTCATGTCTTTATATTTAAAACAAATATTAAAGTATCTTTCCTTAGACTAAGACTATACCCTTTAGGAAAAGCAAGTATCTACTTTAAGAAAGCTAATATTTAATAAAGGAGATACTATCTTAATTGCTTGTACAAGCTTTAGTAAAAGTATTATATTTCAATTATATTACGTTCTTACTCGGCTTATCTGCCTCTAGATAACTCTACTAAATCGACTTAGTAAAGAATACTTTTTTAATATTAAACTACTTACAGTAACTAAACTATATCTCTTAATAAACGAGACTAAGCATAATAACGATTTACTATTATAGTATATTATAGATAGTATATATAATTATATTCTGTTATCTCTTAAGTAAGCTATCTTTAAGGACTTCTGTAAAATCCTGAAATTACCTAGCTTTAATAGCAGGGTTAGACTTATAGCTATTAACGAGCTATATTTCGTCAAGTAATAGAAGGACTTTCGAGTATAATTTACTATATTAGGAGAGCTCTAATTAATACTACTTAAAAATACCGTATAGTTTAGATATATAATAATATTACCTTTAGATATATTATATTAAACACTTTATATAGTAGGCTTTAAGAAAGTCACTACAGAGCTATTACTATACACGACTACTATTATTCGTACTTTAATCAATAGGCAAGATATATCCCTAGTAGTTATACTTATCTTACGAAAGAAACTTACTATTTTTAACTAACTATACTACTTACTAGACTAGGCTATTAAAGTCGATATATAAGAAATCATACTTAAGAAAATTCCTAAGATAATTATCTTTATTAATAGTATTAAGTAATACGAGTAACTTACACATTAGCTATAACACTACTTTATATTAAAGATAGCTACTGAGTTAAGAAGACGTTATATAAATAATACCTTAGATAATATTATTAAGATTATACAGACCTTTTACTCTCAGGTTTCTTAATTAGATAAAGATTTAAGATATAACGCTTTTTATATCTTAAGTTCTACCTATAGACTTATAATCGCTATAACCTTAATAAGAACTAGGATAAATATTCTAGATATTAGATAAGTAATAATATGAAAGTTACTAATCGATCTAATATTAAATAAGCTCTAGTAACGAGTAAGACATAACAGTTAAGGAGAAGGATATACCTGCAAAGTATATGTATTTGTACTATATTAAGTGATAAATAATAAAGGGAAATATCTAAAACTAAAGGCTATAGGTTTTAATATAGCTCTAAGTCTTAAGGTTTTATTACAAAAGCTAGTGTACTAAAACCTTTATTATCTGTTACCTGGGAATTATATTATAATACAGACTTAGTTTAGACTTAAAGAGACTACTTTTATTAGCAAGGTACTAAATAATATATATCTAAGTGATATTAAATCAGTTAATAGTAATAAGAGTACTACAAGTGATACTAATAAAGCTAAACCGACTAATACTATAAATAACAGTAAGAGGCTTAAAGTATAGACTTAGTCTAAAATAAGATCTAAAGATAACCTACCTACTATATATAAAAAAGTATATAATATAGCGTGTTAGCAGAACGTGTTACTAAAGCTCTTAAGTGAATATCTACTTTTAATTAAGAAGAGAAACTATCCTTTAAAGCGTAACTATTATATAAGGTATAACCCCGACTTAACCCCCTCTTTAATAGAGTTACTACCTAAGTCTTATATAAGACTAGACGTGTTAAGGAAGAGTAGCTATAGAGCTTTCGCTCTTTAGATATTAAAAGAATAATATACTAAGTATACTCTTCTCTTTAACTTTTTATTCCTAAATAGTCGTTTTTATCTAAAGCCTGAGATATTTATACTAAGCTTTACTATTCTTATATTAGCTGTAGTATATACTAATTAAAAGTCTAATTATAAGAAGCTCGGCTAATTAATATAGGATAAGTTAATTGTAAAAGTTCCCTAGCTTAATAAGTAGGAATATAAAGAGAGCTAGAGAGTAAGCCTATTAAATAAGCTATTAATACTTTACAAAGTAGTTAAGAAGGAAGTATAAAAGGAAAGAATATTAAGAGCTATAAAGAAGAGAGCTAGTAAAGAGTACACTACTAAAAGTAATCGAACTAGCGATTCTCTTATACTTACTTTTAATATAATATAGTCTTTATAAGGTCTAGCGCTTACTACGTTAAACAATAAAGTACTACCGCCCTCTTCTTATACTTTACAAACTCTATCTTATTACTAATTAATATCACTAATCTCTTTATAACCGTTCTTATTAGTAAAGGATATAAATATAACACTAATCCCAAGTCTAAGTAAGATTAATTAGTCACTAAGAGCATATTAATCGCGCTATTCGACTCTCTTACTAGAGTGCCCTTTAGTGTCGCTTATAGATAGCTTAATAATAAGATAGGCTATCAAACAGTAAATATAAGTATCTCTAAGTAAAAGGTATATATAAGAAATACCGAAAAATAAATATCTAGCTAATATTAAGGAAGGACTTAAGAGGACTAGCAAATAGCTTAGTCTATTATACTAATATAATAAGAGACGCTAAGAAGGAAGTACTAGTCAGCGAGTAGATATAGTGCCTAAAGAGTAAGTTAAAGTAAGTAGACTAATTAAAGACTTAAATATAAGGAAAAGAAATAAGATAAGCTAACTATAATACTAATACTTAATATAAGTACTAAATATTAATACTTAGATAGTAATCTAAAGTAAATTAAAGTAAGTGGGCTAATAAGAGATAAGATAATATATAATATAATTTAATTAATACTAAAAAACTAGAGTATAGATAAGAAACCGAAGTAAGTTAAAGTAAGTGAAATAAATATAAGGCGGTAGCTAGTATCTACCTTAATACTTAAACTTATATAACTCTTATAAGTAATAACTTATTAAACAAAGAGTAATATGATATTACTCGCTATAATTATCTTACCTTATTAAGGGGTTAGTAATAATATCTAGGCGTGTAGTTAAGAAATAACAGAGGCGTTTCTAGCTAAAAAGGCGTGAACGTATAAGCGCAGGAACGCCTACTTAGCTATAACTTTATTAATTAATAAGCTATAATTAAAAGGATAACGTAAGGCGACTCTATATACTTTTCTTATCCTTAGATATTAATTCGTATTATATAAGAATACGTAGTTAAGAAATCGTAGAGGTGTTTTTAGCTGAAAAAAAGTAAGCGTAAAAGCATAAGAACGCTTACTTAGCTATAACTTTATTAACTAATAAGCTATAATTAAAAGGACAACATAAGGCGACTTTATATACTTTTCTTATCCTTAGATATTAATTCGTATTATATAAGAATACGTAGTTAAGAAATCATAGAGGTGTTTCTAGCTAAAAAAAGGCAAGGGTCTATATTAAGTAACACTTACTTAGACGTAACTTTATTAATTAATAAGATATTATAAAAAGAATAATAAAAGGTAATCAGGTATATCTTTTTAATCCTTAGAAGATATTCAGGTTTATATATAAAGGTATTATTAGAAAATACTAAGGAGGTTTTTAGTTAGATTATTCTACTAAGTATAAGCAAGAAATTAATACCTTAGTCTTAGCACGTATACTTTATCTTTAAGGAAATCAATATAAGTAAAAATAAATATTTCATTAAATAGATAAATAGATTACCTATTATCTATAGTGTACTTAAAGTTATTTAAATAGTTATATATTAAGTTATAGTAAAGTAACTAAAGAATTAAAGTCGGCTTGAAATTAATCTCTATATAAATCAGTATTATTTTCCCTTAGACACTTTACAGCGAGAAAACCTACCTAAACTCACACGTTACCTGATTAAGCAGTAGCATAGCGCTAAAGAGTAAGTTAAAGTAAATAAACTAATGAATAGTCTATACGTAGTAAGTAGAGGTAAATAGACTAATAGCGACAATAAGTCTATACACACCTAGGCGGGCGGTTTTTAAGCAAGAAGTGGCTATCTGAGATAATGTTCGGCACGAGGCCGACTCTTCTCAGGTATCACGAGGCTGATGACCGTCTCACCATTAATTTCTGTTTCCTTGAAATTATGTGTGGCTTTGAATGTCCTAAGCTATTGTGTAAGATCCCATCGAGAGGTGTAACACACCGTTCATCAAAACAGATACGGATTTGCAGTCCCTGCATGTGAAAGTCGCCATTCTCCCAGTCAGGCGTTCTTGGGACATCTTGAGGGTGTGCGAGATTTTGCCCATCCAGGAATATCTTGTGCTCCGCTGGTGGTTGGTAGGTGAGAGGGAGGCCAGTACTATCACATGTTTAAAGATTCACAAAGACCGCGCAGTATCGCCAGCCTTCGCACGCCGTACGTGCAAAGGATTCTCAAGTCAAGTTCTCGCTTTCGTTTTCGCTGAAACCTCATGCTCTATTCTCTTTGCCTATCTAGCTTGAAAAGCAAAAGCTCTATAATTGAAAACAAATGGGTATACGCTTGTTACGAAAAACGCCGAGTTCCCCCTCAACAATAGGAGGCTTGGATACGTTCTAACGCCGAGTTCGTAAATCATCCCATGCCCCACCACCAGAAGATTGTCATCCGGAATCACAAGTTATAATCCCGTGAAGAGAGCCAAAGCACATGCAATGTCTCTCTCCACTCCAAACATTGCCCATTGCCTAAGTCTTCCCGCTCTAGTAGAGTTTCCCATCTGGTCCCTCAACACCCTCACTTGAAGCCAGGTTGCACTGTCTGAATAGTCGCTGTTCCTCCGGGCTGAAAGCACCAACGACTGAGTGAAGCACACCCTGGTTGTTGAACAGAACGCAGTCGCCTTCCTCCCAGTCATGTGGATAGACATATTTGGGAGAGATGGCAGGACGCTGCAAGCGGTGCACCAAGTCTCGGACTTCCTTCAAATCTGTCATCACCTCCCCATTGGGCAGATGAATAGCCTTAATGGCGCTGGGGTGGATCTGAAGGGCCAGGTTACCCGTGACAGGATTCTTCCAGCACATGGGCAGGATCTTGATGGCAGCCTCGTCAAAAGGAGGAAGCTCGGAAAGAGGAAGCTCGGTGCCTTCGGACACCATTCCCAGGCCATCCGATCTGCTCTTTGCTGGAGACATCCAAATGTAGGGGTGCGGAGCGTATTCGACTTTAGCGTTGCGGACGAACTCCTTGTCCTCCTCGCTTAGGATGTTGTACATGTTCTGACCGGAGACAAAAGCCGTGGTCCCAAGTGGTACATCCATCTCCTCACCCGTACCATCATCATAGCGGAGAGTCTGTCGTCTACCTGCTGGGACCTTGATGGCGATGAGGGAAGTGACCTTAGGTGGATTTAGAGCATAGAGCGCCGCATCTATGTGCCACCTGTAAAACCGTGTGAATTCCAGGTCATCCTCCTCTGGAATAGCGACTTTGTGGAATGTCTTGTGGTGAGGATGGACAAGTTTGATGTTTTTCAAACCCTCGTACTCGTCATAGAGACCATTGCCGATGACTTGGACTTGAGGCTGATAAGGAATAGTCTTGAGATCCGGATGGAGCACAGAACGCTTTGCATCAAGAGTTTTGCCGTGGCCGTAACTCTCAGAGGTAGGATCGAAACGTTTGGTGAGTTGGTATTGCGCCTTTGCTGAGAGAGAATGTTGGTTCTTCAGGACGACAACGTGAGACTGGTAGAGCGAATTACGGATTATCTGGAAATCTGCTTCCGAGAGATTCTCCAAATCGGCATTGTGAATCTCAACGCCAAAATCAACGGCAGAATCTGGGTTGGGCGGTTGGAGGGGGCGAATTTCGAGCACCTTGACAGCCATTGTAAAGATTTCTTTGGTAGAGAAGCTGCTATTCTTGATGTGAGGTGAATATTCTTCAGACAATGGAGGGATCTCTCCTTGTCTTTATATTCGCCCAGGCCGGCAGGCACCGAGCCTCAGCATCTGTGTCCACAGCTGATGGATACTTCGCACTTCAGCGACCCGCTCTATCAGCTATCTGCGCGGATCGACAACCTATGAGATACTGTGAGAGCTGTTGTGCTGCCCGCGGGGCCCGGTAGGCGTGAAAGGGGACAATCAGAATCTTTGTCGTTCATGCCCGCATGGCGGAGCTCGCCGAGGCCGTCGCAACAGGTAGGAGAAACGTCTTGAAAGTAAGGAAATAGCTCATAGTGGCACAACTAATCAAGCGGAGATAAGAGGGAAACGAGATGATACGAAAGGTATTAGTACATTCGTGATCTGATAGACAGAATGGATTGAATTGCAGCTTCGAAACAAACACTTATGGCTCAAGCCATTGCAGCAAACAAGACTGGGAAATGGAATGTGAAATCAACCATGATAGCTATCTACCTACTACGAGGGTATGTAATTTCGTTCGCCAAAGGCGACTTTCGTTAGATGTTTCCAAAATATTCCTGCTGTGGTAGACGAGAGTTGTTGTTGTTGAAGTCACAGTCCTCCTTCAACTTCACGGCCCGGCAATCGCAGACCCCTGTTCACGCTACGAGTTCGGACACCTTTCAAGACTCAAGTCAGCGAGGTACGCGGCTGAAGCTCAGAATTCCACCACCACACGAAATTCCATATCCAACAATGCGATTCCTACGCTCTTTAATTCCTTCTTTACTGCTGCTCGGTGCGGGCGTGGCAGAGGCAGCTACTTGGGGATTTGACGAAGCTGTCATCTCGGTCACTGGCAAGGGCGGTGCTGGCAGCGCATTCAAGGACAAGTACGTCGTTTGGTCAACTTCTCGAGCTGGTTTGATGAGCACGAATTGATTTGATTTCATGCTGACCAATTGGCATAGACTTTCTGATCATGTTCCTCTTGCAAAACCAGTTACATTAGGCGCTTCCGATTCGCTGAAGATTGTCTTGTCGGCGACAGAAGATGGAAAGGCGAAGAGACCACATCAGGCATTCCTCTTGCTCCGAGATCAGGATACGGGATTAGAAGCCACATTTACTTTTTCGGTGAAGGAGAATGGCAAGGGAAAAGTTGACTTTGTAAGCTGTTCAGACTGTACCATGGCAAGCAATCGCTAACTCGGTTACAAGACTCAAAAAGATCTTCCCATCCAACTCCTCACATCCACCCAACCCCTCCGAGCTACCCTTCTTCTCGCATCCTTCGGCACTACCCAGGGCTTCAGCAACCATGTCTTTGACCTGGACGTCAAGTTAGACGCTAATGTCCCTCTGCCAAAATACGAGGCGCCCTTGAGATACGGCCAACGAGAGGAGATCCACCATATATTCAAGGCAGACCCCAAGAGTGGACCAAAGATCATTTCCATGTTCTTTGTCCTCGCAGTACTGGCTACTGTGCCAGTTCTCTTCGGAGCCGTAAGCTTGCTCCCCAAGGTCATTTAACCAGTACTGACAGAATGCAGTGGGCATACCTTGGAGCCAACGTCAGCCACCTTTCCAAAGCCATTGGGGCCGCACCGATCTCGCACAGCTTGTTCTTTGGATCAATCTTGTCTATGGAGGGCATCTTTTTCCTCTACTACTACAACTGGACCTTGTTCCAGACATTGCCAGCTGCGGGAGTGGTTGGCCTGGTAGCCTTCTTGAGTGGTAGCAAAGCCTTGTCTGAGGTTCAGAGCCGTCGTTTGGCGGGAGAAAGATAGAGGGAATAGCATTTCAGTAGAAATTCGGATTACAAGAGTTCGGATGGGCTGGGGGGATAATTACATTGGGGCTTATAAAAATAAAGGGAGCGTGTGTCAACTGGAATATGTCAATGTACAGTATTACAATGTTGCAACGAGAGCGGCTGGAAGAAGAGCAAGACTTTCAAATGAATTGTCGTGGCTGTGATGGCGTCCGTCCCAAGGTTGGACCGACCTTCATCAGTAGCTGGATTGTTTTGGCACTGACCTCGCTTAATTCAAATGTCACCAAATACTGTGACAACATAAACATTCTCTTCAGGACAATCATATAGTGTCGATTCCTGAGGGCCTCTGATGTTCGATAAGGTGCCTACGTTCCGAGCTGCGATCTCGCTGTCTATTCATGCCCGGATCTCACAACCCAACGCAAGCATCAGACCCTCGCAACCTCATAAAGATCTCCCCCAAACTAGACAGCCACAAGCACTCCACCATTCTCAGATTTCTCAATTTATCTTCGCCTTCGAGAAATCCATTTCTGGATGGGATTTCATGAACTGCTTCAACATGTCCTGCTTCTTCTCCTCGTCACTTGTCGGCAAGCCCGCCTCCTTCTGCCGTTGATCATACATCATCTTCTCGACCATTCCCCTCGTCTCGCCATCCAGGTCACCCAACTTGCTATTCTCCGGCTGTATCTTGGTGACATCTATTTTGGGCGCGGTGGTTATGACGTGTTCCCACCACTGCATCTTATTGACTTTGTCAAGGTGGAGTTCGAGGAGCTTGGTGCCAGAGAGAGAGGAGACTAGTGTCCATGTTGATTCGTCGACGTAGATTTCGTGAGGAAGGTCGCCCTGTAATTTAAATTTCTTAGAATCGTCTTCTTATATGCTCCGGGAAAGTTTTCCTGGGTGTGGGGGGAAGCCTCGTACACTGATGATGGGATCTTGGCCCTTGATCGCGAGCAGCAACTTCTTCTTCTTGACCTCAACATTCAAATCTCTCGCCTTCAGGTTGCCAGGTATCTCGACCGAGACATCCAGGTCGCCGATTGTTTGGGTCCATTTGTATGGCAGAGCCGCTTGTTCCTCTTTCTCTTTGGCAGCGGCAGCAGCCTCTTGCTCCTTGGTGGGTTCTAAGAAGTTTGTTAGAGTTGATCTTTAGGGGGGAAAATCAAAATTGTTCGGATGGATTGAGCAGTAGAAAGGGACTTATGTGTTTGATTGGCACTTACCTTTGTCGTCAGCCATTGTGGTGGCTTTGTCGCTGTGGAAATGAATGCTTGGTGGGATGTTTCTGGAAACGCGGGGACAAGGCTTTGAAGTCGCCCCCCAAAATTTAGCGCGCCTTTCTTACAAAACAACAGCCTTGTGCCTCGACACCACCACCAAGCTCAACACTCCTCCACCTCACATCCTCCCAACTCGCAAAAATGCTACGAAACAATCTATCCAAAGCCCCACCCAACGACCCTTCGGAGGACATCTGCCCGGTCTGCAAATCCAATCGCTACCTCAACCCCTCTCTCCAGTTCCTCATCAACCCAGAATGCTACCACAAGATGTGCTCGACTTGCGTGGATCGAATCTTCACTTCAGGTCCAGCATCATGTCCTGTACCGTACTGTGGTAAAACTCTGCGCAAAAAAGGATTTCATAAAGCGTTCTTCGGCGACCTAAAAGTTGAGCGTGAAGTCGATATTAGAAAGAGAGTAGGTGCCATATTCAATCGCCGGCAAGACGAGTTCGAGACGCTGCTGGATTGGAACAATTACCTTGAGGAGGTAGAGAGTTTGATTTTTGATCTGGTGGAGGGCACGAGGGAAGAGAAGATCAAGGCGGAGGAGAGGTTGAAAAGATACAAGGAGAGTAATATGGGTGACATCGAGGATAATCGCAAGGCAGGATTGGAGGAGGCTGAGATGGAGAGGAGGAGAGAGAAGGCGGAAAGGGAGGCTGCGAGGCAGAGACGTCTGGCTATCATCAGAGAGGAGGAGGCTGCCAAGGCAGATGTCGAGCAGAGTCGGAGAGAGGTGTTGGAGAGATTGGCGAATACAGATGAGGATGCTCGGAAGATCACTATGCAGGCTCAGAAGATCATTTTGAAGAAGAGTGGTGCTAGGAGGGAAATGGCGCAGGCTTTGGGGGAGGCGAATGGCAGTGCTGGTAGTGGGTTGACGTTGAGAGGGCTGAAGAAGAAGGAGGCTCCTGCTGTGGAGAAGCCGTATGATCCATTCGGAGGTGTAGATCTCACGCCGTCGAGATATCTGCTCCAGGATGACTACCAGAGCGAGTGGCTCGCAAATGCTAAGTCGGATCAACGGCATATGGCGGGTGGATACAGTCTTAAGGAGTATTATGCAAGGACGATGTTCGAGGCATTTTCTGGGCTGGGAGTATTCATAGAGGATGAAGTTGCAGACAGACCACCGCCTGTTGCATCGTCTGTGGGGGCGTCTATGGCAGCGGTACAAGCGTCTACGAGGAAGTTAAAACTGGAGTCTAAAATGGAACTGGACGATGTTTTTTAGAGTGGCATTTGCAGCGGGCTTTACTGGAGTTCAAGGGCGTTACATGGTGTCTAGAGTCAGGGGTATATTGGCGCAGAATGGGCGCGTCTCAAGGGCCTTTCATTAGACGGTTAATACCAGCCGCCTGTTTCTCATCTAGCAGAAAGGTAGCATGTAATACCACATTATGCATTTTGAATGCCAACCCAATTCTTGTCCCATCTCCAAGCTGTGAAAAAGTAAAAACGACTGACTGATCTCGTAACGCCATGCTATGATTAAGGTCTCAATCAAGAAAGAAATGCCCCCCGTGCTTTCGACCAAATTATTGCTGCCATGCTTGTTGTTGAGCTGGCCGTGGAAACACCGGAACAGTCTCCATATTATCAAGTCCACCCCCAATTGGCTGCTGGTTATGCTGCCAGCCTGATCCTGTAGCTGTGTTGACGAACTGGCTTTGACGGAATGGGTTCGTACTTCCAGTGGGCTGTGGCATCAAGCCTCCGCTCGTTTGGGGTCGCTGAGCCAAGTTGTTCATGACAATGTTCTTTGCAAAGGGATTCGTCCCAGTAGCCATTGGTCGAATCGGTGCAGGGGTCTGTTGCTGCTGGACTTGTTGTTGCTGAAACTGCTGGTCAGGAGGTGGCGAAAATGGTTGCCCGACGGGAGATATAGACTTCGCGAATGGGTTGGTGGATTGGTGGGTGACGGGGGAAGTGATGGGAGGCGAGGCTGGAAAGCTCGGTCCAGGCATTCCTGTAGGATTTGCCATCATCGATTGACGGAACGGATTGGTCTGCTGAGCTCCAGTCTGCATGTTCCCCATAGCCATCTGCTGTTGTTGGAAGGAAGGAGAATCCTGGGGAATTGAGGAAAGGTTTCCAGGTTGGAATGAAGCTTGAGGCGTATATCCTCCAAACCCAGCCCCTGTAAAATTCGTTTGGACTTGAGGCTGTTGCTGAGCACCTCCAAATCCGGTATTGAAGGGCTGTTGCTGATTTGGCTGGCCGAATGGATTTGCACCTGGGAACCCGGTTTGTTGTTGCTGAACAAATCCATTCTGTTGAAACTGCTGAGGCTGCACCTGGTAGGGCGCTCCATTGTTGAATTGTGGAGCTTGTTGTTGCATGCCGGCTTGGGTTGCCATCGGTTGTTGGTTCTGCTCGATAGATCCAAAGAAATCGATCAGATCTGGGTCGGGTCCTTTCGCAGGTTGGTCTGGTTTTGAGGTAACTGGTTGTGCATCAGGGAATGCCTTTCCCGCCGCGGCACGAGACTCGGAGTCACTTTTCGAAGGCGCTGAGAATGCCTTACTCGTGCCATTGGCTCGATTCGACTTCGACTCCTGTTCAGCGATGTACTGTCTCCTGTTGACCTCAAAATCTGGATCCATGAGGTAGTCCTCAAGTTGTTTCCCAAGGTTCACGGGCGCATGCTTCAGTTTCGGTACTTCGACCCGAGTCTGATGCTCATATTGTCGAGCGGTGCTGAGGTACTGAACCACGAAATCTGTTTGCTTCGTAAAGTTCTTATAAATCTCCATTGCACGTTCAGCATCTGGTCTTGACATTTCGAAAAAATGACCTATTTGGACTCAGCACAGCTAGCAGACAATTTCCGGCATATCTTACCCAGAATATTGATCATGGCTTGGTTCATTACATGGAACATGGCTAGGAGATCCAGAACGAGCATTCGAAATACCGTAATTGTGATCTCGTTCTCGGGTTCGTTATCCAGGACCTATGCATCCTTAGTAACAGAACTCTGTATCGAATCCCTAAACTGACATCGCATTTCAGCAGCGCTGTGATCTGGTGCTGAACGGTCTCCGTCTCACGCAGAAGTCCTTTGTCCACGGTCATCTTCTCTAGACGATTCTCCGCTCCTCGGACAAAGTCGGTCTTCGTTTCTCGGTACGCCCTCGCCCTTTCGCTCAGGTAATTTGTGTAATGTCGAATGTTGCGGCCCTGTGTTTGGACTTTGCCATGCTCCGTCAGCACGGTCTCAATGGAGTTGCCTTCCATGGCAAGTGCCTTTCAAAAGTTTCGCTCCAACATACCATCAGAGAAGCTGCTTATAGCAAGCATGTTCCTATGCCGTGCCAGGTATCCCAACGTCACATCCGGTGAACCCTCTCGTATCATCAGATGAACTGTGATTAAACTTTTGAATACAACTGTCCATGTCGAATCTCGTAGGCGATTCTGCAAGGCGCGGAACACCTCGGCGACCCCTGCTTCTCCAGAGTGAGTCGCAATCAGAATATGCTCGATGTATCTAATCAACAGGCAAAGTCAGTGGCGGCCTAGAAAGGGTGACTTGCGGAGGGGGTGTACTTCGACTTCGGCGGAGCGGCCTATGTGGATAAACGGTCAGTACAGTGCAACAAAAGCAGCCGCCAGATCTCTAGAGCTGTCACCGACATCCCACTTACTTTGATCTTTGTTGCCCCCTTCACCGACTTCTCGAACGAGCTCGCCATCTCAACTGAGGACGGCCCAGCGGGGGCTTGCGACAGCCACCTGTTGGCAATGGGCAGCTTCTGGTACGTCGCAGCTAGGAGATTATCAGGTCAATGGGAACGCGTTTCGTTTCTGTGATTTATCCGGTATGTTCTGTTGTCGCTGGGACAGTAGTTGGAGGATATATTTGCTTGGAGGGTTTCGAAGTTGCTGTTGATGGTGGTTCTAGGCCGGAAGCTTTGTCGCTCGGAAGCCAGCAATCCAATCTACTCGAAATGATACAACAGAACTTATTAAAGTTGCGACGATGGCCTTGTCACTAAAGCTTGCTGGCAACGTCCACAATCACAGGTGACTGAGTGAATGGCCGGTGCATGATGTAGAATTATACGCGATCCTGCGAATCCAATTTCTTTCGTATCTTGTCTGGGATGGATGGTCTGGCTCTGGGTACTGATAGTACCTCGTCTCGTTCAGTGGCAACGGCCGGCTGAGCTGGCTCTCAGTGTTGGGGCTCGCTTGTCCAAGGGTTCGTGAAGTGCAGCGGCGTCATGGGCGGGCCGTGGCTGTGATTGGTGAGTTTTAGGCTCCTGGTCAGTCGATGCGGAGGGCAGGCTCGCAGGGTTCGAGGAGGGGCTCAAAAGGTTCCGGTGCCAAGGGCGTCGGTCAGTGTAAGGAGATACCAGGTAGAAGAGGACAAGACATCCTGGATTCAATAGAATGGTTACATTATGAGTTTACACCTCTGGGAACCACGCTGATGCTGCGATCAATACACCGCGCCCGCTATTTTACTTCAACCGTGGGCAACCAACAATCCTCGGAACACTAGGTTCGAATCCTTTCCTCTCACAGATAGAAATAACTCCAAAATACCGATATGTATATTCCTCTTCGCTTGCCTGGTCTCTCCTTGCTTAGTTGGTACTTCATAAGTAATACATGATGTCCACCACCACAGCATCTTACCTGGGCCTCAACTAGGCAAGCGCGGGAGGTAAGGATATAGAGAAGATGCACTTGTGAAGGAAGCTGTATGTATCATTGGACACTGAAGGGGATTCAGATTGACGAGGGTTACGAGATGTAGCCTGTCCAAGGGGCGCGGAGCCATAGGCAGACTAAAGCCCACCGTCCCCCAGTACCGCTGGTCTCGTCCCGGAGTGTGTATGGGATATGTAAAGAAAACGGAAGGAAATTCGGGGGTTGGGGGAGTTCTGTGATTCTTTGAGATCAATGCATGAGGCCACGGATCCGACTATCCATTGTCCCCCAGAATCGATGCCTTCCAAGTTTCAAGGTTCAGAGATGCCTTCATCGCGTCCGATAGTTAACAAGATTGGTGTGTCGAACGCTTATATCACTCTTCCCATCTCCTCTCACAACCTGACCACTGAAGCCCGGTGAAGGGAGAGTCTGAGAAGCTCGAGGAGGAGGAATCGTACTCATAATAACACGCTGGCTTTTCATCATCTGCGGGACATGTTAGCAACTGCAAGCCAAAGACTGTGGACGTTGTGTTATGTTATGGGCTTACTTTTTTAAAACTTGGAAGGATGAAGAGGGAAGGAAGAAAAAGATCAAAGCTCGGCGATATGCATGGAAAATTTTGGGGACTGCGCTAGCTAGCGGCAGAGCTTGCCGCATGCGCTAATCCCCACTGGGAGAGCTTCAACCTCTGAACTCCAGTATCACTCTCGACACAACGCCTTGTTCTGGAGGAGATATGAATTTTCTTCCATGCCCTACTAAGCATCTCTCAAAGCATGGTATCCGGCGAATCCTCCAATCCATACAGGCAAGTCGCTGCGTGGCCCTTGGTGGTCCAATTTCTTCATTACGAAGATGCTTCCACCAGAGCGAGAGAATGCTGGCAGAACAAGCAGCAAAGCCGGAAATAACGAAAATTGCTGAGTCTAGATTCTGGAAAGAATACAGAGAAACATGTGAGCCCGAGCGACCTCACAAAGCGAGGGTGAAGCTGATCCAAGTCCTAGTGAACCTCGATGGCCCAAATTTCTCCCTGTCTCACGGAAGACTAATCAATGATCCTCAACTAGGAGGAAATGAGCACACGATTGTCGGTTATCTTACAAGTGTGAAAACCTTATCGGACAGTCTGGTATTTGGGCGAGTTTGGTCAGGATATGGGTCAGAGTCCGAGGACAACAGCATGCAAATAATTTGTCGAAGTCCTGAGCAATGTGCTCAACTCAAGAGCTTAAGACTTCATAGTCCTGTGAGCGTCACTGGAACTCTAGGTCTCAAACATGCCAGTAAAAAGGACAAAGAAAAACCTCGTGCAACAAAAGCAGGCACCTATTTGCTGCACCAAGTCGAGTTGCTGCCAACCAGAATTAAGTGTTTGAATACGATCACGGACGCCCATCTCACCTGCGAACATGTGTACCCGCCTACAAGTAGGCATCTGCAGATCCGTTTCGACACGGAGCTGAGACGACGCCTAAACTTTCGATCGGTAATAACTTCCTATATTAGGAATACATGTTTGAATCACTTCCAGGAAATCGAGACGCCTATCTTGTTCAAGTCAACCCCTGAAGGTGCTCGAGAGTTCCTTGTTCCGACTAGGAGGAGAGGATATGCCTATGCTCTTCCCCAGAGTCCTCAGCAATACAAGCAGATTCTGATGGCGTCTGGGATCCACAGTTATTTTCAATTTGCAAAATGTTTTCGGGATGAGGACTTACGAGCTGATAGACAGCCCGAGTTCACACAGGTAATAAATTCTTGCTAAGTATCGAACTATGACCATACCTGAAGCTAAAATTTGCGCAGATAGATATGGAAATGGCCTTTGCTGATGGCAAAAATGTTATGTACGAGGTGGAGAGGCTTGTAAAGTTAATTTATGACTTTTGTGCCTCTTGGCCGCCACGTCATGTCGACGCTGAAGCAGCAGTCATCAAAACCTCTCTGCCAGACGAGCCATTCCTTCAGATGCCATATCAACACGCCATGTCAAAGCATGGCTCCGACAAACCTGATATTCGAATCAATGCTCTAGTAGGTTTCTATGTCTCTCGTGGAGCTGCATTGAACTGACATTCAGATCTCTCCTATTGACAGTGCTGTTCCTGCTCAGCTCCGCGGAATGCTTACCTCGATTCCAAGCGCAATAATCGAGGCCTTCAAGCTTCGACTCGATGCATCTCCTAAAGAGGTTCAAAGGTTCATCCGAAAGTTCATGGACTCTCCTGAAGCCGAAACTTTCCGATCAAATCCTGATGGCGCGCCTGGAATATGTATTTTCGACTCTACGCAACCAGTTGAAGGCCTCCAAACATTTGGCTTCGATGGAGCAGAGCAATTGAAAGAAATCTGGAAAGACCAGCAAAAGACAACGTACCAAGAACAAGCTACATTTGAGAGTAACAAAAAGTTCGAAGATGGCGATTTGATCGTCATACAAGCACGTGAGAAACGTCCATTGTCGGGGGGTTCGACTGCTCTGGGCAGGCTTCGTCTGGCTATTTACAAAGCTGCCATCGCTGAAGGACTAATCCAGCCTGATCTATCTCATCGGTACCTCTGGGTGACAGACTTCCCCATGTTCACTCCGGACAATGCTTCTGATCCAGGACAGGGCGGCACTGCAGGCTTTTCAGCTACCCATCATCCCTTCACAGCACCAAAAACTCCCCAGGATGTCGATCTGCTCTTGACTAATCCCTTGGAGGCAAAAGCTGACCACTACGACCTTGTCGTGAACGGTGTAGAGCTTGGCGGAGGGAGTCGTCGTATACACAATGCGGACATGCAGAAGTTCATCATGCGTGACATCCTAGAGGTACAACACCCGCCACATCTCTCCTCACATTAAGTTAACCTGATGTTGTAGATGAGTTCAGAGCGTATAACCGACTTCTCTCACCTGTTCAAGGCTCTCGAATCAGGCTGTCCACCGCACGCCGGTTTCGCATTCGGCTTCGATCGCTTTATCGCGGTTCTCACAGGATGCGAGTCTGTCAGAGACGTTATTGCCTTTCCTAAAAGCTCAAAGGGTGAGGATATGATGGTTAAGAGTCCTTCAAAGATGACCGATGTGGAGTTGGCTCGATATCATCTCGCGCTTGCAGATGAGGCTTAGACAAAAGGCTCGTCAATTACAGGCCTCAGAGCGCCACAATCGGGATCTGGTTGAAGGGCCGTTGGTGAGAAGGCGATAGTAGAGGCGTCGACCGCTGGGCATGCATCCATTAGAGATGCCGTCGCAGCCGACCCTGCCGCTGGTGAGAAAAAGACGTACCGTTGCAGAAGAAGACCCCGATGGAGATTCGGCCATTGAGATATTGTTTCCGAAACAATGATGTCCGAGAGTATGTCGAAGTCAAGAGAATAAGACCGACCACTGCGATCAAGAGCGATGCGCACTTATCTCCTGTTCTTCTCTTTGTTCGATGTAGGGTTGGCCGCAAGTAGAGGATCGCTATTGTAAGGTATATGTACAGTCGTTGCACTTGGGAGGCGTCAACGTGGGTGTATACTGAACATCTCTGTAACCATACAAACCCCACTCTTTCGGATTTTCAAAAGTCGATAGGCGATATAGAGCGAAATGTACAGTACTGTATCTTAATACTGGACTTGATGTCCACCCCTAGGCTCTTCTGGCACTATCGCAGAAGCTAATATCAGAGCAGAGATCGGGACTTAAAGTTCTTGTCATATTTCCGTGTTCACAAGTAGTATTACAAAATTCCACCCTGCTCCTTCGCTCACTCAACGTATTAACAACCCAGACAGCGCTAAATCAAAAGATCAAGACAGAAGCAACAAAGACAAAACGTACCAAAATACATGAAAGCAACAACAGGACCTTTCGAAACAACCATTCCAGCCCCATCCTCAAACGCCGAACACACCGAACCTGTAAATCCAAACTCGACCAGGCCTTGACGAGACCTTCTAGATACTCAGTACTTCTTCTCAACTGTATCCTTCAGCTTCTCGGCATGAATATTCCTTGCCGATTCCTGATGGGCATCGTACTCCGCGACAGCGAAAGATCGGTGGTCTCTCTCTTCTTGCACGAACCTCTCAACACTCTCCCTGCTTGACTCGTTCTTGGATGAGCTCTTGGATCTCTTGCAGGAGTTGGAAGATTTGTGAGAGGCGAAGCCTTTGTGGGAACCGCTGTGGGCTTTGGTAGAGGAGGATGTCATGGTTGGGTTGGTGCCTGTGGGACATGAAAAAGAATTGGGCGTATTGCAAGGGTTGAAAGGCTGGTGGATTGGGATGAATGACAGGAATCGATTGTGTGGGGGTGTGTGCTTTGAGAAGGCTGAAATAGCTGTCTTCCCAATGCCCAGGAGGCAATTGGATGCGCAATGAGTTATAGACAGGGTTTTCAGATGAGGAGAACGTCGAAGCTCGGCAGTCGAACCAATAGTGAGTGATTGTGTTTGACAGAGGTGGTGGTGCTTGGGGACCTCTAATCACCAGCCAAGGTCAACGCCGTAAGAGTAACGACAGCAAAAAGAAGCAGCATCAGAGAGGCATATTTACCTGTGTGCCTCTGATGAGAGACAAGCAGCCGACGCCGAGCGATCACGGTCGTCGTCGAAATGTCTTCAATGGACTTTGCTGAAATGTTCCTCAAAGAACAGGCTTTGGACCCAGACAAGATGGCGGAAGTGGAGGCCAATCAAAAAGAAATCTGCGACTGGGAAGTGCGATGAAGCAAACAGCGTCTTATGAAATGCAACTTGCTAATAGACAAGAAGATTTTAAGAGCAGAATTGGACAAATGGGCGGAGAATATCTTTGGGCTTGAGGGAAACGCCTGAAGGAAGAAACGTGTGGCCAAGTCTTACCATCTTATAGCCAATATCCGCTACACGATAGCATCAGGGTGATGTGCGACTCATACAACGGCGCCTAATGCTATGATACTTCATAATGGCGGTGAGTTGTTTATCTGGAGTCTCGTTAGCTACGTCTCCGGGCAACGTGACTTTGACTCGGCCTTGGAAACATATCCCATAGGTCAATTCGGCATACCGAGCCATGCTGAGTAGCACGGCATCAAATGATTGCAATCTCTCTCCGTTCGCAAACAGTTCTTTACACGACCACAAGGACAGACCAGGGGACATCAAGGCCCGTCGTTGATGGGCGTTTCGTGTGGCTGTAGCATTGGAAGATAAGGGAAGACGGCGTTACCAGCCTGCACGACTCACCTACGAGGCCACTTACGAGACAAAAAATGAAAGTCTTGGGACAGTAAGCTCACGATACCCTCATCTTGGAGTTACAGGCCACAAGAACGATAGCAAGTACTGTCAAGGCCGTTTTCGAAGTTGTAGCTTCTCCTATATTTCATGGTTATTGACATGGCTGAGTCGGCTGCAGGATGGCAAAATTTAAGCTAGCAGGATGTCTGATAGACGTCTTTCGTCTGGGGCCCTAGGTGAAGTGAAGTTCCGAATACATGGGTTGTGAGAGATATGATGTCGTCAAACGACGGGGAACCATCCGGATCCAGTGCAACTCTGCCTTGCAATCCAATCATGGAACAATGGAGATGGGAGCCGCCAACCATTGAAAGGTGAGAACATATAATCTATACTCGCAAGCCACGGCATATAGTCAGCAGACATGAACTTGCAGATCAACTTGAGCACGTTTTTGTGTAATTGCCGGATAGGTTCGACTTGGGAGGACGGCAGAGTTTCTACTGCTGCCGGTCGCCTTTTGCCTTAGACCTCTGTCTCTGGCTGTCCTGAGATTAAGTGTGCTGTAATTCGAACCATTGGGCCACATATATTTCATAGCTCATAAATATTTAGCGCTGCTGCCGCAAAGTCTTTGCGAAATTGAGAGGGCGACATTTGAGAGGTTTTGAGAGGCCTCGTTGTGGAACGGGAGCGGTGAGTCTTTTGCTAGGCACCGTCGTGTACAACCTCGACCGCCAGGGTTTATTTGCATCATCAACTAGAGTTGGCCGGTTTCTCAGCCATCTCCTACATGCAAGTCCACGATGCTGATATGCCTGCAGATGTAGAACTGTGTTGAGATCAGCTGTCCGCGCGCTAATCCCCCAATTAAGCGAGGTTTGAAAACAAACAAAAAGGCCAGAGTAGAGCAGGCAACATCTTTGCAGTCCAATGGGTAGACTGCTTACCTACAATCTCACTTGAAATGCCAATGAATTATGTGTTTATAGACAAGCACTCTCGTAATTCTTCCATCGGAACGTTCCCGTACAGGTGTTTCCGACTTCACTACTATCACAACCAGATCTTAAGTTCAGCCCTCAGTAAGAACTCAGAAAAGTGAAAAGATGAACCAAAATACGAGAATTGTAACATGCCTATGATATCAGAGCCATCAAGGTAGCGGACTCTTATCTGATGCGAGACTAGCCATACCTCATGGGATACAAAGAAATCTCGGTACATATGAAAGGTAACTGGATAGGTTCCCTTCAAACTGGACCTCAGCTGCCGCAAAAGTGACAGGTCTGGTTACTCATGCAGAGCCTTATCTGAAAGTCCCCGGATTGTGCTACTATATCTAATGAATCGCGGCGCTGACTCGTCTGTAAAAGCCTCATCCTGCCGCGATACACTTTTAGACCTGTCGCTGGGGCTCGGGTAGCACTGTACCTGGTTCATTTTCGCAGCCAAAATAGCGTTAAGTTGAAATAAGATCTTCATTTAAATTACATTCTCATTGATATGCTCCCCTTTACAGTGCCGGCTCTTGAATCGGGGGCATTAACAGCTAATAACACTTGTTCGTCAGGCTATTTTAGGTGGATGGCTCTAATTATTTGTGTTCCCTATCGCGGTTAAAGGAATTTCACTCATTACGATATCCAATTTCCCGATTCAGTGCTTTTGAGTACTTTTGAACATTCCGTATCTAATATGGTGGTCCAAATGATCAGGTCTTAGTATTCCTCGCATAGCCTGCGATGGCAAAGGGCGTGCAGGCAAACATCTCTACTGACAGTATCCCAAAACTTTGGTTCGTGAACCATGATAGTTATTTGAGATATGACAGTCCTGATAAGCCGTTGATTTCCGCATCAAAACCATTGTACAGAGCACCAGGGACGGAACCTGTCAAACGATGGTCGTGCGAACAGATGAATGACGCGTACATCGGATTGTGTATAGTACTTGAGCATCAATACTCGATGATATCATCTCAAAGGCTAATGAATGTAGTGATACTCTTGAATAGCTCCACTATTCTTGAATTGAGCCAATCCGAATGCCAATGCAAATCGACGGAGAAGACGATGCAGTGCTACATGGTACTCCCGTCAGGTGACTTCCCACTCTCGCAGTTACAGCAGCGCTCTATTTTGAGGCTGACCGTCACATCAAATTGTGTTCACTTCGAATTATCTCCGGGATCATGTATATATGTTCACTGAGCAGTACGCGGTCCTGAATGGGTTGGTAAGATCGTGCTAGGCCAGGGCCTTAGCATGATTTCAAATCTCAAACGAGGTGGAACAATCACAATTGCGCTTGAAACACTCGATTTAATATTCTAGAGTAAGTCTAGACTGAGCCGTGCAAGCTACGAGTCCATTCTCAGATCTCAATCCATTCAGACGCCATTCTCAGCAATTTGTCGCCCAGTCAATAACTTCACTAGCTTCTGAAGTCTTTCAACTAGACAGCGAATCGTCCAGGCCAATGTATGGTACGGACTATTGACTCCAAAGGTACCGGCTTGAATTGGCTATTTCTGAATGTAAATTAGTGGTAACAATATGCAACTTTTCTAGAATTGAGTAAGGCAGGTTTGCGATGCTAGGGTGAGGAGCGTGATTCTCGCATCAAGTAACCAAAATTCAGCTCAATTGATACCATCGTAGCGTAGGATGCATGATATTAGCTATAGATGATTGCTCCAAAAATTTACTTACATAAAGAGTCGAGAGGACAGCGAAGCAAGATAACAATTCCTCACGTCAAGAAACCGAGAAGCACGAAGAGCACACTAAAGACGACCGCTGTTGGTAGGCCAATGCTGCTTTTACATGGATACATGGGCATTATTTCCTTTCCATGGGTTAAAAGTGGGATAGAGGTGGAGCCACCCGTGAGTTGACTGGCTCAAGCTGAAACTAGCGAGTCAAGGCCCTATCAGCATGGCTGCAAATTTTTTATCCCTTTATTGAACAGAATAAGCAGTCTCGCATCATTCAAAACGCAAAAGCAGCGAGTCTTTGATGGTCTAACGGTCATGATTTCCGCTTGTCATAGTAGACAAGTCGCGGGAGATCGGGGTTCGACTCCCCGTCAGAGAGCTTCTCTAGAGTTCATGTCCCCGAGTGATACTCGGATAATTACACTTTTGCAATTTTATCCCGTATCTCTATACGAGTTTTTGCCTCGCTCTACTGTCGTACTGTGTTACTTAGGTCTCCTGGATCTACGTTTTCATTTAGGCGGTTCGTGCGAAAGAGGGTCAGTCTTATCTACGGGCTCCACTAAGGTTCCCTGCCAGCTTCTTTTAAGCGACTAGCTCGCTTAAAACTAAATGTAAACAATACATCCTGGCTGCCTGGTTCCAAGCTCGACTGCATTCAAATTGGTGTTGGAGCAGATTTTGCTGTCTTCACGCTTTATATATCTCATAGATTTTGCGATAGTGCGTTTTACCCTGCCAAATCTCTTTACGCGGCAGGGGTGGAGAGCCGCAACTTCCACTTCTGACTATTCCCAAGTTGGTCGACTGAGGCATGCACATGTTCAATTTTGAGCAAGGATTGCTCCTTCCCATGGTACAAAGTCACTCTATTTATGCGATCAAGTTACAGAATTGGTAGCTCCAAATGCTACCTAGTACACGTCTTCGGAATTCTTACCTGGTTGTTTCCAAACACCAGTAAAGGCAGACTCACTTTGGGAACGTCATAACCCCTCACTGTATTCATTATTTACTCCAATAGTACGCAGTATAACAACCACCGTCAAGAGATGACTCCCACAACATTTTCATTATTTCCCATGCTGCCGACGGAACTCCAATTGCAGGTGTGGGAAATGGTCGAAATCCCACCTTCCCTTATCACAGTCAGGCTCTCTGGCGAGATTTTGTCCGACAACTTCGATCGCAAGTCTCAGCCATGCTTAAAATTTCAGTACCGGCTCCCAGCAATCTTCCATGCATGCTACTCGTCTCGAAAGACAGCTTTACGATCTCACCCTCTATGCTTTGCCACAGGCCGTTTCGGACCATGCTTCCCTACGCCGTTTCCTTTCAATGCCACTAAAGATATTCTCTTGTTTGCACCAATGGATACTGGCATCAGTCTTGCAATGAACTGCTTCCTGGACTTTGGAAATATTCGTCAAGTTGCAATTGAGCCCGGATACTTGGACAATTATGGCGCCATAGCCCGGATGATGGTGTTGGCTTTCAGAATCGTATGTAAAATGCCATCCAGTGGCTTTTCATATTTTTCCTGAAGCAATCCCTGCTTTGTTCTTGGAACATACCAGGTGCAGCAGCGGCTAATCTTATTTCATTCTGCAGGGAAGCAAGCTAGAAAATATACATATTCTACCAAACAGCTATTTGGGGACCAGGTTGGATGTGGTTAAGAAAGACGGAGCGATGGATTATCAGCGCATGGCAACCTATCCCTCGAAAAGATACATTATGCGCGTGATGATTATGGAGCTTCGAGGACAAATATCGAGCGAAGAACAGGGGAAACTGGTTCGGAGGAAATTTTGCATGATGAGCCCCGCCAAACTTGCATCCCAGTTTGCGTCTCCAGGGTCTCTCAAGGGGTATATTGAATGTGAATGTCTTTCGTATCAGCTCGGGTGTTGAGCCAGCCGACTTGTTTTAAGCTTATCGGGATTGGGAGGAATAATTTTCGGGCTGACAATGATCAAGTCTGATAAGGGGAGATATTTATGAGTGAGAAGGTCCAAAATGCATGAGGCACCCTCGCGAAGTTTGTGGTGGACAGTTTCGTTTGGGACGGGTGAGTTGTTGCAATTGACACTACACAGAACCTCTTGTAATCACTCAAACTATCCTGTGAGCCACATGAGGTGTGTCGGGATGGAAGCACCGAGCTGCCTGAGTCACTTCCAATTCCAACGACCAAACAGTAAAGGGAAGGATCACAAGCTGTGTGAAAATTTCATAACTTCACTGCTTAGTTTGGAACGAGAGGTTGATCTATTTACTTGGCCTTCTTATAAATTTCTGTTCTGCGTTCAACGCTTCACTGAAATATTTTGACCATTTAGAAGCTTTCATGACCAGCTCTGGGGCATCATCACCTCAAGAATCCACCTCAACTGATACCATCTTGAAAGTCCTTTGAACTTCTCATAAAAGCTTGTCATGGTCACAAAACCATGTTGTTTCGGTCGGTCAATTCCCGCTGGAGGGGCCGATATCATATCACATGACTGTAGTATATGAAATCAATTTTACACATCTCTTCGCCGCATCTCATTGGTATAAAACTAAATATAATCAAACGTTCAACATACCCACGACATACTCACTCCATCCACATGGATCGACAGAGTATCACGAACAGAACGAGATCATCTAGACCTTGCTAGCTGGGGTCTCGGTAATGCCAGTGACTTTCTTGTCATCGTAGTTGCGTTCGCTCTCGACATCGCTGGAAGGCGGGTGCGCATCTTCCTCAAGGAAGAAATCTTCATTGTCTAGGTGACGGAAGAGGAAGTAGAATATTGGTGCAGCAATGAATCCAATAACAGATGGCGCAGCGAAACACCAGATCAGGTATGGATCTTGGATGGCCTCAGCAGTGGCGAGAGAGATGGCAGTCGAGATAGCAGTCATGAAAAGGGAGAGCGACATGACGAACCCTTTCATGTGGTGAGGCGCTCGAGAGTAAGCAAGTCCGTACGCGGTAACGTTGATGAAAACTTCCGAGCAGGCTGTCACTGCTGTTGGGATGGCGTAGAGCCAGAGCGAGAGATGTGAGACGAGGGGCTCGACCTCGCAAGTGCTAGCGGCATAGCCGCAGGGAGAAGTCTCATAAATTTTGTACTGGATGACGGCGTATGCGGAGGCTCCGATCGATGCGATGAGGAATCCAAAGGTCATGCGGGAAATCGGTCCAAAACGAATGCCCATCTTTCGGAGTGCGGGATAAACGAGGTGATTCATGATTGGAATGAGGAGGATCTTTTGAACGGGGCAGTTAGCAATTGCTACGTCTGGAATATTCTGGGAATAGGAGATGACATGTCTCGAGGAGAATATCAGGACACCCAAGGAGCAAATCATGGGTTGCCGCAATACGTACAATGGCGAGGGGGTTGAGGTTATCAAGAACATCATTGGGAACACCGTTGTTGGTCAATGAAGCTGACTGAGCATTGGCGGCAGCACCAAGACCGCCATCGTTAATCTGTTGGATTGGGAAGAAGAGGAAGATAGCGCAGGCAGCCATTGTTCTTCGGACATCTTCGACGAAACGATCATCAAATCGATAAACCTTGGTGTCACCTGCGGCAGCGAGCGCGGACGGCTTGACACGGTCCCAGTATCCTTTGCGTCCGATACCAGTAATACCAGCCTTTCGGAGAGCGAGGTAGTTGACGTAAACGAAATCTTCCAATGCAGTTCCTCCAGGTGGCTTCTTAATGAGCGCCTTGTTGACCCAGAGCAAGAAGACTGGTAGCATGAAGTAGATGATACCTGGGACGAGATAAGCAGCCCAGAAGCCGACAAACTTGGCAAGATAGGCAGTTGCAACACCGATGAAGGCACCGATGTTGATGAGGAGGTAGAACCACAGCATGATGGACTCTGAAGTAGCCTCGGGATCCACAATGGCCTTGGAGCCATTCTTTCGGACAACGACATGGTGCTTTCTGTGGGGACTCTGGTCTAGAACAGTTGGGGCAATATTGGGCTTGAACAAAGCTGCACCGATGGCGAGCAGGTAAAGACTGAGGGCAAAGGGTCCAATGGCAGTCCCGTTCTGGATGAACTTGGGAACAGCAGCAATGATCATGATAACATGAGCCACGCCACAGATCGCAACTCCAATGCAAATGGTTTTGAAACGACCGAGATGCTTGTCGGCAAGCCAACCTCCGAAAATGGGAAGTGCGTAAGCAAGAAATGTAAACGCATCTGTCATCGCCGATGCAATGACAGTGCCTTTTCCGAGAGCGCCAGCACTTGCATTTGCTGGAGAGCGACTAGTAACAGCTCCAGCGCCATTCCCATTTTTCTATTTCTTGTTAGATTCGGGATATTACATGGAGAAAGGAGGGCTTACAGGCAGAGGGCCACGAATGAAATTCTTGAAGACTTGTTTGCACCCGTAGTATGAAGCTCGTTCGGCAAACTCGACACCGCAAAGAAGATATGCAGTCCACGGCATCTTTCCGGCGATTCTGGGGAGAGTAGACATCTCCTCCTCTGTGGGAATGACATGTCCGTTCTCGTATGTAGCCGGAGACGAATCGCCTCCTGTTGGGTGGAGAGGAACATGGTGCTTATCGTCGAGACCAGCAACGACCTGGCTCGGAGCCGAGGTGAAGGTATCATCCATAATACCGTCCTCTGTAGGGGAAGTTAGCAAATATGTGCCATGTTGGAGGGATTTTGTGCAACATACTCATGATTGCGGTGATATGGTTGATGATTGGGGTCAGGTAGCTTTCACAGATGGACAATAACTTGACGGACGGAACACATGGGGTGGGCAGCTCCCTTCATATAGCCGTTCCTCGACCATGGGAATACGATCTTGGGCGATCCCATGTCGCCAAGTAACTGCGAGGTAACAGTCGCTGGACTTCAACGGGGAGGAGCATGAGGGATTGCTGGGGTGATTGTGGCACGGTGAAGTATTGGCTTGTGAGGCCCTGAGTTCAGAGCCCTTTCGGACCAGAACAATTCCAGAAACATGTCAAGTGTCACCCAGCCAATGGCATGGGCTGAGTCGCACCAACCAGAAATGGATATATATTGTTCTTGACAAGGGAGTGAAGGCATGTGGGCGGGGATGATGCCGGCCGCCATGTCACAGATCGTGTTCTCCAGATTGACCAGCATCTGCGAGTCTCGAAGGACTGTCTGGAGCTCGAGGCGATCAGCTATACAGCCCAGACAACTGTCACAACGGACAACAAGCTCAAAGAAGCAGGTATTGAAGATATGTTTGAAGCTCCCGTTGCATGCCAAGTCGTGAGATGGCTTGGGTGCCAGGTGAGCCCTGCTAGAGAATGTTCGAGGCAGGAGACGGATGGCGAAATGATAGCAATAGATAACGACAACGCTACAACGGGATGCTGCTGGTGTCGGTGTTCGTGGAGGGGGTCCCAATCATGGGGTCCACGGTCCACTGGTATGGGCAGCGCACCGGGGATATTGAGCGCGGGTACACCAATCTCCACTCTCATCGGTACTCAAACTCAGCTGCATTCAGCCCTCCCTCGCATCTTGACTGCCATGGTTATTGCACAGCATTTATGAGATTAGCCGAGAAAGTGGACATCAGTGCAGAGGAACAGCGTAGAGTAAAGCATCGAGACCAACATCGACATTGTAGTTATTACGAATATTCTAAATCTTCCGCAGTTGCAGAGGTTCCCCTGGTCTGGCGCAGATAGAGTCGTTATTATCAGATACGCTTGCAAGTCGCGACCCCGAAATGTCGTCTGCTCGCCCTCTCTCCACAACGCACTCGTCGTCGTCTAGAGAATTTGTACGCAGAAGACCAGCCAGGGTCCTCTGCAGCCACTTGGCTGACATAGGAAGGTGACTTTGCAGACAACACAGGCTAATTATAAGCCAAGTGCCCCAAGACAACACCAAGAGAGCGACCCGGGTTATCTTGAACAATTGGCTGCTGGGCAAAGACCATCAAGAGGTGTGCTTGTACTGCTTGGAGAGCTTGAACGGTCTTGACAGGTTTCTTGTCCATCTTCGCCTCTTGTCCCGGTGTGCTTGTGTCTGGAAGATCTGCAGGAAACCTGCAAGTGACCCAGAACAAGCGCAATAGTCGTTTTGTTGATAACATTGATCGGAGAAGCCGTGACTGCACGTATCTGGTCGCCTCACCCTTGATGAAGTGGAACTGGAAACCCTGACCTGACCTTGGGTTTTGCCTTGCGCAAATCCCACTGGCGCGTAGAGTTGTAGACCCCGAGGCAAGTGAAATACCTTCGGAAAGATACCGACACTGGTGTCGACGCCTGAGGGGAAAATGAAGAGATTCGTGGAGAATTCGGGCATTGCCCTTCTTGGGCTCTCTCGTTGTTCTTTCACACTTGGCTTTGACGCCTTCAACGCCCATTCTTCAAAATGGGCAGGTGGCTTCGCTGTGGCCGTGTGGCTGGCAGATAAGCACCACTTGGCAGTTGAGCAACGAACTCAAACGCCTCCTGGGCGCTGCTTCAGATATGAAGAAGGAAGCTGCTCTGGTTTGCATCGGAATAAATCACCAAACTCAAAAAAAGGGAGAGTACACGCGCCGAAATCGCACCAGTCCAAGATTCCCCGAAATTGAAAATGAAGCTATTCCAAGAGCAAGAGCAGAACCGAACAACACAATTGGCCGCATGGTCAGCGAGTCTCTCGGCGCACACTGCACGCGTCGGATGCCTACCATGAGAGCGATGACCAAGCATGCACGGATAACATCAAAGCAACATAGAGTTCTTGGGAGGTCTTGGAAGACAAGACGATTAAAAAGCAGGAACCGAATTGACAACACCCGCCAAGATATTGCGATGTTTCTAGACAAAACCAGAACAGGTAAATCAGAGAGAAATCGAAGAGAGCGCGAATTTATATAAAAAAAGGAGTAGGCAGGTACTGAGACGTTCGGCCTTATCCCGAACGAGCTGTATGAGTCAACCGGCATGAGGTTCGATGAAAGTCCCTGTTGGGACGGTGTTGGGGGGCAAGGATATCCCGCCTTACTGTACCAAGAAGGTGGCCAGAGGCCACTGTAATTCAACTCAAGGTACTTCGCAAGGCTGAAGGTACCTAAGGTTGTGTCCAGACTTCCGGCTTGATTGATCCATCTGTCAAAGGTCGAGTTCCGTCTCACGGAGTTCGATGGCTGGTAACATGGTAAGAATGACTGGCTCACAGGCGTTGTTATTACGAGACTCCGTTGTTCTATGAGACTTATCCACGATGACGTCTGCATCCGGAAGATCCTTATTTGTTTTCTCCGTGGTTACATTATCGGCCATTGTAAGATTTCAGTATTGCACAATGTAAGTGTTGATGTTGCTGCCCGTAGCTTAGATTTTATGTCGAAATGCTTTTCTTTGATATCACAAGTATTTCGGACTAGATCGAGTTGACCAAATGAGCTCAAAAGAGTCTTATGAACCTCCAAAGCCGAGTTTCTATCCCACCGTCATGACTTTCCTTGCAAGACCAGCCTCAGATTTCAGATCAACATTGACTTCGCTTCCGGCCAAGTCCTGTCTTTGCCAGGACTGTATATTCCACCTCTTGGTCCAACAACCTCTTAGACAGTTTTCAATCGTGGTGCCTCAATCAAAGTTATCAATTGCAGATGTCAAATCCTAGTCAACTTCAGATCCGTGCTGAGATGCCTAGACCGGTTGCAAGACACGGTGAGTTTCCGGTTCAGGCGATTATCAAAGACAGGGTTGAAAACCATCCAGTCCATCGACCATCCTTCTTCTGGCCCTCAGGGCCTGTGTAATGAAGCTGTTACCCGGACTCACGATATCGCCTCCGTACCAAACTCCTGCTGTCTGCTCCCAGGCGACCTCAACCGGACACCACCTTCCAATCCCTTACAAATCCCGATTTCAATGGTCAAAAAATCGTACTTGACGTTGTGAGATTTGCAAATGCCATATCTGGATGGTATCCAAGGACGGAGGTCCTGGAAGCAGAACACTGAACTCGAATGACGTTGCCAATTCCGGGATCCAAGTCACTTGGCCTCAGGGTGGATGCGATGTCTTTCGGATGGGAGGAGTTCGATTAAGTGCCCGAACCACTTCGAAGACTCTGAATATCAGACTTCACAAGCATGCGGTGGTGCTCGGAAATGAGGCAGATTCCAGCAAGTATGTAATCGATTATCCAAGTCTGTCTTAGGACACAGAGCTGGATAGGTCAGGACACTCAAGGACGATCACAATTAAGACGAAAGAAGGGTATACTTTTGATGTCTTCTGTCATTCATTCATTCATTACCGTAATGTATACAACGGAGTCCGGAACACAGCACGGCTCCACGCAATGCAAATGCCTTCTAAAGTGGTATCCGCAACACAGTACCAAACCAAGCAATGCCCAAAAGTTGCGACCGGAACGCAACACGGTACGCCATATCAATGCTCTGAAAACACAAACGCCATATTCCCAAGTTTCCATGTTCCCAACGCCCAATGCCCATCGTGAAGAAAGCCCTACTAGTCATCCAGTCCTTCCAAAACATCATACAATTGGTAAATCAGGTTCGACTTCTCCTCAATCGCCTTTCCCAGGTTGTCCAAGTCGAGCTTAGTACTTTCTCTCTTGCGCTTTCCAAGAGCAGGATCATGGGCCTCGTAAACCCGGGAGGCCTTCGACCACTTCCCCTTCAGATGTAACAAGTCCGCCTCACAGCTTTCGATGATCTCCATGAGAGCATCCTTCGGAGGCATAGCTGGCCTTACTGTGGCATCCGCATCCAATCCGTCCCTCTGAGACACCTTCCTTGGATCACGCGCCGCCTTCTCCTTCAGTCCATCCACAATCTTCTCTAAATTGGTGACTTTCTCTGTGTAGAAAGTATCTCTCTGACTAACCTCACTGCGGAGGCTTGTGATGGTATGCTGAGCCTCTGATTTCGCCGAGTGCAGCAGCTCATTCTCTCGTATCAATTGATCATTATCCTCCTGAATCTCCTTAATGATACGCTGGGCCTGCGTGTTGATCCTTTCATGTTCAGCGACCTTCTGTTGCAAACCGGCGATAATACGCTCCCCTTGTGATCTGATCCCTTTCACAAGATCAAAATCTGCGACTTTCTGTTGCAAATCTCTGATTGCAATCTGCGTCTCTTTGTTGCGAGCCTCAGCCTCCTTCTTGTCGGAGATCAATTGAGCTGTGCGAGCCTCCGCTTCCTTCTTCTCGGAGATCAATTGAGCATTGCGAGCCTCGACCTCTCTCTTCTCCGTTGCCAACTGATCGTTATCTCTCTGGAGATGTGCAATAGTTTGTTGTGTTGACTGATTGATCTTCTCGAGATCTGCCACCTTCTCCTTCAGAAGATCAATCATTTGGTAGATGTTTTCCTCCTGGCGTTCACCCTCGAAGTGGTTGACTGGGCGTTGTCGGCTGCGATGGGTAACAACTTTGCCGTTCTGTATAATTGGCTTTGTGATTGTTGTAGTGGCAACTTCCTCGGTAGGCATCGATGGTATGACGAACGACTGACCTGTGCGCGCAGCGGATGCCTTCGTCTGGGATGCTGATGGAATGAGTGGTGGAAGTTTTGCGGATAGTGGTTGTGAAGTATTTGGCTTCGTGACTGAAGGTCCTTCGCCGAAGGAAGAACCCGTGACCTCATCGTCGACTTGGGCCTGATACTTCAATGGACTTGGTTTTGGAAGTGTGGAGAACGTGTCGTTGTCAACACTGTCGTAAGGATCCCGATATGAGTGTTTTGGGGCAATATTTTCTTTGTCTTCCTTGCGGCTGATAGCATCTGAGACAAATTTTGAGGCGGCGGCTTCCTTGTTCTCCTTTCGGATCACAGTCTGCGTCGTGGGCTTTGAAGCGGCGACCTCCTTGTTCTCCTTGCGCCCGAGAGCCTCCAAAATTGGGGATTGAGGTCGAGGCTTTCGGGGCGAACCTCTGAGACGCGTGCCATTGTTGATTGAAGCCAATGGAGAATCATCCAGGGACTGTTTGGTGGTGTGGTGTGGTCGTGGTTGCTCAATGGAAAGACTCATATCTGTATCTCCTTGAGTGAAGTCAGGGAAGGCTCGACCGATCGCTGACGTGTTGATCTTGAAGTCCTCGGCCCTTCTTGGCGCCCATCGACCGTACTTTCTAGCGGTATCACGAATTTGAGGCAGCTTTTGCGAGACATCGAAGTCCATGCGCTGAGTAGAAACGAGAGCCTCGTCTCTTTCAGGATCGAAATCAGTGCTTCTGGTAGAATCGGCGCTGACAGTGCCATGTCTAGAGCCGGTGGAAGAACTGCTGATCGTACCGTGTTTCGAACCAGTAGAGGACGCGAAAGACCGATCATTACGCTTGGAGGCGATGGAGGATGTGATGGAGAGATCATTGAGCTTGATGTTGCGCGACATCTCTGCAATGAGGCGCGAGCGACGCTGACGGGCGTCGGAGGTCGACATAGCGACGCGTCGAATTGATGTGAATTGGGAAGGATCAATTGAACACTGGAATCAAGGTGGAATGGTACAGCTGGATGCTTTGGAAAGCAATTGCGTGTGGAATTTGATTGTTGTGAAAAGTTCGTGTGACTTCGAAAAGAGACGCGTTCTGTGAGGAGTAAACAAAGCCACGATGCACGGGCAGTGGCCGAAGGATTATGAAGGCTTTTTGGCGGCCGCGCCAAAACGATGCGTAATCACCCTCTAAAGCTTCTCGCTAAGCTGGATATGGAACTACATCCGACATTCAGTGAGACTGAGTGGCTGTCATCAAAGTTCCAAGCCATATTCATGACGTTAAGCTTGGGATGAGGTGCAGTTTTACGGTAAATAGACCTAGAGGTTCTGACTAGCGGCGACCCCTCATTTTGAGGCTCCAGAACGAGGCTTTGGAGCCAGCGCCCAAGTTCTGGGGTGGATGTTGCCAACGGCTGTGGATGTTGTTTCCTCTCCAGATCCGTTCGTCTTGCATTACCACATGAACATCTTTTTCGGTTGATCTGATCTATGATGATGCCCCAGCTGGAACCTCACGCCTCGCGAACTCAACATCTTGCATCCTTGAGTCGTGAGTGTGCAATTTGTTTTTGGAGTTCTGCGCTAAGCCAAGCGACCATGCATGTCCGTTGATCTTCCGCCAGGCTTTGGCAGATTTGCAAGCCTATGTGTATTTGGGTCAGGATAGAATAACTTCGTCTCGAGTTAACAGTAACGCGCCCGCATCAACCTCGCTATTCCGGCGTAGGATGCCTCGAGGAGCACAGACTGAAAATATTGTTCCTCTCTCGTTGGCTTAGCGTCGCAACACTTTTGTGACCAGTCAAAGCAAGCCTTCCTCGGGCAACGATTACCTTAGCTCAGGAACAGTCACCCTCACTGCACACCGCGAACATGGCACAAGCTGTGAAGGATAGCTTCTTGGACCTGGAGAGGCATCGTCAGCTGCTCGAAGAGAATATCGAGAAGCTACGGAAATCTCTGCTCCACTGGCAGATCTGGGAGGCTGAATATGAAGGACTCAAGGAAGAGATTCTATCTGCGAAGAGCACCCCAACTCGAGAAGAACTTCTGGCTATTGGTCGTGAATACGAAGGAGAACTGGTCACACAGAAGGAACTTGAGGATATCTTGGGCACGAAGGAAGCACGGTCTGCAGGGCAGGTGGTGAACTTATTGGATCGCCGAATAGACTACGTCGAGCAGAATGTCCGAACCATTCAGAGACAGATTGAGACAGCAGAAGGCAAACTGGCGGCTGCCAGTATCATCAGTACACCAGAAGTGCGAAACGAGGAAGGTCTTCCTCTGACAGAGATCATGGAGGAACTTGATGAGGAGGGAAATGTCTTATCAAGCCAGTTGTCTACGCCAGGCAGTATGAAGCCACAGCTTCTGGAAGCACTGAAAAAGGCCGGTGTAAAAGACCTGCCATCAGACACGGGATCTGAACCCATTTCCGATGATGCAGAGCCGGCAGCGTCTCAAGAGAATACCGCCGAACATTCGAGCAAGCCAACAAAGTCTGTGAAGAAGGGTGTCAGTTTTGCTGAAGACACAAAGCCCGGTCCAGAGCCGGAGAAGTCGAAGACAGCGAAGCGCCTCGAAGATATAATGAAGATCGCAAAGCAGCAAGAAACTCCTCCCACTGACCCTCCGATTATACCAGCCAACGAGACTGCAGAGGATGCCGCCCTTCGTCGAGAAATGCTGCAATACGGGATGTCCGAAATCGGAGCTGTTGTTGCAGAGCTGGATCTTGAAGAGGGAAGCGATTGGGACGATGATGATTACGATGAGACGAGCAGTTTCGACGACGAAGACGCTTTTGGCAGATCTACTGGAAAGCTTGTTGACGAAGAAATAAGACAGCAAATGATAGAACTGGAAGAGCGGCTTGGCGTTAGAGCAATGCATAATGTTGGTAAAGAGGCCGGAGAATACGACGTTGTCCAAGAAGGTATCGGTCGCATTGTAATCAGCGGCAGTGAAAGCGGTGCTACTCCAGCAGACTCGGCAGGGACAAATACTGTCACAAACACGGACGACCAGTCCCCTACAACATCATCCAAAAAGTCCGTGAGATTCTCCGAGAACTTGGATATTTCGCCCCCTCCGTCAGCACCAGTGTCTTCTCCGCCGGTCAAGAAACAAATAATAGCAGCGCCGATCGGTGATATTATTGAACGCAAGACTCCCGCAGAACCAGCAGCTCCTGCGCCTCAGAAGAAGGCATCTCGATTCAAGTCTGTTAGAACTGCTACATCCCACGTCCTCAACGGTCCTCTTGCATCTGCCTCCCCATCCACAACATTGCCTCTACACGCTGCCAAGCCATCCACTCCAAAACCTTTCTCGACAACCATCCAATTCAGCCCAGCGGAAGATGCAAGTCGGACAGTACCCACGGGTCCGGAAGGCAAGGTGATCGCACCTACGATCATTGAACGCGAGACATTGAACAACGTTTCTCCTGCAGAGCCAGACGAATTCGACCCGCATTTGCTCCACCAAGAAGTTGCCACAGAATATCACAAAATGCGTAACAGGATGATCCAGAAGCAGGGTGGGTTCATGAAGGAAGACGAGAGCGAGATCGTACCCTTCACTGAGGAAGAGGGTGGGCCGAAGAAAGTCAGTAGGTTCAAGGCCGCAAGGTTGGCTAAGTCGTAGGACACTAATACAACTTGGATGCATCACGAAGCCGACTGATTCACCCAGCTGTGATGTGCAATATCCTTCAGCGTGTGTTCGACGATCTGCCTCGGTCTCCTGTGTCTTCACAAACGATTGTACTGAGAGTCCATTGCCCCCTCCACTGCCCCTCCACTGCCTTTTTTGTTCTTGGGTAACTGGTTTCTCCTTTTCTCTACCCGCGGGGCCTTACCCTCTCTGCCTCATGTCTCGTACCTTAAACTCTGCTCTATTTATCGGAACGCACATTTTCAAAATCAAATGATGGAGAGCATTAGCCCAGTTGCTCCCACATCTTTCAACTGCGTTCCAAGATCAAATCAATTAGGGCTCTCTGACGTCGTGATCCCTTCATTCAATGATCTCGGGGATTCGTTTCACCCTTTACATCTCTCATGGCCACATTCGTGCTCACGGTGGCACTCTGTTTGCTGTTAGTCATGCCTTTTCCTTTCTGATTCTCTTTCTCAAGTGTCTAGTCCATCCATGTGTGTTCAGGGTTGCTGATGGCCCCGAACTGATACTTTGGGTGTGACCTTGAGCCCGCCCGATATGGCTCTTCCTTTGCCGGAAAGTATTGCCAAGATGTATCATGCTTGGATATGCAGTCTCTCGTTTTTTCAGGGAGAATGAACTTGCCTTGACACTCGTCGAAAAGGCGAAGCTGACTCGCATCATCTATGGCTTTCTCAACGGATCATAAATTATTGCATGCGCTTTTTAGACATGACAGATCATCTCATCTTACGACGGTCTTCTACATACTATCAAGGGAAAAAGCCGTGCGTTGACGGTTGCTTTTTGCCTTGCAATCATCTCCCTTGAGCTTGCAGCCTCTACCAAAAACATTTTGGGTGGGAATTTGACGCACCATCAGACAGCTTGAAAGAGCGTGGCACATGATGTATAAAGCTGCAGAATCAATTGTAGCGAAGCGTGTTCTCCCTTAAGCAGCGATCCAGCTTAGGTCAGGGATATTGTTACTTTTGGACACTATACTTTTTCTCGATTCCAACAGGCGTCACCCCGCGATCTCATCGTACCGGCCCTGGTGGGTCTACAGTATTAGAGAGCAGGCATTTTGGATCGCAAGCGCAGTGTTACAAACGGATTCAAACGATAGTGAAATTGCTATCACAGAATGATGAAGTAGCTGTAGGAGCTTCGGTATGACCCCGTAAAGTATATTCCAAATCCACTTCAAGTCCCCTAACCAGTGAAATTGTGAAGTAATGAATGTTGCCCAGCTCTGGCTCCTCTTTGCACCCTTCTTCCTGCCCAGCACCAAACAGCGCACATGTTTCCACTCTACACCAGTTGAGAACAACGAGGCATAAGGACAGTTTTCTTTCGTCAAATTGGGAATCCATTCACACAGCAGTACGAACAAAAGAAATGAGGAAACCAAGGGCAATCTCTCCAACACAACTGTGGTGAAACGAAATCCTTTCAAGCCAAAAACTCTCAAGCAAAAGCAATCAGGCCTTAGGCGCCCAAAATCTACTTCTCTTCAACTTTGGCGAATCCGGCTTAGGCGATTGCTCAGCACCTAATCCAGTAGCAGTACCAACCACATGTTTCCCAGAAGGAACGCTGTACATCGTACCACGTGCAATGACCGTCATGTCCCGATCGAAGATCAGTCCAGTCGGCAGGGCTCCAGCAAAAGTGTATTCTTCGCCGCATAGATCGGTAAGTGGCGATGAAGTTGCAGAGGCTGTGGATGCTATGGGAATTTGTATGGGTGGACTTGGGGTTGGAGTTGGCGTTTGAATTGGGGTCGAGGCTGAAGGTGTTTCGCTGGGTGTAGTCGAAGATGAAGTTGAAGATGTTTCGGTCGATGAAGCTGTGGATGAAGGGGACGGCGTAGCTTCTATTTTGGATGTGCTCGATAGTGAAGTATGTATGCTTGATATGCTCTCTGTTGATGATGGTGAAGATGTTGGTGTCGATTCTGCAGTTGAAGAAGAGGAGGTAGATACAGTAGAATCAGTTGATGCAGAAGAGGAAACCTGGTTTAAAGATTGTCAGCGATTTCCACGGCACAACCGTAGGGACTCATTTTGGCAACTTGTTGAAAGTAGAGGTCAAGTGGCTTACACTTGCGGTCTTCGTCAGTACGGTAGTTGCCTCCTTGATCTCTGTCACCGTATTGACAGGGATCAGTTTTGTTGTCAAGGTCGTGAACGTATCTGTTCTAGTTTGACAGGCTGTGACACCAGTTCCACCGGGTGGACAGCTTGTTGCTGTGGATATGCTAGTTACAGGCTCGACTGTAGTGGTCATGGTGATCTTATTGGTGCTTGTGATAGTTGTCTTGCAGTCCACATTTTGCGTGACGGAGCAACCTTCGATGGTTTTGGTGATGGTTGTAGCTTCGGTGTAAACGCCACCTGCGGTCCGTTTGCTCTCCTCAAGTGTTGCTGTGGGGGAAATTGGGAGCTGTGTTGGAGGTATCTCTATTGAGGTTGAGCCATGTGTTACTCATTGGACTTGGTTCAGATGAGTTTACCTGTCGAAGTTGTCACTTTGCCATCTGGCAATGTGAGAGTATACACATTTTTGAATGTAATTGTATGTTGAACCACAGGAGGCGTTTCATAGGATATGCTGTAGCTTGTCAACGTACTCAGAGTTGTCACCTGGGCATAGACATTGCTTAAGAGGACCAGTAGAGTTGTTTCGAGGTAGATGAGCTTCATGATGTCAATATCCACAAGTATATGCTTGAAGCAATTGATAATTAATTGAAGAAGACCCCAGTGAATTTGATGTGCCAAAGAGGATGTGGTATCTAGTGCGCTGCAGAGCACGAGGATGAAGTTGAAGTAGAGGATCTACAAATCATGGCGGGACGCAACAAAAGTTATACTTGAGCTCAGTCCAAATAAATGGCTGTCACGCATCTAAATGTCACTCAACTTTATCTCAGAATAGAATGCGGCCGAGCACATAATCTGCATTCATGTTATGGCAGAACCCATCATCAGTGCTTCGCCACAGCCAGAACCCAGACTTATCTCACGTTAAATGGCTGAAACCCTCCGCTGAAATGCACTCACATCCCAAACTAGCAATATCACCCCCGTTCGAGAGTTTGAGAACTCAAGAATGACCTCAAAGCGTTGGACTCTGCTCAGGTGTTGGAACAAAACAAGCCAGATCGCCCATTGCAATGGTAATTCTTCGCCCCTTCCACGACATCTCGTTTCAAAGAAATGACCGAATTCTATGTTTAGGACGAAACAGGATATTTATAAGACGGTTTAGGCACATCCAAAGGGAACTCCAACAGGAGGATTGTTGATGTTGGAAGGTCGCAGAAAAGCGACCGATGCCCCGTTGTACGATGCACTTTTGTGTGTTTGGATTTTGACGAATAGGAAGACGAGTAATATTGAACTGAAAATTATGATATGACAAATTATATGACTTGAAACAGGTGTGTATTAGATAGAGCAATAGAGAGAAGGGCTGCAAGTCAAGTGGGAGTGATGGTGTTGTAGTTGGACTAGCGAGGCTGGTCGTGCTACTGTGTCTTCGCGATTACCGTAGCTTGAACTATGCACATCCTTCTGTGTGCTAGGACTGAATACGGGCTGGAAGATAGAATAGGTGTATTGACTGGGTAAGTATATACTATGTCTCTCTATATGCTAGAGGATATGCCACTGGCCCACTGTCCTCCGTCAGTGAAGCCCTCTCATCTATCTACCCCTTCGGCTTTGAGAAGCCAAAGGTGGTAACCTGCATCAGATACCATTCATGACTACCATATGTCTCCACAGGAGGGATGGTAGAGCAGTATCGATCGGCTCATCTAAATGCTCCTCGATCCTTGTTTTCCTGTGTGCATTCAGGACCACAGGGTCCGCGCCATTCGACTGAATCCATTCACCACTCAGACTCGTCTTCACATAATCTCACTCGCAAACTTACTCCTCGCCCTGATCCTTGGTCCATAAAAGACCAACACCCACGGAACAGCCGTCAACAACGCCGCCAACCCGCCGAGAAGGCTTGCGGCACCCTGAAACGTCAAACCATTAAACATCTGAACCGTAACCAGTGGAAAAATACCACCTAATATATTCCTGCAGAAGGATTGCGCCGCCAGCGCCGAGCTCGCATAGCGATGGTACGTGTCAGCGAGGTAGTTGAAGGTAGCGAGATATATCGAGTATATACCCATAGTAGCACACGCGATGGACATGGTGGGCACGATCCACGGAATGGAGTGGAATTGCGACCATCCGAACCAGAAGAGCCCGATGGGGAGCAGCGCGGATTCGATACAGGCGAAATAGAGACGGCCTTCTGGGGAGGACAGATCGATGGCTCGTCGGATGCGGCTGGGGTGCTCAATGTTTTTGGCACTGGAGGTAAGGTAGCGGGCTAGTATGCGGTCCTGGTAAATGGAGAGGACTGTAGACAGAGAGGCCCCGACGCACATTGCTGCAAAAACAGCGCCACTTTGTTGGGTGTCGAAGCCGTGGGAGCGTCCGAATACAAGGGGAATGGAACCGAATGTTAGGTAGAGTACTGCCCATGCGAATGCTACCCAGAGAGAGAAGAAGAAGACAACGGGCTCGGTAATGAGAAGATGGAAAGGCCGGTAGACGGAGATGCCTATCATCTTGGCGATTGACTCGCGCTCTTCATCAGACTTGACTAGCCATCTAATTCGTTGGCTTTCTGTTTTCTCGAATTTGACAGCCATGTCGAAACCAAAAAAGCCTGCTGCTTCTCGTTCCTCGTACCACTTATTGAGACACCTAGATTTTCTGCTCAGAAGGATACTCCCTCGAGTCTCCCGGAAGAACACAGTGACCGCTGTAATCAAACAGCCGCAGGTAATAACCTGAACCCAGAACACCCACTAATATACGTCAGCTCATTTTCATCGAATGCGTTTTCGAGTATGACTGTGTTGTTGTTTCAAACGCAGCAAGTTGTATGTATATACGTACTCTCCAAGAGGTATTCTGAGCCACAAACCCCGAAACCAAAGGACCCATCCCGGTCCCAAACAAGGCACCGCCAGAAAAGAGGGCCATTGGTGTGTTCCTCCCCTCGGCATGATACAAATCACTGACCACCCCTCCAACCATGGTCGAGAAAACAGAACTCCCAGCACCAACCCAAAACCTTGCAACCAACATACCTGCGAAAGTTGGTGTAACAGCGCAGCAAATCTGACAAATCAAGTACACGATACCGGCACCGACGAAGACGGGATATCGGCCATTGATCTCTGAGAAGGGTGCTAGGACCATAGGAGCAATAGCGAATCCGCTGCAGAACGTGGTGATTCCAGCTACGACGGCAACCTCACTCACTTTCCATTCAGCAGCCATCTGAGACGACGCAGGAGCATATGAGCCAGCGGTATATGCTGTGATAGCTGTAGCTATACAAGAAAGCCATATCATAAAACTCTTCCTTGACTCCGGCCAGTCGAAGGGCGAAGTGTATTTGACGAGGTCTGGCTGGGGAGGAGCTACTTGTCCATCTGGAGAAAAGCTCGTTGACGGTAAAGGGAGAATAGTTTCAAAAGTAAGAAAATGATAAATTATTGGCGAGTTCTGATCCAAGATATCCGAGGCCAAGTTTTTGGTTACGGAAGCTGACGATGAGTCCTCGATATAGTTATTCGTTTTCTCCTCGTCGCTGTCTTCCTTGTTGCCGAAAAGTGTAGGGTTCTCGGAATTGCGCCCCAGGTCGTCATCGGACGGAAGGTCTATCTCGGGAGCAGCCATTGCTATCTACTCTCATCTCATGTAGCAATAGCAATGAAGGAGAGGAATCGTAACAGCTCAGACATCTGGAAAAGAAAAAGGGAAAGAAAATTGAGGTAAACTGGTCTTGGCACTGGAAATAAATACTTTCTGGGGCACGATGTCACACTTGTGCCTTACCCGGCCGTGACTCGATGACTTGACCCAGCTAGAGCCCTGTTGAGTAAAGTGGCCGATCATAGTCTCCGCTGGAGGGTCCTTATTGGGAGGATGAAGTTGCGGATATGTGCCATGAAGTGGGTGGAGTGTTTTATTCCCACAGCCAAGACTGTTTATCCCCGGCTATTAGGTCAGCGAACAAGGCTGGACGAGGCTGATAGACCGAAGTCGGCTATTCATGAGTAAACATGAATCTTATTTGGTGGGGAAAGCAATAGAGGAGACGTATTTGCCAGAACAAGTTCAATAAATATCAACTATGCTATAATACCCAGTCGACGAAGAATACAGAAATGTGCAAGTGCACTACATAGATAGCCTCTCAAATGGTCGGTTCCCTGTCCAACGCAACATGAATCGTAATCCTCGTGAACACACTTATAATGTTTTCGTCTGCCGTCCATCTTGTCTCGCTCATATTCCTTGCATCAAAACCAATATTCATCAAATCCACTGATGGTATTAAGCAGTCCCACCGATGCCCAAACCAACTCTCATGCCCTGGTTCTGTGCTTGTGCGCCAACGCTAGCACCACGTTCTCGTAACCTCCTCCCCTCCATCAGGCCCCTCAAACCGCGTTTTTGCAATCCTATAACAGCACTAACATCACCCTTCCAAACATCTCTCTCGCGGCTGGCCCTCTGCCCGGTCTCTGATGTCCCCACACTACCACTCAAGTCGGACTCCGATACGTCACTCGCAACACTACTCGTCGCGCTAGTAGCCTCGTCTTCTTCTGGCTTACGACCTCCGCCCACTGCAGTGTTGATTCGCAAATTTTGCTGAGCCCGAGAACTGGCATCTCCACCAAGGGCTCCGATATGTAGCACCTGAGGTGCTGAACTGGGATTTCCTCCGGGGACATCCTGGAAATCCGGGGACAGCCAATTCTCCCCAAGACCTGAAATGGAGCTTGTTGAGCGGCCGCCACCGGCTGCCATGGCCGACGCATTGAAAACTGCTGCAGCATTCCGGGAATCAAGGATCTCGTGGAGACGCTCGACGACAGCTTCGAGGAGGCCGTCAATCTTGTAAGGACGGGCGATTTGTAGAAGGGAACAGAGTATTTGCGGAGTGCAGTGGGAAGAAGATGCAGGCGGCAGAGCGGAGGTATAGATGAAGTGGAGGAGCGCTTTAAGCGTCAGTTGTGTGTGAGGTAAGTACAGAGTTCGTGGTCGAGATGAGGGAGATAGTGTGCTAGCATCTGGAGGAAGTGATGAGGTCGCGACTTCAGCTGATACTTGATTCCCGGGGGCGAGTGACGAAGTAGACGTGTTATTCAAGGTCGAAGCAGTACTCATGCTTGAAGATTGAGCACCAATACTGGGAGTAATGGTCACACTACTGTTCCTACTCGGGTTATGACGGAACACATTTTCAGGCCGGAGGGTAGCCGCGTCGTTGCCGTCTTGTGTTGCAGCACCTTCTCGTAGTAGTTGCACAAAGTATGGTCCCCATCTCCGGGCAACGACTCGAGAATTGACGGGTATGCGCTCTCCGCCAACGCACAGAATATCCATATCTGCCAACTCCCGCAACCCGAGGGCTGCTTGACCTAACTCTTCAGCAGCTTTCGATAGAGAGCGACCGCCGGCAGTCCAGCCAGCTTTCGCACCAAGACTTAAAGAAGGAACGTTGAACGGAGAGCTTGCCGAGACAAAGCCCGACATGGGTGCCGCTCTCCTCGGATTGTCATACAGACCAAAAGCCTCGAGCTCAACCATGCAGACATTGCTGAAGTTGATACGACGATGATTGTAATCTTCAACCAAACTTCTCTTTCGGTTTCCAAGAATAACGAAGGTATTTCGCCGGTTCCAGAGAACACCTCTGTTCCAACTACCCTGGCTGAAGACGCTACCGCCGGCATCAATACGATTCCAAGTCAAGGTTCGCAGATCCAATGCCCATAAAGCATATTCTTGTTTGGAAGAAGTCAGATATGTACCGCTAACAACGAAGTTGGTATCGATCACTCCACCATTGGGGAATCGTAGTCCAGGCGGCGAAAAAGTGCCTTGCATTGGCTTCTCAGACAATGTCCCATCGGACGACCGTATCTGAAGTTCCAACTTGACATCCAAAAAGTTGTAGTTGGAGTAAATCAACATAGATGATCCAGACTCCCTCGATTCCTGTGCCATGTTACCAGTATCTGATTTCGTGGGCGAGCTCTTTCCAAGTCGTGAAGTAGCACTGCTCGGAAGAGGAGCAACAACACTGCGATATGCTCCACAACTCTTTCCCAGTTGTTGTGTGCTGGTCCATTTTAGACTTCGAAGGTTGAAGACGCTGATCTGCTCAATGTAGTGATTGGCGCTATCCTGACCTCCTACTACAACCATTTCAGCCCCCCCAGTCCCATCTAGATTGACACCCAAGGTCCCCGAATTGGGATTTGAGCCAGGAAGGTTGTGCTGAATTGCGGATGAGGCTGCACTTGTTGAAGAAAAGGTGGCAGATGATGGAAGGATTGTTGCGCAGTGAGCATATCTTCCTTGTGGTGTGTCTTGGGTGGGAATGAACGTCCAGGATTTGGTTGGCGCATCATAAATGTAGATATCGGACATTACAACCACTTCTGGTTGTGTCTCTTGCGCAGCTGCTACAGCTTGTGCCTGCCCCTGTGATGGAGCAGGAGACATTCCACCATAGCACACAAGTTTGGTATCTCCAAGAGGACATACACTGTGAAAGTATCTTGGTGGGGGGGTATCCCCAGACGCATCAATCTTTGTCCAATGCCTCCTTATGAGATCCAGCTCATACAGGTCCGATGTCAAGACTGGCCTGGAACGAGACAGGATCCGCCCACCAAAAACATATAGCTTATCTCCCAGAATCGTAGTTGTAGCTCCGACCAATGGGTGTGGCTCGCGTCCAGTCGTTCGATGTACATTACACATAAGACCAGACAGATGCTGAGATGATCCTCCAGGTGTCCCTACTATATTGCCTCCGCCAGACCGTGGCTGGGCTGGCGAGGGGCCCGCAGATGGAGGCCCATTACTTCGAGGTGTCATGATATCTCTCGTCTCGTCGTCAGGCTCGGGCCTGTTTGCTTCCTGTCTGGAGACACCTGCCTGGCTACCACCCATATCTGATAGGTAAGAGCTCGAAGGAGGCTTGAAGCCACTGGCATACATCTGCGACTGTCCTGGCCCCGACGTCGCCGAGTCCATCGTGCTTGTCCGACTTCCACTCATGGCCTGTCGTGACATTGGAGCGGGCGTCTTGATGATCTCAGGGAAGTATGGGTTGTGGTAGGTCGCGCCCTGTAAGAGTTCTTCAACAGGAAGGGCAGACGGTGTCCTGGGCAGAGGCTTTTCGAGGATAGAGTCGCTGGCACTTGGTGCATGCCTCTTCGGTCGACGAAATTGCGAGGTGCTCGCAGATGCTGGAGAGGGATCGAGCGGGGTTGAGGCTGGTGAGAGTCGTTCACCAATCTGTATGTTCGCAGGTCGATTATGCTGTCCCGAAATTGATCCCAGCTTCTTGATGCCCCTCCGGACTCCTGAGAGGAAGTCGTTCCTCTCGGGATAAGGCTCGTCGTCCGCCGACTCGTTTGGGGAGGAGGAGAACTTCGACTCGAGCGCGCCTGGAGGCCGCAAAGTCAGCTTGTCCGCCATGATCACTCATGCTGGAAAGAATCGAAGAAAGGGCAAAGGAAAGTAAAAAGATACAGCTCGCCCGCAGGCGAACTTTCTACATTACCGACTGTAGGGATCAATGGAGAATGGCTTACTAGGAAAGCGGACCTCTGGACAGGGCTATCTCGCGTCAAGACCTTTCTCCGCCTGAACACTCGGCGTGATCAACTAAAGCAAGGTGTCTTCCGTAATTTGAATCCCCGTTCTTTGGGTAGCCGATGCCGATTGTGCTCTGTAATAATGGGGGGCAAAGAAAGGCGGAATCGTTGTCTTAGATCCACAGAACCGTGCGCACTCGGACTGCTCAAGGTTGTTGAACCTGGACCTGGACCTGGAAAAAAGAGGCGTGTCTTCCGACTTCCAAGCGCTGCCTTGCCCTTGTCCCTGACCGGTAACCTGGAATAATGGAGCAGATCTTGAGCTAGAGTGCGAGCCAGGAAACAAAGTTTCACGGCCTCTTACTGTAAGAGCCAGCTGCGAGTTTCTTTAAGGTAGTTTATCGCGGACAAGGATATTGTATCGCGTGGATTATCCACAGTTTTCGACTCGACGGCCTGACGTGCACCGGCTTGATTAATGGCTTGCAATTATGGAGGACCAGCCTTCTTTGTGATAGTTGCTGCACGAGTGCTTCGGACAGCCTTCTGCTCTCCAGTACTCTGCTCTGCCTTTTGCCAATGCCAAACCACAGATATCTTAATCTCCGTGCGGCGCACCGGATGAGGAATATATGGCACCACCGTGCTGTCGGCTCGTCCTTATTTTGCCGTGTAATTCCAAAAGAGGCCGTACCGCAGGCGCTTTTGGATAGTCCGGGGCTCTGCCTCCAAAGGGAGGGTTTGGTTTTGTGTTGCTGGCGCCGAGCCCCAGTTGTCGCTGTCTTGTCTTTGGCTGACTGCCTTGTCTCTGCGCTCCCTTCCCGCAAACGTAAAATTGTGTCGCTCGCTCGCTTCGACTTCGACTTCGACTTCGACTTGGACTTCGAGTTCGGTTGCTGGCAATGAGAGGTCCCTGTCTGCCGAAGGTGCCCTGCCCTGCCCTGCCCTGCCCTGCCCTGCCCTGCCCTGCCCTGTCCTGCGTCTTGTCTTTGCTGATGTCGGCTCAGACAACTGGCTGGCTTCAGGTCTTGTCGTGGGTTCTGCTCAGACGGTCCGAGCAACAGAATCCTGCAACAGTCGAATCAGGGGCTGCAGTTCATCCCAAACCCTGTCCCTTCCCACGTGTGAACCCCGTCGACCTCCTTGTCAGTCTTACTCTTATGTAAATTCGGCAGCTGCTCCGTCGTTCCAGTATCCATCCGAGAATAACTCCGTGTTTTCTAGAAGGCGGCCTGCATTTGCGTATCCACAGGGACAGGTTGGATGTCTACCGTCGATCGAGTCTGCACCTGGGTCGCCTAACTTCGTCATATATTGCTTGGTAGCGCAGCAAAGCGCAGTCTCTGGAGTCGGAGCTCTGTAAGAATTCTGGACGTGCAAATGCACCTGCCTGTGAGTGAGGAATCCAACTACCGGTAGTCGCCCTGTGAGGTCAAAGTTACTCGTAAACGCTCCTCTTCCCCCTCACTACTACTGGTGCTTACTTGTTGTCAGCCATTCCGCTTTGGATGAAGGTTTGGAAGGGAACTCCCGCGTGCCTGTCACAGTCTCAGGGCTGTCTTGTACCTGGCCGCTAGAACTACTGTAGAAGCTAGAACCAAAAAGCCTAGGACTAGTTAGGCAGACCGCTTAGGTTGCAGCAGTATGGAGTCTCTCGCTGATCTTAATCCTACCCTGAATTCCTAATATCCCGAACTTGAAACGAATCGATTGAGTGGATCCAACCGCACTTTTTCCTGATAAGGTCTGGGTTCTCCATGTCTTTACTGGCTACGTTGCTGTAACCGAGCTTCACCAAAGATTGCACCGGAGATGAAACGAAACATTCGTACAAACTTCGTCACAAATGCAGTCGAGCGTGCAGATGGCCGATAGGGTTAAACTTTCTCTCATGTTCTCACTTCCGGTGATCCGAGCATGTGGATGTCTTCCATGCCGTTGATGTATGGAAGCATCCCCCGAAATATCACATCGTTTTAGTAATATAACTAATGCAAGTCATTCTTGAATTACATAAAGCTATGGGAGATGGAAATAAGTCTAGATGCTGAATAAAAAGGAACGACAGCTTAAACCACATCCGTATCAAAATTCGCGCTTCCAATTTCAATGAGCTGGAAGATATCAGCCGATGCAAACAGCAAAGGTCTGAGGCTTCCCAGTCACGAAGCCAGACTGGTCAACATCGCCTGGTGCTGGCACATCATCATAAGGGAAAGCATATCCCCTTCCGTCAGCATTCGCCAGGTGAACAAGTCTCGAATAGTGGTTTGTTACTGGATGTGTGTAGAACTCAGAAACCTGCTCGTTGGTAGGCTGCATATCGTTGGTTAACAACGTGGATCTATTCAGCGCAGCACTGATACGTGCGGTCAACGGACCCATTGCCTCCTTGTTATCACGGAAACAGTTTGTACTGCAACTGAAGATATCGCCGGTGCTGGGCTTGGAAAAAGTGCCGTGACCTTCGAAGCGAAGCAGGTCGTCATCGTTCACCCAGCCCTCGAGAACGCCGTAGGATGCTTGCGTGTCGATGATCAGAGGCTGGGCGCGGTACTTGTCCCAGCAGGCATTGACGTACTCATCATAGTATCCTTCGAACTTCTGGCCACCGCTCATGACGCGGGCGTTGTTAGGACTCAGGACACGAATAGGCTTGCCATCTGATTCAACGATGAGGTCTTGCCAGTCGGGGCACTCGTCTTCCATGGAGCGGATACCGTCAACAACTGATTGCAAACCATCTTGATAGAGGCCAGCGACAGATTGGACCTCGCCACGTTCGGTAGTGAGCGACATTGAGATGGGGAGAGAGACGAAGTCAACATAGCTGATATTGGCGTAGAGGCAATCCTGGGTATAGGTAAATTCACAGAAGCCCCAGCTGGTGTTTATATTGGGGTCGGAGGCATTCGTGACGGATGGCTCTGCAATAGCTGGCCCAGGATTGAGCTTGAAAGTCAATTCCTGGTCCAGAGAGAACCAGATACGACCACCCGCAATATGAGGAATGGTCACAGTGACGGTCTCGCCCGTTGCGCCGAGTCTGATAGCACAGTCCACTGGAACCTCACTTCCAACTTCGGTGATTTCTTCTTTCTCGGGAACGTAAAGGGTCTTGCCATCGGCTTTCACAAAGCAGACCTTGTTGCCCTCGTCGACAAGTTGGCCAGTGATGTAAGCAAAGACCTGCTCAGCGTTGGTTCGATTCTCGAGGGTGATTTGAAGACCACCAAACTCGAGAGAGCGATCCTCCTCGTCAAGTCTTTCCTCGCACGGTGCATCTTCCTCAATGGACTCCTCCTCTACACGCTCCTCCTCTACACGCTCCTCCTCTGCAGGTTCCTCCTCAACTGGCTCCTCCTCTACAGGCTCCTCCTCAAGTGGCTCCTCCTCAATACATGTTTCTTCGACAACCTCGGCAGTCTCTTGCTCGTAGTATTCTCCATCATTGACGTGCTCTTGAGTCTCATACTCAGATTCGCGGTAGTCACTCATGTTGCTGGTCGTTCGAAGTTGGGACGTTTGCGCGAAAGAGTCTCGAAAATCGAATTGAGGAAAGTGGAATTTGTATTCGGGTACGAACAGGAAAGATCCGGTAAAATGTAGCTGGCGTTGAAGGTGTTATAAAACAGATTGTGATGATCAGGATGCCAGATTAGAGGAGAACTCTTCAGGTTTATATACCTGAATGCTCTACCCGGGGTCTTGATGTGGTCACCAAATCAGAGGAATGAAGTTCATAGCTGAGCGTGGCTGTCAAGCTACGAGGCTGACACTCTCAGCGGTGATGCCGATCTGGAGGCATCGTGAGAAGTCCGCCATTCTGCATATACCATTCAAATTCCACCGAGAATGAGTTCAACACCATGTCATGCTGGCAGGTATATCCTCGCCAAGATGCCCGCATATGCTTTAGCTCATTGAATGGCGTTGAAGATTCCAAGCTGTGTGGTACTAACATTCATTTCAGCAGTCATGATCTTTGATGGTGGACAGGACCGATTGTTTCGGCAGAATGTACCAAGTTGCAGCTGAGGTCCTGACCGCCCAAATTAAGGAAGGCTGATGCTTATGGCAGGTCTATGCACGACTGCATGATGTTCGAACAAGCGACTGCAGTGTAACAAACCAAGTCCGCAAGACAAGATGATTGTCATCACAGACATTGGGTTGGTTGGCTAGAGGGCCATACAGCAGCGTTTGGCGGGAAATACCCATATTGGTCCTCCGTATCTTCAGTGAGTGCAGTAAAGGCTGCATGATGTATGAGATCAAAAAAACTTCAAGCAACGGTGTGCAGGAGGTCTTTGCTGGCAAGGAGAAATATGACAGAAGCTGACCGCGGAACCCCTGTCTCGAGGCTCGAAGACAGTGCAAAATCAATTATTGCGATCTCTAAACAAGCATCCGAGGCTCAGCTACAAACTTGGGGATGAAAAATCAATCTGAAGCCTTCCTTACGATGGCTATCAAGTGCCTGCTGATCAAAGGTGATGGGGCAGACCTAGGTATTAAAGGAGGGCATTGGCACGGAGCAACTCTCAATGTTCGCTGGGCAAACAAAAAATAATCAGGCGTGGCTTGCAAAATCAGAGCTGGAAGCGAGCTTTGGCGATGGCTGACATACAGGCCTTGCATATTCATCAGACCATGTCATACCGTCCACTCTATCTGAAAGAAAATCTTACTCAGATATACAATCTCACCGACATGAGAGCCCTTAGAAGCCTGTGAATGAATCTTCGATTGCTCGAAGAGGAGTTGAAACTCTCAGGTTCGATCTCCATGCTGTGTAGAATACAGAATCGCAAGTCAACAAATAATGACGACAAGCACAGGAATAGAAGTTTATTGCATTTATTTTACAGGGCCAGACTTTTGGTGAGATCTGCAGGTCTGGAGCAACAAGAATAAGAGGTGACTGGAGAAAAGAAATGGCACGATGTGAAAATATGTGACGATACTATGGGAGGAGAGAACGGCAACCTTTCGGCCACCTTGTTGATGTAGCATTCAACCTATGAAGTGCCAACTCATGCATACTAGGCCGGCCACTGGAATCTAGCTTTCTGGTGGCACGAGGCTGGATAGAAGGGAGACGACTGATGATCCCGAGGGAAACGGGATTGCCCAGAGCGGAGTGAAAGAAAACGCAAGCAAATGCTTCCATTAGTAGAGGTCATGTCCTTCAATTTCACTTGAAATTCTGCGACGCCGTAGAAGAAGTTTTCTGGTCCTCTTCAAGCCCAGCAGAAGTATTATCAACTACGGCAGCATATCGGCGTTCATACCTTATTTCATTAATGGAAAGGCCTACTTTGCAACCCTCCAGTTTATCAGCCCACGACGAGGGATCTAGCAGGCCCAGGCCCAGCATCAAACACTCTCTTCATCCTTGAAGTCCACTTTCCTCTCTTCTTGCTCCACAGACTTTCGCATACACAATGGGGCCAGAAATCCCATGCCGCCTAACATCATCGGGCCAACAATGACGAAGAGATCCATGACGCTGACGCGCAATATGATGACCACCACCTCCACTAGTACGAAGAGCCCCAACAGCGCATACATTTGCGGTGTCATATGCCGCCAGTGTCGTTTCCCCATAGGGTTCATGACCAGCATGAAGCCTGAAATTGTCATGATAGATAGGAACGCTAGGGTTGAGACGCAGAAGATGATGACGGCGAAAAGTGCAAGGGGTATGGAGGGCCATAGGTCGTGATGAGCGTGCCATGAGATGGCAGCTGTCATCTAATTTTCACATGCGTCAGTAATATGTACTTGAATAGCTGTATCACAAATTCTTGCTGACGCTCAATTGTCCCTAATTCTTTTCGTCGACCACAAGGAGACGAGACTCACCCCACCGATCATATCACCAAACTCGAACCATCCGAGCCCGACATTCGAAGCCCATCCACTGAGTCCCATCAACAAACCAGCTACTCCCAATGTGCGACTTAATCGAGCTTCGTATGCATTACTGTAATCGAGATCCTTTAATTCATGGATCCAGGAGCTTCGACAATCGGCACAGATAGGATCCGAAGGGGTCGATGCGCAGGAGGGACATTGCCAATTAGGCTGCACTGGAGGTACGTTAGTATTACACTCAATTGGAGAGACGAGTATTGAGGCTTTGAGCTGTACCTTCGAACGGCCCAAGTCCCAGATACACAGAGAGCTTCTCGACGCCGCCTGCGATATTGTAGAGCGCCATGTTTGCTGTTGGAATACGTTGGATAGTATTCTGCACCGCAAAATGTCTAGATTTTCCTGTTTTCAATCTCCTCTTTCGAGATTGGGGAAAGTCACATCTTTATCAGATGCTGTCACGGATACGAGATGTTGTTGTTGCTGCCAAGTCAAGCTTGTGGTGGGCGCAGCGTATCCGCAATTTCTATATCAGGACATTCTATCTGACCAATCACGGAGGAGAGTCAACATTCAAGTTTCTACCAAGTGCTTGAAAACTACCTAGGCACTCGGGGCGGGGGGAGAGGGGGGAAATCAATAAAAAAGAATTCAGGACACCTACGGAGGTATTTGATAAATATGACTATATGAAGACTCACTACTTGGTAATAAGAAAAAAAAAAATCAGATCGAGCACCAAGGGACTCGCTATTACATAGTTCGTAAGCGCAAGAACAAAGAGTGGAAAGACAATGAAGTACTTACAACCCTCAACCTCAGTCTTACACTCTTGCGAGTCGTAGGAGGACCGCGCGCTACCATTGCGCCAAGCACCCAGTTTTGTCTTCGTTAAGGCGAAAGACATTGTAGAATCATACGTGGTTTGACGAAAAATTTCTTATTTCATTACATATTAGCATTTGCAGAAAGCTCTTTGGAGTTCCTTTACCGAGTCCCACACCCCACTCTACCACCCCACTCTACCACCCCACTCTACCACCCCACTCCGTCACTCCACTCGATGTTCCCAAGTACCTCTACCGCTCTACACAGAGAAATCTTTTGTACTAAAGTCTGTACTATCACAGAATTCTTGTCTTAGATCCTTGATGAAGATTTGAATTGCTATATCTAAGTTTATGACGTTAGGCTATTTACTCTATTGCCTTGGCTCTTTCAAAGGCCTTGGAGATAAAGAACCAAGGTAGATGTCGCATCAGGATTGTACTGGGTAAGTATTTAGAGGTAGTTTGTTAACTACTACCCAGAAGTACGCCCTCTAACCACATATCAAGGTGGCATTTTAGCTTCTTTAAAGCTCTCGCATCGCTTCTGTTGCTTGGAACCCCCAGGTATATTATACTCCAAGGCCCCGTTACCACGTCAATTCTACCTAAAAGCTCAAGTCTGCCTAATAACACGAGTTGATTTATGCATTCATTTAAATACGACCTGACCTGCAGCAAGCAAGCAACTAATGACAACGGTTTTGATATGATAGCCTGCGGGTTTGACGTCCATCGCTGGACATTTTGTACTGGGTGGCAGCAGAAGGATCTTGGACGTTTCTGAAGAAGGAATGATAGTGTCTAGACACCTGTCTAGAATAGGCATTACTTCCCAGAGTCGGGAGCAAGCTTGCCATTCTGTATAGCCTCGAGGTCGAGCATAGGTTGGTATTGCGTAATCTTTATCATTTTCATTTGCCTCTTAGTCCTGAATAGTAAAGTTGTCACCGTCCTCGAAACTGCCATCATAATGAGCCAGCCAGTTGCTTTCGCTTAGTGCGTTCTCGGATTTGATCTCAGTCATGTTATCCCCCGAGAGTGCCACTTAACTAGCATTCGTCACTTCCGTCGAAATTTTATAAGATCCAATAGTACCTTCTCTTTTTCAGTTTGCAGACATCTATAACACAGAGCTTCTAGGGCAATTTTTCTGTCGAAACAGCGTCAGCGACTCTCTTCGGTATCACACACATCATCACGTTCTTCTACTATGGGAACGGCACTCTCATCACCAAGGCTGATGCTCAGATGATCTATATGAAGACAGTCGGACCAAGTCCTAGCAAAAATGTGGCAATGAATTGAACTGACAAGGGGAGTGCTGTGGTGATGTAAAGACCTAGCCCTGCTGCTCCGGACATGATTTGGGCATTCTTGGTATTGATCGTTGGGTGGTAGACATACTTCTAGATTACCTTGTCTCGTTCTAGTAGGGAATATCTTGGGAGGTTGCTGTTTCATATGGAACTGGCTTGGACACAAGTTAGCGTTGGGCATGTATTTACTAATTTTCCCGAGTTGCAATTGCTTGTGAAATGATAACAGTCAACACATGAGCGCTACGGAACACACGTAGTCTTGATTACTTCAGCGCCACGTTGCAGAATCTTGCTTTAAGAGCTGTCATAAAGTGGATTTCTTCTTGTTGATGGTCCACAATTGGCCATTTAGTGCAAAACCAACAACTCCCCGCCCCCTCAGCCTCAATTGTGCCTCTAGACACCAACAAATGAAGAATACGGAAATATCATATCCTAAAAGCAATACAGGGCTTAGAATTTCTACAAAGCTGTTCATATTTTTTGTATTCCATCAAACATCCCCAACCGCAAATATGTCACCTATCGCGAACCTCCCAGTAGCAATCCTTTACAACAAATCAAGATATCTCTCACGTCTTAGTATCTATCTAGTATTCGGAAAATATACACTCGCGTCATCAGCACTGTCTGAGAATAAAGCTCAATCCACAAACCATCGCAAGAACAACAGGATGGAAATGCTTGTCACTAATTTCTGTTGGTGTTGATACCAACTCGCTTATCAAAACCAACACAACTTCCCCTCCCTCAGCCTCCACTGTGCCTCAAGGAGCCAGCAGACCAACAAATGATATACTCCACACTTAAGGTGACGAGAGTAATGAAGTGCTTCGACTTTTCCATCTCAATCACGATTCCAAGTTTCCGTCTTGAAACGGATCGGAACATCAAGTGTTCGTCTCAACTACAAATAGAATGTCATTCATCAACATAGACCTACCAATAGCCCTCCTCTACCACCATTCTAAGATCCTCGAAGGTATAAGCATACGCATGGGAACAGGTACATTCTCAAGTACGTACCACTCGTCCCCACTGAACCCCTCCATCCATATCATTCAAAATTCAACGACGTCTCATTTAGAAACACCTCCTATCCCAACTCGCGATTCAAAACCATGTCCCTCATGTCTCTTCGCGCCAAGACAAGATCTCTGCACGCTCTGCCGACGCAACTGGCTTCAAAGCATAGAACAACCGATACCATACCAGCGGATGCAGCATTTGTTTCTAGCGATCATGCATTTTACCTGTGGCTGGGTGATCCTCATAGGAAACATGGTCAATGAGTGGTGGAGTCCTGGCCCGTTCTTTTCGAAAGTGAGTTAAATCTGTTCTAAAGATGGAGAAATGAAGGAGAGTGAAAGGAGGAATTGCAAGAGTTAACTCGTCTCGAAAATACAGCTCCTGTACCTCATCTCCCCTCTCCTGCCTCCACCTCTCCTGAGCTCACCACCATCCTTCCCCTTCACAGTCCTCATGAATATCTTGGGATGGATCTCCGCACTCATCACTTTCCTCACCCTACTCCTGTTCGTTCTAGGCTACATGCTAGAGTACAGCTGGACGAAAACGCGCCTTCAGGAAGCAAGAGAACGACCTAGAGTGAGGCGATTCCGGCGGCAGAGAAATAAGGATATCTGTTGTCCTGGATTATGTGTGCTGCTGCACATGGTTGGTCTTGGTGTTCAGATGTATGTCACATTGTTGTGCTGTACAGAGCAGGAGAATAGACTGGTCATGCTACCTTGGCAGTTGGGGTGGCATCACTTGGTAATGCTTGCATTTAAGAGGCTGGAGAGGAAAGAAATCGTGGACTTGGAGAGCGATGGTGGAGATATTGAGGTGGAGGGGGGCTTGGCGAAGGGGGCTTGAGTGGTCCTGGAGTTTGTAGTATCGTGATTGAGAACAGGTTTCCTCTTAGAGGGTGATCTTATACCGCTATGCCAGATGGTCTCGTCGTATAGCTTGTTCTCGTGACTATCATTATCCGTCATATCAATCTCGTCATAAATCCCTCACGAAATTCCTAACCTGGTTCTGCAACGTCTTGATCGCCTCCCTATCATGCCAGAAGTGCCCAGCACCAGGAACCTCAATATGCCGGAAATGACGCTTCCCTTCCTCTTTTCCAGCATCCCTCAGTTTCTCGGACCAAGCCCGTAACCTCCTAGCACTGACAAAGACATCATCGTCTCCAAATATCGCAAGCGTCGGATCTACCGTGAACTTCATCTCATGCTCCGAGATCGATTCCTTGTCTCGCCAGCATTTGGATGTCCATAATGTGGCTAGACTATTGATTAACCCCTGAAGGGGTGACACCAAGAGGTAGCCAATTTGCAAGCCTTCCACGGCACCGGGAATTGCTTTTAGTATTGGATTATCATCTATCATTGCGATTTCGCCCGTCAGACTTGTTGCAAGCGAATGACGGGACCCGGGTCTGCTCTGGGTGGAAGACGCAACGGAATCATGTGTGTTGTGCCTTTTCGGTGACATTCGCTTGTGTTTGCCAATCGATCTGACTCTGTCCACGCTCTTCCTCACCAGTTCCGGAGCATCGATGGAAAATGATCCTCTTCCTCGGACCGAATCATGGCTTGCCCTGCGAAGATCCTCTCCACCACCCATCCTAACACCACTAGGCTTCCGCCCTTTCGAGTAGAGAATCTCATCTGCGTTCAAACTGCGACCCCGACGGTGTGAATATGTTTGTAGGAGAGCCGAAATCTGAGTGTTTATGATCTGAGTTTGCTGTGTCGCCAGACAATCGGCACGTAAACGGATCTCTGCATATGCTGAGCCTGGAGCTGGCGTTTGAAAGGGCGATATTATAGAGCTGATTATGGGTGGTAACAGACTCGTTATCAAGGCTCCGTAGGAGTACCCCGCTAACAGAAGTCTTGGTTGCGTATTGACGACACCACTTCTCTCCTTCTCGGATGTAGATGACAGTAGATCTGCGGACGAGGTAGGGGCCAAGTATTGCGAATCGCTGAAATGCGGAGGAGAAACTGCCTGGGAAGGAACGGGAGTCAACTCGTGTAATTCGGGGTTGGAGCGCGTAAATGCTGGAAGACCGGCTGGCAAAGGAAGCGGTGACAAAAGATGCATGTAAAACACCATGAATGCAACGAAGCTGATGTAATCCTTCTGCTCGGCCTTTGCCTGCCATGATGTCCGCCCCTTTGAAGACCCTGCCCCTCTGCAGACAAGAAGTTAGCAACGCAATCAACCGGTAAGTCTTGACGAGGAGTTGCTTACCTAAAATTGAAGGTTCCAACCACAAAGTTTTGTTTCAACAGAAGGCCGACAATGCACCTCACGACTGGATCGTCCATGGATCCACCCATAGGAGCGTATGGATGTGCCACAACCGCTGCCTTCTTGTTCCATGCCGCGAGGTGTGAAATCGAGGTTGGCGCCAGGGAAGCGGGGTGATAGACGCGACAGTCCAGTATTACATCCTCCTGTATAGAAGGAATGGTGAAGCTCAATGTAGGAGGAGGAAGCATGGCAGGCAAATTGAACCAGAAGCCTTGGCCCCGGAGAGTTTCACCCGATACTGTGAAGCCAATTCAAAGCCAGCATCGTGCTGTCGTGGAGGTGACGACGAGGGAGGAGTTGGGGAATGTGATGCGATATTAAGGTTCCTGGGTCGGTCGGTAGGATTCGAGACGCTGACTGCGACTTTGGCTTCTTTTGAAGACGTGTCCAGGCACAGGTGGAGGAGGCGGGGGAGGAGAAATTGCTGATCTGATCGGCGCCTTTTGGCAGGATTGAAGGCGACGATGTCATGCTGTTTCGATCCGGCTGCTTGGGCTGGAAGTCTCATGAGCCACGAGCCAGTCAGCGAAGCAGCTCAGCTTCAGGGCCGGTGTCTCGGCCGGCAGTGGCATTGTCGGCAAGCTTGTTTTGTGGAGCTGGCATTTCGTCTCCCCGCCTTCCGGCACCCTTCCCAGGCATTTTTTATTTACCTCCACAACTTGAATCATACAAGTCACAATATATCAAGTCTATTCTTACCGATTTTGGAGGTCAATAAACCAAGAAGTTCCCTGTCTGGTCTAGTACAGGGATCATTATTTTCATCATTTCCATCATTTCCATTGTTGACTCGATAGTTTTTGTTCTTATCCGTTTTCAATCCTGAAGATCTACATCTATTCTGCACAACTCGACACTGCCAAACCTCGAACGAGAGGGAAACCCTTCAATAACAGCGCAGCTCACGCCCATCAGATCGAAGACCTATCCGCACGATGCGAAAGAACCACATGCAACGCCGGCTTCTCCCACATAAAGTAGACTTTCTGGTCCATCCAAGCCTGAGTCTCATCCCAGAGCCGCATGTCGAAATGCCACAAAATGCGTGCCATTACTGAACGCATCTCGTTGTATGCAAGGCTAGAAAATTGTCAGCCGCTGCCATGCCAAAGATTGACCAAAGGGGAGCAAGTTAAGGATGTTAACAGGAAACGAAACATACTTCTTGCCAATGCAATTCCTAGGTCCTGTTGAGAACGGATTCAGGGATTCTTTGACATCTCTGTTGAACTCTTCTGGTGGGTTAAGTAGCCAGCATTCGGGTACGAAGCGCTCAGGTTCGTGGAAGTTTGCTGTAGAACAGTAGGTTGAGAGCTGGGAGACTGCTACTGATGTCTTTGCGAGAGTTAGCATGCCGCCATTCAAACCTCGGACATTTGGAACGTACATTTCCAGGTACAAAGACACCTCCTATCACATCTCCCTCAGGCTTCGTTCGTCGTGGAAGGGCGATAGGCACTGGTGGGTACATTCTCAATGCTTCTTCGATGCAAGCTTGCAAGTATGGAAGCTGCCCTGTGGAGGTCAAGGTGATCTCCTCAGAAGACTGGAAAGCCGATCGGGTTTCTTCTTTGACTTTCGCGTAGACTTTAGGGTTCTGGAGGAGGAAGTATGTCAATCCGCTGAGAAGAGTCGCTGTGGTTTCAGACCCTGCAATGATGAGAAGCTCAGATGTACTCATCAATTCCTCCCTGCTCATTCCTTTCTCATCGTTGTGGCGGAGGATCTTCAGGTCTGGTAAGTGTCTGTCCCCGCTTCGGCTATGAAATGGCACTTACATAGGACATGAAATCCTTCCGATCAGTTTTCATATCCAGCCTCGCCTCCGTCTTCTTTTTGCAAAATGAAAGATGCTCTTCTCTCGCTTTGGCGATTGCAGGCACAAACTTCACAAGCGCAGTCAAGAACAGCTTAGCTGGTTGATAGAACGACGCAATGGCCATGATCCGTCCATACTTTATACCATTGAACAGATTCGCCATCCATTTGTGATATTCACCGGCTTCCAGGGCATGGAAAGACTCCCCGAATGACATGTCGCCAATGATGTCGAACGTCAGGAAGTTGTACCAGTTCTTGATATCGACCTTGCCTTTGTTGGGTCCGTCAATCTGGTCTTTCAGACGCGACACGAGGAGCTCAAAGTAAGGCGTGAGCAGATCCTCTTGCTGCCGTAGTGCTGAGTCTGAGAAAGCGTGGGATAACAGCTTGCGCATACGTGCATGGTCTGCATCGTTCGAGACTTAAATACAAGTCAACAAATCGCTTACATCAGAAGCAGTACGAAGAAAACTCACATATAATATCCGTTTTCGTCCCGCCAGTAATCCTATAAAACTGTGGGTCCTTTTGCAGCTGGCTCTTACCGGGACGCATGCCATAGATATCTGTACCATATCAGCCAGAGTCCATTACTAGCATGCTGCTGTCAATTAGCCCACCTTTCCATGCTGCCGCGGTATCGAACGTCAAGCTATCAGGTCGAATTCTCACAACATCTCCATACTTCTCATGGAGCGCCTTCACACTTTGGGGATGACTTCCTTTGTAAAGCTCCCAGTAGTCACCAGCATGAACTCCTGTTCGTGATGCTGGCCCAGGGAATTTTGAAAGTGGATGGAAATAGAGATTGTAGATGACTGTTGCACCGAGGTATATGAGATACTTGGCTTCATCAATATCGAATTTTTTGTCACCAGGCAAAGGCTGTCACTTACAAGTGAAGCAAACGAGAGACCTAGGATGGGTAGATACCCTGAGGTAAATGCGGTGAAGTAAGTCATTGTCTCATTGAATGGTCTAGCCTGTCTTCAAATGATTTACCTGTGAGAGTACAGTCTGTAATCAAGTCGTGGTGTTCAGATGTTGGTGGCAATTCAATAACGGACAAAAATGTCGGCTTCATTGTCAAGGGGTGCTAACGTCAATATACAGTATTCTCCTTGACACATTCGCCACCACGCAGCACAGATCATAGCCGGGCACCTGGCACAAAGTTCCTGAACGAGTAACCAAGACCAGAAGAAGAATAAGAACAAGAATACGAAGACCTTCCTGAATCGGGCGATATTTACGTCCCGTCGTCAAACTTGGCGGCCGAACTGTAAATTTTCAAGCCACCGTGCAATTGGACGCGTTCGGCAGCTTGATGTCATGAGCTGTCTTTGAAACGCGTGTTGTGACGTGCGCAGCAGGCAGATATCAGACTGAAAAGCGAACTGCCTGGCTGCTTCGTATTCGGATAGTCCTGGGATCTTGCGAAATGCATATGGGTCTCTGTCCCAGGGATCTTGTAGTAGCTTTTGACCTGAAGCAGCAAAGTCCAGTACGCCAGCTATGCTACGCAATTTATTCCCCAGACCCTGGGCTGGGATCGGCGGTATGCCCTGCTCGGTTGGAGGGTTATCGGGATATTGAAACTTGAAATTTGGGCCAGGTGGTGTCCCGAAGGTATGATGTTGGGAGTCATCCGTGATTTACTCAATGGCTACGAGTAAGTGCCAACCGTCGATGGGTTTACCTCGGATAAGTGTTTAAAATGTGAACCAAGCGACGACACAAACTCCAAATGTACGATGACAAAGCAGCGGACCAAGCAGAATCATATGGGTACGGCTCTTGCATTTATCCTATCAGAGGTGATCTTTTGTCTCTCGCAGGACAACTGAGTCCTTGATGTTTACCTCGAGGCAGATTTCTTGAACATATTCCATACATCTACACCATTTCCCACAATAAATGCTTTGGTGGCAACCCCTTCCGTGGCACTCAATATGGATAAATCCCCAACGTCAGCTACTGAGGTAAAGACATCCTCAACCTGCGAGAAGTCCAGCTGTGCTTCATGGTTCGGAAATAGGCCCATATTGGGATCGAGGCGCACTTGCCAGCTCTTTACCCTTTGATCATTGCCCGATGTGACGATGAGAAAGCCGGAATTATCTCCCTCGGATGTTATGGAGAGGGCGGTGATAGCTGCCGTATGGGCTGATCTTAAAATATATATCCTTGGACGAACCTGAGAGTCTTGGAGACAAAGAATTGGGTAGACAGATATGGCGAGGGCGTTGTCGTCTCCGCCGGTTACAATTACGAAATAAGTGCTATAGACCTTTAGGTCGAGAGCCTTGATGGTGCTCTGATGTATTTTCTTGGAAGATAGGATGCTGTGTCTAGCGATTTCGGCACTCTCAAGCTCTGTCTTTGAGATTTTTCCTTTCCACAATGTGATATTGCCATCTGTCGCCGCAGTGAGAAAACAGATGTCACCGTCCGAAAATTGGATATGCCGGAGTTGAGTGAGACACGATGAAGTATATTTGCCTACCGCTAGTAGAGCGAAGCCTTTGGCTTTTGAGTAGGCGTAAGTTCTGATTGTAGAATCAGAGAATGCCAAGCTGATCAGCAAGTCGCTGCTGTCTTTGGCTTCTGATGGAAAATTAGTCACATCGAAGCTCATGATGCGTAGATCTCCACCGGCACTCCTGTCGGGATATGATGCCTCGCACTCAACGCCAATTCCGACATTTGGGATGATTCGAATCGCCCAGATAAAGAACTCTTCATTTCCACCGCTGCTGAAGAGATATTTTGATCCGTGCCATTGAAGGTGTTGGATTCCAGTGGTGTGCTTTTCAATGATAGACAAGCAATCTAAACGAGAGTCCAGGTTTGAGACAGCACTTTTGTACCGCCAGATACGAATAGCAGTATCCTCGGCTCCTGTTGCAATTAAGCCACCATCCACAGACACGGCTGAGGCTTTGATCTCCCTGCCATGACCCCCTTGCTTCAAAATGGTGTGCGACGGATCGCGCTGTGAGTAAAAGTGAAGTTTGGAAGCTTTGGTGTAGACGAAACAACCACCGTTCGCAGTGCTGGATGGGCAGAATGCATAACTCCGATGCGCACCACCACAATCAACGTTCGATACTTCGTAGTGTTTGCTCTCATTCCAGACGACAAAACTTTTGCTCCTGAATCCATAGAAGAACAGGTCTCCATCTTGAAACCACGCAGCTTCGACCATGGGACCTAGCGGTAGCCTGCTGTGATGAACACGGCATATGTTTACACCCCTGAAAACGTCATTTGGAACCGGAGTAGCTGTGCAAGAGAATATTGAGTAGCATCCAGTGCGGTCTGTTGTCAGGAAGTGTCCATTGCTTCCACGAATTGAGTCTCGTGGTGTCAAAGGGAGAATCGTAGCAATCGCATCAGAGGGGGAGTCCTTCGGTGGCGTCCAAATGTTGATAGGGTCCGCACTTTTCGCCGTCTCGTAGACGGCCAGCAAACCGGATCTTGCACCCAGAACCAGTAAGCCATTGATTTTACCAGCGCTTGTGACGAGAAATCTGTGAGGCAGATTGCACGTTGTTGAGTACGACAACCGGGGAGCAGCGATGCTTGAGTGTTCGACGGTGAACAATGTGGCGATTGGACTTGATAATACTGTGACTAGCAATTCGTAGGAGTTCGTCTCGACATTTAACATCTTGAACATGTTGAGAATTTTTCCTTCCACCTGCCCCGCGACTTGGATCGAATGCCCATCTCGGTAGGCAAATATTGTACCATTTGTTCCAGCCAAAAAAGCAATGCCAATCTCCGGAAGACCTTCTATCACATTATAGTTTTTTAGGTCAAGGCGTGACGACTCTGGTAGTGGTGCCTCGCTCCAGAGCACATTAGTATCGATATCTCCGACCAAAACTCGACCCTGATTGGTCGTGGCAATCATCTGGCGCTCTGACGCAAAAGCATATCGATTGAAGCCGTCCTTGATAAGAGGTCTGGGCTTCTTCATTTTCGAGGATTGAGTGTTAGCTGGGATTACGTCCGCAAGGACGGATTCAGGTGCAAGGAGCGAAAGTTCTGATTCCTCCCGTACATCGCCTTGGGTATGAGCGGATGAACCAAGTGATGACACAATATCCTCAAGAGCCCATACGAGAGACTGGGGAGGCTTTTGTGTCGGCAAGGTCGACACGATTGACTCTTCTTTGGAGCCCATCTCCCGTGGAGATAGTAAGAGAGTCTCATCTGCACCTACAGTGTACATAGAGATTTTCCCATCGGCCCCTCCAGTGGCGAGCACATAATTAGATTTCCCGAGATAAAATCTCGCCGTTGACCAGAGATGTTTCCCACGGTGGAAGTCGAATACCCTTAGCTGGTTTAATTGGGCAACTGCGTCGGGTTCGAGGCCTTTCTTCTGTTTCAGGACTGCCAAAAGAGGATCTTTAGCTTCATCCCGGACATAATTGTGCCCAAAATTCAGAGACCAATGCTGTGCTGTTGAGTCTTCGCCAAATGAAAGTACACTTATGGATGAAGGGTTGGAGAGAGGGGGCTCTTCAGCAAGAAATTTGACACTCCATATCCTGGAGGCGTGAGCCATGACTGTAGCAATACATCTGTTCAATACGTCTAATGATTTCGGTCCATCATTCTCGCCAAATCCAGTCTCGCGCATCAGCATGGTGCTTCTGGAGAATGATTGGCTTGACTCCGAGAGATCCCAGATACGAATTGTCCGATCATCACTGCAGCTTGCGAGTAAGCGGCCGGTCGTACCATTGGGTTGGACGACAGGAGGGGAGATATCAACACCAAATATTGATCCTTCATGGCCCGAGAATGTATAGATCACTTGACTTTCCCCAGTCGTAGAGCACTTCCAGACAATGATCTCACCAAATACCGTGCCTGCAGCTACGAGGATCTCAGAGCGAGATTCCCATACCAGGTCCGCTGAGTACAAGATGGATCGGGAAGGAGATGACAGAGTTTCTACCTTCTGTTCTTTCGTGGTCTTGATGTGCCTGGTTCTGAGGACCGTATTGTGGGCAGTGATGAGGACGCATTCATCATTTTGTGGAGAAATTGCAACATCGAGAATCCAGTCAGAAACCGCAATGACTGAGGACGTGAAGCAGCTAGTATGGTGGAGGAGATGCCTCTCAACATCTTTTCTTCCTAGTACAATCAAGGAATTCCCACCCCAAATGGCCATTTGCAGAGCGTTCTCACCATTGCTAGCTTCTCGCAAAGCAATGCCATGGATAGTCTGGCCATCGAAAATTTCACAAACTGATAGCAGTTTGGTTGTCACTGCGTCAAAAGCCTTCAGGAAAGAGCCCTCACCCGCGAATACGACAGTGGACCCAGAATCTGTAATGTAGAATCCGAGGGCCGTGACTGGATTCAAGATATGGTCATGCTGAGAATCGTTAGTTGCGCAGTCTAGAATGTGGATATGAGAAACCCACTCTGAGCGCCATTGGCCGACCCCTTCTTATGACTGAGATTGAGATGGCTATGGCTCCTTGCGCCTCTTTCTTATCGATCAACAAGGATGCAACAGCTCAGAATTGGCGGATCGCAAGTGTAGACGAACTCATGGCAGCTAGACTGAAATCCACCATTAATTTTTCAGATCTTCCTTGGTGGTGTTGCATGCCGAAGAACAGATACCGATGCGGTGCATATGAGTATATCCGTGACTGTCTTGCATGTGAGGTTGTAACAGCGACTTGCAAATCCGAGGGTTGGAAGCTTCCCCTTTTGCAGCCTTGCTGGATGATGGATGTTTGTGTTTGTGTTTGATGGGGAGAGAAAATCTCGCTTGTCGCATTCTAGTGTCGTCTCGGCAAAACACCGGCAGAGCCTTTTTATGCACACCGTCGTCCCTTGACGGACGATGGGGTTTTATGTCCAAGATTATGATTATGATTATGCACGCTCCATGCAGGGTCTCATCCAGCCGAGGCTGACACATGAAAGGCAAAAGCCATCGCCAGGGCATCATCGAAAGACGCGAAGCATCAGGCAGCTCGATGTATGACGCCGATTTGGATGCTGCCAGATCTGAGAATCCCAACCATTTGATGCACGGCGGCCCAGGATATCTGAGTGTAGGTAGGTATTTTGCCTGCGCATGTGACACTCTTACTGTAGGTATCTAGGACTACTATCATACGGTAATCTGCTGTGCTGTATCTCTGTTTTAACCATATCGTCACTGACCGCCCGGAAACTGTTGGGACAACACCCCTCTCTTTTCGTCGTTCCCATGCTATGCCACGTACCCACACGCCCTTCATCGATCTGAGGATCGATTTAGCATCGCAGTACAAGAACATCCTCTGCGGAAGCATCTTCAATCTGGCGCCTACCAACACCTCTTTCACTCCCACCCAGCTGCCGAAGCCACCATGATTGGAACTTCGAGGGCGGAATATGTCTTTATACGATTCTGCATAATAGGCTTGCACTACCTGGCACCGCTTTGCCTGCTCTACTGCGCGCTGGTGATTGCGCTGTATGGCTTGAAAACCGCCGTAACATCGCCAGTCCCGCGCCTCATTGAGGGCATAGCCATTGCAGAATCGCTATTCTTCCTCTTGGTCTATCTTCCATACAGATATCGCCTTCAACGCGAAGCAACACACCCTCCTGCGCCGACACGCGACGAGCGTCGGGAACTCTTTGCCCATTGCAATGATAATATCGCCGACCCCGAAGCATACCTCAAGAAGTGGTTTTTGGGAGCGGACCTGAAGGATATCAAACGGGAGAATGTGAAAGAATTTCTTCTGTGGGCATTTCTTAACCGTGGCGGATCGCCAGGCGATGACGACGAGGAATTGGAAGAGTATGTCAATGCCCTGGAAGTACTCCTTGGGAAACCAATAGAGGAAGGTAGAGGCACCGCTGATTGCCTGCGATTGACGCTCGATCGCGTCGATATGCTGCACAGGAGCTTAGTATGGTATTGTGTACGTCCTCCAACTGAAATAGAAGAGTGGCACGGGCTAACGTCAAAAGTGTGTTGGATTTGTTGACTTCCTGACTTATGTGAAACTGCTCTACCACGGCTTTCATTTTCATCGTACGAATCTGTCGCGCTTCTTCGCCCTCTTTCCTCTGCGGCCACAAGCTTTCTTCACGAAATATCGATCTCCAGCAAAGCACACTACATATTGGCATCGCCCGCATACTTCGAAAACAAAGCTCCCAGTAGTATTCATACATGGCATCGGAATTGGACTGTATCCTTACACAAACTTTTTAAGTGAGCTGAACTCGACTGCTGGCTTGGAATCAACAGACTCAGATGAGCAGGTGGGTATCATTGCGATAGAAATCATGCCAGTGTCTTTCAGGATCACCCACTCTGCATTGGGTCGTGCCGAGATGTGTGCAGAGATTAAACAGATTCTCCATGAACACCTCCTCCCAGGACAAAAATGCGTCTTGGTAACTCACTCATACGGCTCGGTCATCACCACTCACCTTCTCAAAGAAGCTTCGACCTCTTCATTGATCGGACCGGTCGTTTTGATAGACCCCGTCTCGATTCTGCTTCATCTACCGGATGTAGCGTACAACTTTACACGCAGGCAACCGAAGAGAGCAAACGAGCACCAGCTTTACTACTTCGCGAGCATGGATATGGGAGTTAGTCATACTCTCAGTCGCCATTTTTTCTGGAACGAAAATGTACTGTGGAAGAAGGACATGCAGGGGAGGCGAATCACTGTCAGCCTTGGCGGGAAAGATCTGATTGTCAATACCGAGGCAGTTGGGAGGTACTTGAGTGAGGAGAAGAGAGTCGGGAATGGCTACACGGGTGAGAACGGGAACGGGAATGGAAATGTAAACGGCAATGGAAAAGCCACAGGCATTCTGGTAGATTTCGAAGGTCGAGACGATGCGGCCCTGTCAGACACGACGGAAAACGAAACGGATCATGACAGTGAATTCGAAGAAGAGATAGTTGAAGAGGAGTGGAAAAGTCGTTCGTGGAAAGGCACTGGTATCGATGTTCTGTGGTTCAAGGACTTAGATCATGCACAAGTATTCGACAAGGCAGCCACGAGACGTAGAGTCATTGACGTTATCACGACTTACAGCAATAACGAATGATTGGGATGAGGATGAAAGCGAGCATTTTTCGGTGCCATGGAGGAGCGTGGTGCATTCTTGATTTCCACTTCGACAAATAATACGGAGAACCTGCGGTTCTCTTTGCTGCAAGAATATACCATGTACAAATAATAGACCACATGATACTTCGTTAAGCACATACACAACAAAAACACACACTAGACACTGTACTTGTCATATTTGCTAGCTGGACAACGTGCCGTATCTGAGTGTCCTGAACGGGATACCACATTTGAACTCTATCAATGCAGATCACTTGTCAATTCCAAAACCGTGTCGATGTCCAGCTTTGAACAGACAACCATTAACGCAGCCAATACTCAACTTCATCAGAGTTTCGGACGATCTTCTTGGCCCATCACAACCACAGCCTTTCCCCAGACTTTTCTCGCCTCGAGATCCTTCATGGCTCTAACTACACTTTCCAAGCCCTGATACTCTTCATTATAAATTGTCGGGTTGAGTTTGCCACTTTCCCATAATACTTTCAACTCTTTCCAGATCTGTGCTGTCTCAGCAGGATCGATACGATCTGTTTCGCCGTAACGCTGTTGAAGAGTATGCACGTTAGCAAGCACTACTGCTTTATGTTGATACGACTCCGCTGGAAGTACAAGTACGTAAAGAGGGAAACAATCAAGGAATCTCACATAGCCAATCAGCTGAGCTTGTCTCAATAAGACCCTATTCATAGCAATCTTCTCCAATCTACCTTCCGTTCCTGCAAACCCGACAACCAGAATCCTCCCCCCCTGCTTTAGACACTTCAGACTCAAATCCACCAGCCCAACCGGATCAAATACAATATCTACACCATTGCCTTCGGTAATCTTCATGACATCCTCAACCCACCCAGCTGAAGCATAGTTTACACAGTCATCTGCACCAAATCTCTTCGCAACAGCAAGTTTGGACGATGAAGATATGTGGCTATCACTCGAGCTCCAACAGCCTTAGATATCTGTACGGCCATGAGACCAAGACCACCTGCTGCAGCATGAATCAGGATTGTCTCGCCTTTTTGCAGACGGCCTCGAAGGATCAAAGCACCATAGCTCACTGGTGCTGTGGCGGCGAGCCCAGCTGCTTGAGCGAATGTCCAATGTTGGGGGATGAGATGGAGAGAGGAGGGCTTGACGCTGATTTGGGTTGCGTAGGAGCCAATCGAGCCACCAAATACTCGGGAGCCTGGTGGAAATCTGGATTGGGCCGAAGATGGAGAGGATAGGATGGTGCCCGCGAATTCGAGACCGAGGATGAAAGGGGGAGTGACGAGGGAGCGGTTATTTTGGTGTTTACCACGGGCCTTGAGATTGTGAGAAGAGCTTTGAAATGCCGATGTGGAAGTGAAACAAAAAGACATTTTGAGTGACTGAACGCTTGTTCTGACTGTGGGCTTGCTTGGAGCTGACATCAACTTCCCCGAAACTGGTGAGAGGACTCACATATAATAAATCAACAAAGTTGACACCTGCTGCTTCTATCTTTACGAGCACCTCTTCATCTTTCGCTTCGGGGTTTGGTACTTCTGATATCTTGACATCGTCGACTCTCTTGAAGGTCACTCATCAACATGATGCTTAGAGAGCTTGTAGGAGGACTTACTTCCACGAATTTGTCTATGAGAATTGCCTTCATGGTACACGAGTTCGGAATGTGAAGTGATGAGTAGTATTAGAGGCTGTTTTCTAAGTGAGGGGTTTAAAGAAGCGGTGCGGCCCGAGGTAAACAGATCGCTTCGTTCTAGGACAAGTAATCAACCACACTACTGGAGCTTCTTGGATCTTATCGCAAGTCTGAATGAGAGATCACGTATAGCTCTGTGCCTGTTTGAGAAATACATCCCATTCTATCAGGTCAAAACGATTGTTAGAATGGGAGCCACCCGGGTCTCTCTACCATTCATACATAATGCATGCACGAAAACACCAAAGAAGCCAGGCAACTTGTATGACGAAGTGAGTCTCGATACAATGTTGTGATGAACTTCCATAGCTTGCAGCTCCACCTCGGAATAATGCAGTCTGCTGTCCACCTCATGTTCCAATCTTTGAGGTGAAGTACAGTTCTCCACTATTTACGTCCCATATTGGTTAGCGCTAAGCCTAGTGTGAGGCTGCGTCCCAAAAAGCACCGCGACTCAGAGGAACAAAGCATTCCCATCTCCGTTAACACAACATCGACCCATCCTCGATCACTGCAGGTCTTCACTTCAATCGTCTGGTCGCACATGGCTGCCTAAAGTTGCTCGACTACAAATACACTCGAGATCCTCGTACCTCTTGCTCCATCTCCTTCGACACTCCCCATCAATACCATGTCTTTACAGAACACGCATTTCGAGGATAGCGAGGACGAGGACGACTTCAATCCCCAGCAGGCAGATATTTCGGATAATGAAGATGCGGGCGGTTCTGACCACGATGATGACGCTGGTGCACAAATACGGAATGAAGCTTCAAGACGCTCTACAAATGCGGACGATGGCTCCGATGATGAGCAACCTGCGCCTTCGAGGCGAAGATCTTCTGCGGACCAAAATGATGGTGATCAGGATGAAGACGACGAAGATGCTGAGGGTCCAGGAGAGGATGTAAACGCTGGCGCAGACGACGATGACGAGGAGGACGATGACGATGAAGAAGAGGAGATTACGGTTGGTTACCTTTCATACTCCTAAGGGAGTGTACTGACCAAACTCCAGGGCCACCGCAGAAAACGCCGTCGTGAACGCCGCAATCAGTTCCTCGATGTCGAAGCCGAGGTTGACGAAGATGAAGACGAGAACGACGACGATGAGGACGAGCTCAATGAAATCAAGGACAATTTTATAGCGGATACCCACCCCGATGATCTCGCAGACCTACCTGCTGGAGGAGTGTTTGACGATAAGAGACATCGCGAACTCGACCGTAGGCGCGAGATGGAGGCAAGTCTGGATGCTGAGAAACAGGCCGAGATACTGCGACAAAGATATGCCAACAAGAATAGGTCTGGCAGAGGTGCTGGAGATTCTGCGGTCGTACCCAGACGTTTGCTTCTCCCAAGTGTTGACGACCCGAGTATCTATGCTGTGCGCTGTAAGGAGGGAAAGGAACGAGAGGCAGTTTTCTCCATAAGTAGGTGGCCACGAAGCTCCAGCTTCATGCAATGCTGACCCTGAACAGTGAAGCGTGTGGAGGAAAGAACCGGGACCCGGGATGAGCTTGCGATTACTTGCGCATTCGAGCGAGGTGGTACACACTCGACGATGAAAGGATTCATTTATGTGGAAGCCCAGCGCCAAGCGGACATTTTGACCGCACTGGATGGAGTAATGAACGTGTACCCTCGAACGAAGATGATGTTGGTGGAGATCAAGGAGATGCCAGACTTGCTCAGAGTCACTAAGACGCCATCATTGGAACCGGGAGCCTATGTTCGACTGAGACGCCCTGCGAAGTACGTAGGTGACCTTGCTCAGGTTATTGATGTTACCGACACGGGATTAGAAGTTCGGGTCAGGTATGTGCCACGTCTGGACTATGGTCTCCACGAGGATGCAAACGCCCCTCAAGATCTTGGTGGCAAGAGAAAACGAGCTGCTGCTGGACCAAGACCACCGCAGAGACTTTTCAGTGAAGTTGAGGCAAAGAAACGACACGCCAAATATTTACAAGGACGATCCGATACTAAAATGTGGAATTACCTTGGCGACGACTATGTCAATGGCTACTGCGAAAAGGAGGTCAAGATCCAAACTCTGATCACCAAAGATGTCAATCCAACTCTAGAGGAGGTCACGAGATTTGCTTCAGGCGCTGAGGATGGAACAGAGAACCTGGATCTTAACGCACTTGCTGCCAGCTTGAAAGCTAGTACCGCAAATGCATCATATCTGCCTGGAGATGTGATCGAAGTATACGAAGGAGAACAAAAGGGTGTTGTAGGAAAAGCAGTCTCCGTTCAGGGCGATATCGTTACCCTAGCTGTTCAGGAAGGCGATCTGAGGGGCCAGACAATCGAAGTGCCTGTAAAAGGTCTACGAAAACGATTCAAGGAGGGTGATCACGTTAAGGTCATTGGTGGAAGCCGATTCAGAGACGAAGTGGGCATGGTCGTTAAGATTTCCGAGGACCGTGTTACTCTTTTGACCGATCAGAGTAATACTGAGGTCACTGTCTTCAGCAAAGATCTCCGAGAGGCCAGTGACTCGGGCGGTGGTGGATCGCTCGGTCAGTTCGAGCTCTGGGATTTGGTTCAGCTCGATCCATCCACAGTTGCTTGCATTGTGAAAGTTGATCGTGAGTCACTGGTTGTTCTCGACCAAAACAACCAAGTCCGAACTATTCTCCCATCTCAAATATCGAACAAACTCGAGAAGCGAAAGCACGCTGTAGCGACGGATCGAAACGGCTCCGAGATACGCGCTGATGACGACGTGAAAGAGTACGGCGGAGAGAGCCGGTCTGGCAAGATCCTTCACATCCACCGTGCTTATCTCTTCCTGAGAAATACTGCTCAGAGCGATAATGCTGGTGTATTTGTTACTCGCACCACCAGCGTCGCCACAGTTGCTGCTAAAGGAGGTCGATTAATTACATCGGCATCTCCAGATCTCAACTCCATGAATCCAGCTCTGAAGCGGAATCCTGGAGGGCAAACGGACATGCCCCCACCAAAGTCGTTTGGCCGAGATAGATCAATAGGCCAGACAGTCACGATTCGAAAAGGTCCTTACAAGGGTTTACTTGGTATTGTCAAAGAAACAACCGACACTAATGCTCGTGTCGAACTTCACACGAAGAGCAAGACAGTAAACGTGCCCAAGGACGCTCTGGGCTTCAAGGATCGCATCACAGGACAGTCAATCGACTTGAATTCAAGGGGCGGACACGGTGGTGGTAGAGGTGGCTTTCCTCCTCGTGGTGGTGCAGGCAGAGGGGGTTTGGGTGGTGCAACCCCAGGGGGTGGTTGGGATGGTGGCCGCACACCAATGGCAACTGGTGGGAATGAGCGGACGCCAGCCTGGGGTGCTGCTAGAAGTAAGTTGATTGATATCTGGTTGATAGCAACATAGGCTAACAATCATAGCACCTGCTGCAGCAAATGGTGGAAGGACCCCGGCATGGAAGTCTGGTGGCGATGGAGGCCGGACACCAGCTTGGGCTGATGGGTCACGAACTGTCAACCCCTATGATGGAAACCGTACTGCGTATGGCGGTGGCAATCGTACTCCAGCTTGGTCCTCGGGAGCAAAGACCCCAGCGTACGGTCTTCAAGATGGCTTCTCATCCGGATCGAAGACTCCTGGATACGGCGGCAGCGGAGGAGATGCTTGGGGCTCCAAGACTCCTGCATATCAACCTTCAACGTCGAACACGAACGACGGCTGGTCGAATGCTCCTGCAAGCAATAGCTGGAATAGTGGATTTGATGCCCCCACTCCTGGCGCTCATCTCTCTGCTCCAACACCTGGAGCATTGAACGCTCCCACACCAGGCGCGTACTCAGCTCCCACACCAGGCCCTTACAACGCACCCACTCCAGCTCCGTACAGTGCTCCCACACCCGCAGCTTGGGGAGCCCCAACACCAGCTATGGACGCCCCGACGCCAGGCTACTACTCAGCACCTACGCCAGGTGCACATGGTGTACCAGAAACTCCAGCAGCGAATTGGCCGGATGACGGACCTCGCTATGTAGACTAGGAATATTTGGATCAGTTGGTGGGTGCTCGGAGCGATCATATGCCTGGCTGGTTAATGAACCTTTTTGACTGAGGAGAGAAGGGACGGAGGCCAATGGGAGAGAAAACTCGGGAGTACTAATTCTTTTCGCCTTTGTTGTCTTAACAGAACAGAATGGTGGCGAAATGTAGGAAGAAAAGTACAGAAAAGGAAAATGGGATACATTTTCTCGCGGGAACCAAGGCATGAACAAGCGCGATGATTTAGAATGGCGCAATTAGGCACTGAGCTCAAATTTATACCACCATCAATACCAACGTGTTTCTCTTCGTGTCCTCTCTACTCCGTTCCGTCATTAAGTTATTGTCCACTAATGCTATTGCTTAACTAAACAGCAATTTGCTTTCGCTTCTCTCTCCTCGCTTAGTTATTTCATCGTGTCAACATAAAAAACCACTTCTATCCTCCTTTCTTCTTTCCTAACACCTCCTGGTCTCCCTATTCCTTCACTATCTCTCCCTTTAAAACCGGCTAAATACTGAGATTACATCCTGCTATCTTTATAGAACCATTCCTCTCCTCCACTACGCCCTAATCCCTGCTCGCGTCTCTTGCCCTCCTTCTATCTCACATCCTTACTCCCCAATCCTCCTCGTGTTCATCACCACTCACCCCTCATTCTTCGTACCCTCCCCCCACCCCTTCAAATTGACCACTACAGGCTCACTCCCACTCCTCGTAATAATCCACGTAAGCTCCTCCTCGCCATCATTCACCTCCTGGTGTTCCGTCCACGCCGGAATGAGCGCGAAGTCCCCGGGCGACAGCTCCTGCCGCGTGTTGCCGTTGTCTGAGATGATGGCGCCGTGGCCGGAGGCGGCGTACACGATTGTGTCTTGTTCGCCGTGGTGGTGGACTGCGGAGGAGGTGTGTGGTTGGGCGGTCATTACTGGTGGGGGGAGGGGTGTTAGTAGGGTTGTTGAGGAGGTGAGTGGTGGTTGGGTGAAGGGGAGGAGAGGAGGAGAGGGGGAGAGGAGGAGAGGAGGAGAGGAGGAGAGGAAGAGAGAGGAAAGAGAGGAGGAGAGTAACGAAACAGTTTATAGATAGGGTGGGAATGTGTGAGTTAAGGAAAGTTGGCGGAGGAATAATGAGAGAGGCGAGGTTTACACAATTTTCAATTATGTAAAACTGCGAGGAATTGTGTTCTTCAAATAGGTATGGACTCCGCGTTCAGATCGCTGGTTCTGAAGGCCGTCCGCTTCACTGACGAGGAGCCAACTTGCAGCTTGAGGCAAAAGAGTGATCGCATGATCGTACAAAAGTGTAATGTAGCGTAGTGAAAGCAACAGGAAAGTGCATTGTAAAAATATAACCTGATCTTGACTTGGCTAGAGACCACTTGAATCAGATGTCGACGACCGTGACCGTGATATCTGAGAAAATCATAGCAACAGACCTCTCAACGCCACCTTCGAGGAATTAAACAGGACCAAATATTTGCCAGTATCATCCAATTCTGACTATCTTCAAACTTATATCCAAACGGTAATAAAATCAAGATTTCACCGAGCCAGCAACCAGCATGACGGCGCATGCAATGTGCTTACAGTACCTTGGCCCGACCCCGCCTTGTTCTGTAAGAGCGAGGAGGTACAGTGCGAAGATAGAGATGGGCGAGATAGGCATCAACCAATATTGCTCTAATGCGGCTCGGAGAATAAAAATTACAGAAGTGGGTTGAGGTACTGTGATATTCCATCACCACTCAATCCCCTCATGCACAGCTTGCATATGTGATATCCTAACCAAATCGCTGGATTTGAAGAGTGGGTTACATACGTGCCGTGCAAAGGTAGCAGGGAAGAAAATTAATCTCGGAATGAAAAGAAGTGGAAGAAAGACGGATGGTGCAACTATGAAAGATGGGGGAAGAAAGTTGAGGTAAGGAGCAAAAGTGCAGATAAAAAATTCTTTCTCTGCTACGGTGAAAAAGGGAAGGGAAAGTGGGATGAAGGCACGGATATGTACCGAGTAGTACTCGTATCATATGATGTGAGACCCAATGCCTTGGACTGGACTCACATGTCCCCACAAGGTTGATGACATTTGAGAATTGCATGCATGCTCGGTGTCATAGCAGAAGAGCAGGTTTAATCATACGGAGAGAATAAAAGTCAGCTTACCCGAAGCACACACTTTACTCGATTTATTGATGATAGCACCTTTCCGTACCATGCCGTCCGTCTGGCCAGTCGCTATATCTAGCTCTGTTGATTTCGTGACGTGGACGTGGGAGGGCATGATGATGGGGAGGATGTCCTTGATTATGGGGAGGAGGGATGTCATCAGGCTGTTTGTTTTGAGGTGCTGTCGGGGTCTCTAGCGATGTATTCCTGTTGGTATGAGAGTTGTGGTAAAGACGTTGGGCTTGGTCTGCCGTTGGATTTAGAAAGACAAGAGTAAAGGCGAGGTTTGGATCATCGTCAAGTCCGGTTACAATGGTCTTCGGATGGAAGGGATCATCTAATGGCCGTTGCAGGTTACGTCATATTTCCATAGATAGCTTCATGTTAGCATCGTGGAAATAATCCGTAGCTTGAGCTTAACAATTTAGAGCGCCAAAAGATTGGCTCGACGAACACGTCCCCACGATAGACATCATGTCAAATATGATTATGCCAAGTATTTATATGTCACCTTCCCCGGCCTGGAATACCGGGACAAGTAAAATGCTCGCGTATCTGTAACATTTCGTGATCTCAAGTCACAGCCATAATGGCTAGAAACCTCAAGACTTTCCTGTTTTGTGCGAAGGGTGCATTTAATTGCCTCGGTAGGTAACAGGAGCGAGATTATTGCCATCCATGTGGCTGTCACTGTCACTACCACCTTACCAATTGGCCGTTTGCCACGCGATATCTCCACGATGAGGTGTCCTGTGCTCTGCAGATTGCAATGTTCCGGACATGGGCCAGGAGTCGTTGAGCAGGGATGGAACGGACTGGGCTGACTGGGCTGACTGCTCTTGTGGGAGAGTGCGGCTGGGGCTTCACCCCACCTCCCTGGTCTGGATAGCGGCATCAGTTTGAAAATGCACTATGAGGCGATATCGGACGCGTAGCATAGCTAGCACCTAAATTTATCTCTGGAAGCTTTGTCTTGTGCTGTTGTGGAGGTAGGTATGGTACAGTCCTGATCACAGACAGGATAGGATGGTTACTTCCTCCTCCTCTATCTCTTGCTCTATCTCTTGCTCTTGCTCTTGCTCTTGCTCTTGCTCTTGCTCTTGCTCTTGCTCTTGCTCTTGCTCTTACTCGCCTTCCCCTTTGGCACTACTCTTGGGTCGATAATCTTCCTTACCTTACCTCCGCTCCATACCTTCCTCACGGGATCCAATCTATCCAACAAATAACCTAGACGCCGTACCTACCGAGCTGAGGTCCCTCCTCTGTTGCTCTTTCTTTGCTGGCCTAGAACCTTTCCGTGCCATCTTGGCCTCACAAGACCTTCACACACCTGCCTCTCTGTTATCAAGCCAAGCTTTGTGAACACGGCTGGAGCAGGCCAATAATAGCGACACAATCGCGAAACGGATGTCGTGATGACTACTTGATGGGGTACGTACTTGGGTCCGTTTGTATGGTTGGAACAACAGGACAGACAACGGCCGAGGTTAACATAGACGAGGGATCCAGGCCAGGCTCCGGGCCTGTGCAGATCTGGAAATCCCCCATGCGGAGGACTTGCTCATCGAGCTGGCAACATTTCCCCCCATAATAATTATTCTATCGAGGCATCAAAATCAGTCGTTCAATCCTGTTCTCACGGTAGGTAAATTTACTACCTCCCTAATCTGATTTAGTACTCCTAGAAACTCGCCAAACAAGTCTCGAACAATCTCGGCCACTTATTCTCGGCGGACGACATCCAACCTGTTGAATCATTACCCTACAAGGCTATCTGCGACACTAACCAAGCATCGGGCCAGGGTTTAAGGGCATCCATCCAGGCTAGGAACTCACCATCATTATATTCTTAGCCGATCACGCCGCATCTGTCTTTGACCTCTAACTTACCTTACCTTACCAACTGCCGGAAGCGCTCTGTCGCGACTCTTCCTCGTCCTGAATAGGAAGCTCAGAATATTTTCCCATCGACGCCTGGGCAACTACAATCACACAATCCCAGCTAGCTAGCTAGCACTCTCACTGTAACAATTATCCCAGCCTGCCGCGTGTACTGGAGAAACGATCCGCCCACCGTCGGGTGCTTGGATGTTTGACTCTGGTGGCGCATGCAAGCCTGCAGCCAGGCCTGGCATAAAGCAAACGACGCGGAAGACCTGAACCTGTCTGATCCTGACTTGGCCCAGGCTGTTCCCCGTCCGTCAATACTCGACCCAGCCCTCCCAAGCTTTTCTCTCACGGATTCGACACTCTCCCCCAATCGAAACATCGTTGTTCCAATCCACAGCCGCCAGATCCGTGCGTTCGTGCAGCTGTGCTGGGATCTATGATTGTGTCTAGCGAGACTGAGCCAAGCCTCGAGTGCATAATATCACCTCGACTCGCCTCTGACATCTTGTCTGACTTCTTCTCGTGCTGAGAGGTGGAGTGTGAAGACATTGAACAGGATTCCATATCCATAACTTTGGAACGACGCTGTTGCGTTTTTCGTTGCAGAATGGCTTCTCCACCCGCATCCTCTTCCTCGCAAACGAGTTATCCAATGGAGAATGATCATACTTATCTCCATGGCCGTATCAACCCAGGAGTGGAGGAAAATTTCGATTTGGTCGAATCAGTGCCGTTCGAGAGGCCACAAGAGGAAGAGTTACAGCAGAGGAACGATCTCAAAGGAGTACCTGAGGATGAAGTTGTCTCCATGTCTCGGCCCCACCCAATTGTTCAACCAGGTATGTAAGAGAATATACTTAATGTAAAGAATACGGCGGCTCTACTGTCATTACTGATGAACCTACGCTTGAGGCCTTGGAGTACATGCCATGAGCATATCATACAAGTTGCCCTTGATATGCTCACTATCTATACTACATGTCTTGGCATAGTCATTGGCTGACATGATCCATGTTTTAGCTTCACCTCGAAGTATATCAACGTCTCCCACATCCTGTCCAATTCTCGACCTCCCATCAGAATTAATCGATCATGTCCTCTCCTATCTTGGACCACTCGATCTCGTCTGCGTGTCCAGAACATGCCGTGTTCTGTCTGAACAATCTAAATCCGATCTCTCGTGGCAACGGCACGTCCAAGACAACGTTCCTGGAGTTCGCTTGGAATCTCCCTTCCCGTGCAAGACCTTCCGAGAGTTGTACATTGCTCACGATCCTCACTGGTTCCTCCCGAGATACAAAGTGTGGTTCTGTGATATTTACCTCACTGGTAAACTCATAATTACCCGCTATGATCAGAGTACGGGTGTTATTGAGGGTTACAGGCTCATTGCAGAACGGCCGACTCCCACCTTCGATCCTTGGGAAGCGGACGATGAAGTCTTGATCCATTCATTTACTCCACGCTGCCACTTACATATGGACCAACCTGTTCTTAGACTGGATGCACTCTCTCTAGAATCTCTAATGTCAACCTCTGGCCAAACAAATCCAGAACATCGTTTCTCAGCCGAGATACCCATGCGAATGCCAGAGCGCAACCACCGTGGCGTATTCTCTAACTTCTTGCACACTCGACCTGTCGAAGAGCGTGCAAATATGGAATTATGGCCACCAGCAACTATCCCAGCACGGCATCGCGTACGGAACGGAACAAGGAATGCTTATATGGGCACTGGACACAAGCCACAGAATCGCTCGCAAGTCAGTAACCAGACCTTCAGGATCAGACGCTGGCTGCAAATGGATATCGGTGCTCGGCCACCCGGCATTCGTCACGGCGAAGAGGTCTATACCTATGCAACCCTGGACCCCAAGTTATGGACTCCGACTGAAGAGAAGCCGTATAGAGGGATCTGGGTAGGAGATTACAGCGGCCACGGATGCGAGTTCCTGCTTATGCATCAACCCGACAACGAGGAGCCATTTGACGAAGCAAGCGTGGTGCAAGGAGAAGACGAAACTCTTGAAGAATTTGAGATCAGAAAGAGGGAAGAGCGGATCTACCGCGGGAGTCTGGAAGCGATCAAATTGACGGGCGATCCGAACGTACCGCGAGGAGAGTACACGTTCATCTCAGACGACATCTCGAAGACGGGTTTTGTGAGGAAAGCGACAGAAGACAGATTCAAGGGTGCTAGGGTCGTGAGGAGTAGAGGTCATATTGCGGCGAGGATGTTTCGTAATGGTGAGTTTAATGGCAGGCTCCATTCCTAGGTTTTGTTGGGGGAACAGGTTGTGAATTTGAAGAACGTCGGTTAACAGATACGCAGACAAATACATTGAGAGCCAGCTGATAATGATTTCTCACGACCGCTTAGCGCAATATTGGGTTGGCTTTGGCCATATTAGTTTCTACGAACGAGTCAAGATTGATGATTTCTTGACGCCAGCTAATGATACCATTCAGACGGAGAACTGCTGAATGCAATGATCTTGATAGAGAGACAGAAATTAGCTGGAAAGATGGAAAATCAAGGCCGAGTTGAGATCGGAGGAATGACCTTGTGTGTATATTGCTGTGAGATAGCTAATAATTCACTGTATATCATGAACTAAGGACTAATTACATATTTTGCTCGAGAAGTTTGGGGAATACCAATGACACCTTGGAGCACTGTGTCCCGAGCTCGTCAGTCTGAAATGAAATCTGGTGTGGAGGAAATTGTTATTTTCTACTCCAAATACAGGAAGATTCTCTGAGAACAATGCAGCGAAAATGTGAGGTAAACATATCCATCAACAGTCACTAACCAAGTTTTACATAACAGCAAATGCTGCGAATTTCTAACCGTGACCTAGGAAATAGTTTCATCTCAAAACCTCTGACGTGCTGTACAATCACAGTACAGTACAGTAGTCAGGAAAGTAAGCAGGTCGTTGACACATGTCAAAAAGTCGTAGGGCAAAGGCAAGCTTTCGAGGCGTAACAGGGATGTTCACCCGCAGTTCATCCCATTTCATCAGTGACGTACAGACCACGAGCCAGACCGCCTTCCATCGCAGGCGGCCGGGGAAAATCCCAAATAAAAACCCACTCACTCACTCACTCACTCCACCACGGGATACGCCTCCGCTCAACGAGAAAAATACTGGATCTCAACAACCTCGACCCCGCGATTCAAGTCCGTTCGAAGTTAAGACATTCAGCGATTTCCCATTAAGCCATTTGATTAGGACTATTGCAGCTGCAGAACGATCAGTCCAGAAGTGGGCTTCGATTGTTTACCAGCGACATCAACCTCGCAAACTCAATTACACTCGATACCGCCGATTTAGATATTGCATTGCAGAAGAGAGTTTAGACTGCGGATACGTAACAAGATAGAAGAGGGCCAAGAGGGAAAACATGGCGCACAATTACGTCTTGCAGGTAACTGCAGGTTCGGAGTACGATATCAAGACGCACAAGATTGTGCCCGTCAACCAGTCTACCCCGATTACGATCGACTCGGAACATATCAGTGTAGATTTGAATGTCAGGATACAGGTACGCTATCCGCCTCTGTCTCTTTCCCATTCCCCAATGCCCCTACCAGTCCTGGAAACCAGAATATATACTAACACCACAAAACAGTCCTACCGCGGCCTCCCACCCACCTCCCCCTCCACATCCCCCTACTTCTCCCTACCCGAACACAGCAAAGCCAACGACCAATACAGCATCGCCTTCCGCTTCACTCCCAAATCCACCATTAAAGGCGACGACCTCGTCTTCGGCAACGACTTCGACCATCCGATCCGCGACCGCTTACCACCTGGCTTCAACACCGCCTTCCGCATCGTGAAATGGGTTGTTGACCCAGGCTTGGATGGCGATGTGTATGCGGATCGACCATATCTTTATGGACCGGCGGCGAGTAGTGTTAACAAATTGCATGTTGGGCCGAAGGCGGTCAATGGGGAGAAGCTAGATGCTGGGAAGGAGGGGATTGGACATCATGAGGCGGGAATGGTGTTCGAGGAGGGTGGTGATGAGGAGGGGTTGGAGATCAGGAAGGAGAAGGGCGTGCCGGAGACGGAGGCGGCGAGGAAGAAACACTTTTTGGTGGAGGAGAATAGGAAGGAGTGGGAGTGGGAGGAGGGGAGGGTGTATGGGTGTGATTTCTATAATCCGTATTTGGATTTCAATGGTGGGTTGCTTGCTTTATGTTTCTTCCCTTCTAATTCTCGCATTTTCCCTCGAATTTTGGTCCTGTTGTAAGGGAGTTTGTGGGATTGCAATGCTAACTAACGATCGTCATAGATTTCGCATTGAGACTTCCCGGATTTACTTTACCTATCATGAATTACTGGGATGGTCAAGGGCTCAGGTAAGCAAGCAACCCCTACTCCCATGTCAGCCCCTGCATATCATGCCCATCACTCATCACTCCTCCCATATTGTCCACATACCCCTTCCCTCCCAAACCCCCCTTCCCCAGCCTAAATCCCCCCTCTTCACCCCACGACGCCACCACTCTCATACCCCCATCCAACCTTCCAGCGAAGCGAATACCAATCCCAACAATGAACTTGTCTCCCAGGAAAACACAAAAGCGCTCACACAGCCTAAGATACACGCTCAAGAACCGCGCGACCGACACCGTCCTCTTCGTCGTTCTCTTCACGCTGTACCTGAAGGAAGACGTTGATGAGAACGGGAATGTGAAGGAGGGTGTCGAGGGTGGGAAGCCGTTTGAGGGGAAGGCGAATGGTGTTGAGGGGGAGGAGGAGGAGAAGGAGAAGGAGAAAGTGGGTGTGGAGAAGGTTGGCGAGCAAGCGGTGAAGGAGAAGGAGAATGAGAAGTTGCCTGATACAAGTGAGGATGATGTTGATTGAGTGAGTGATTGGGGCGAATAGGAGAAGGGATTGGCCTCCCCAAGAGAAATTTGAGTTGATGGAGAGGGGGAGAATGATTGATGACATATAATATCAGGGTAGATACGGCCAGGCATGGCATGGCAATGGCGTTTGCGGTACATTAGCAGTACTGTACTATACGCGAGCACGGATATCTCGCGAGAGGCAACGAGCGAAAGGAAAACAAAGATGTATCTTTCATCTTTTGATACATAAGCAAAATATAGTTTAGAGGTAGATAGATAGACTATTAGATCAAATCGGCTACAAAACGCAGAAGCGAGAGAGCGAAAAGGCGAAGCGAATAAAAAAGTAAACACTTCACTCTAACCGACACTAAGACGAAGTTTCCACTCCTTATGAAATGGCTGTGAAGAAAGTGAGCCATCGATTAGCAATTTTGACGAGTCTGTCGAGCACACACATATCACTTTCCTCGCTTCTCACTATTGGGACCCGTCACACGTTTTTTCCTCCAATTTCCCTTGCTCTCTATTCCTTCATTTGCTTTTAACATAGTCATAGTAAGTAGTCCATGGCCCTCACCACCAATCCTCACCTCAACTTCGTACTTAATTTATGTTACACAATTGCTGCTGCCCGCTGCTCTAGAAATCGTCCTCGCCTCATCGCCTCATCCCTCATCACTCGTTCTATCATGCTATAGCCATGGCATGGCATGGCCCACCCCTTGGCTCGTCCCAAATACCGCGTAATCCAGTGCCATTGCCATTGTCATCGTCATTGCCCTGCTACAATGCCAAAGCCCTACCAGTCTGCCCTTGCTCGCCAATTCCCCACAAGACCAACTATACCCGAAAACGCCTGGCTTGAATAATGCTTGCTTGCATGAGTGCGGAAAGATACGCTCAAATATCCCATCTACGAATCATGATTCTGAGTTGATTTTTGCTCGATTTGAAAATTGCTTTGCTCGCTTTTCTCGCACATGACTTTTCATCACCCACGTCCTTCTCCACCCTCAAAGTTTGACTCCCCAGATTCCCCGGCCGCCACTGACGCCCAACCAGTCCCCGCCATCGTTGTTCAGCGCACTGTGTGGTGCCCAACTGATATTGCCAACTTCGTAGTCACACTGCCAGCTGGCTGTTGGACCACGGGCATTGTCTGAAGCGGGTGCACCATTGATGGCTGGGCCAGGTGGTGCGAGAGCGGTGCTCTGGCTGAGGAGGTCCCAGATTAGGACTAAGGAATCGTCGGCTCCTGATGCAAGGGTTCCTCTTCGGGATGGGGACCATTCTATGCAATTTATAGAAGCGCCGTGACCTCGGAGTTCAAGCAATGCTTGCCCGGGTTGGCGAACGTCCAATATGCGAATTAGGTTGGAATCTTGAGAAAATGTGGCTAGCAAATGGGTATCGTGTGGTGAGGCAGCGAGTCGCAGTAATGGTGGAGCATACGACATTGTTTGTTGTGCCAATGTAGGACTTATCCTGCCTCCAGGACTGCCGTCTAGAAATGTGTTAGCCCGGTTCAAGCAAGATTTGACAATACACACCTTTGTCATCCTTGGCAGTAGGTTCATAAATGATAGTACTGTGTTCTAAACTTCGGAGGTCGAACATCCGTACACTTCCATCTGCACCACAGCTAACAAATACATCAACACTGTTGGCACAGAACCGGACATCGAAAACCTCCTTGTCGTGTGCAATCAATTGTGTCTTGGCAGTCAAGGTTGGAATATCCCAGATCGTGCAGGTTGTATCGATACTTGATGTGATTATCAGACTGGGCGATACTGTGTTCCAATCAAGAGAAGTAAGAGGGGCGGTATGCTCAGGCGTTTTTGAATTCGAGAGAAGAGCCAATGGTGTGAGCTTGCTTGCTGGCATATCTCTGCCATGATTCGCCGAGCGGGTAATCGAGTTGCCTGGGGAGGTAACCGGAGTCTCTGATGGGAGGGACCACAATCTCAAGTGGTCGCCAGATGTTGCGAGAAGATCAGTCGATTGCTTCTGGGAAGATGGAGGCTCCCAGAGCAGGCGCGTAACAGGGTACGAGTGCGTCGCTTCTGCTATCTTCACAAAGTCCAATCCATATTTTGGAGCTCCAGGTGTATATGATTCGGATGGCGTTGGTATAATCTGCGAGTCAAGAATTTGTATCTGGTGCATAGAAATTAGCTATCATCCATGAAATATGACTCGGCACAAACTGAGAAGACCTACAAAGTTGTGCCCATCTTCTAGATAGCTTCCCACAGCCACCTTTCCAGCGTCGTGGTTCTGCGCGGGCCATTTGCACCAGTCGAAAGCATATATCGCCCATGGAGCGAGGTAGTTGCTGTTTGTTGGTACAGAATTGGCGCCATCATATGAATATGGATTGGCACCAGGAATCCCTTCAGAAAGGCTCGAGTCGGCGCGGGGTCTGATATCTGCGAGCCCTAGAGGTGTATTTGAGACGGTCCTCTGGTTGTTCTGAGGCGTATACTTCTGGTTCGTGGGAGAAGCATACTGGTTCTGGTCACTCCCACCGGGGGTAGATGGAGAGAACGAAGAGTAGTTCTGACCCTCAAAGCCAGCTGCTGGGCTTGATCGAGTGTAATTATGCGAGAGGCCCAGAGCAGATGATCGCGAAGGGGTCGAGTATTGATCTTGAGACATTGCTTGAGGGACGGTTGGCACGGTTGGCGCCGTGTTCGCAGATATTGGACCCGGTCTGCCTGGCTGTAATGAGCCAGGAAGATGCTGCCCCGCGTTCTGATATTGTGATGTCTCCGGAGTGGCTTGCTCAAGACTGATTCGGGGACCGCCGGGAGTATAGTCTCTTGGTGATAATGGACCTCGTTGTGATGCCATGTTGTTTGCGTTCGAGTTCATGTGAAGCTCATCTGCTTGGGAGCGTCGTGGAGTTTCGTAGCGCTGGGTCTGGTTGGGAACCCCGCCGGCAGAAGGCGCAGAATTCGTCACCGAATTGGAATTTTGCAGACCATATGTAGATGATGATGCTGAATGGGATACTACGTTCGAGGTCGGCGACGGTCCGCTGGAAGGCAGGAATCGATCGGTGCCAGCAGTTGTCTTACTGGTTGCAACGGCGTTGAGATTTCCCGTTGGCGCGCCAAAGGATCCTATATTCTGGGTAGCTTGCAAGATACCAGAAGCGGCGCTTGGGGCAAAGGTATTGTCCTGTTGCGATGTGCTTCTCGAGTGTATGTGAGGGAAGTTGAATGGCATCGTGGGAGGGAAAGTAAGAGGACGGACGGTAGCGGTAGTAGGGCAGCTATTGAGACAGAAGGTGGCCGGTGATGGCAGCTGCATGTGGTTGGCTGAAATGACCCTGTGGCTTCTCGCCTACGATGTGATATGGCTGGGCAGGGCGCATCAGGAGCGAGGCGGAGGGCGGCTTTGTGGTGACCAAAACAATACAGTGAGTAACGTCAAAAAGAGAAATGAATGTCACAATTTCTAATGCTCGGAACTGATGCTTCTTCTACTCTCATACAGTTGTATTGAGTTTTGTATGGTCTATTCTGGACCAAGCAGTCCGATATCCCAGGACATTTAGCCATGTCACTACGTGTTCCAGCATTTGAGAATATCAAAAACCATAATCGAATTTGAGTGAACCACTCTGGTATCATAACTCGCTCGCTAAAAGAAGTATTCTCAAGGATCATGATCTCCCCTATCAACCAACAGCTCCGCCAAATTTGGTCCATCATCCTCACTATCCTCCCTATCCAAGCTCGCTGCTCTCTGACTTTGTCCATTCAGCTCTTCCAGGCCATTCGTGGAGTTGGCATTATGACTCTCATCATCTTGCCCCTTGTTAGTCTCGCTACTAATGACACCCAAAGCTCCTTTCAAGATCTCCTCTCCTTCCTTGAAAGCTTCTAGTTCAGCACCAACAGCACAAATCAGCAGATTCCAGCCTCTGTCTTCAGCCACTTGTAACGTAGCCGACAGCGTCTTTATGACTTCTCCCATTTTGTCGATCTGTTTCCGCAGCAAACTGGGATCCTGGGCACCAGTACTTGCCATCTGTTTCCGCAGATCATCTTCAAAGTCAATGACGACCTTGATGCTGGCAGCCCACATCTCAGCACCTTCTTCTAAAGCTGCTTTCTCTTTCTCGACCTCTTCTTGGCGAGTCTTGAGTTGCGAAATTTCTTTGTTCCACCACTCTTTAGCCATACCGAGAGTTCGCCTGCTCGCAGGTAAAGCTGTAAATCCTTCTTCGTCCCCCATAACAGCCGAGGCAGGAACCGGAGGTCGTCTCAAGAAGTCTTTGACTTCTGCCTCGACTTCTCGTAATGCTCCTCGGTAACTGCTCAGTCTTGCCTCTCTCCGATTTATGCTCTCTGTGATCCGCTCTCCCAGCCATCGCTTCCTAGCTTTCATCTGCGCAAGCCTGTCTTCCATCTCCAAGATTTCGTTGTCGACTGCCCTCTCTTCAGTCCTCAATTCCGCAATCTCTTGGGCCTCCTCTCCACCAGCATCTCCCTCTCCCGGATCCGCAGCTCCAGAGCCACTATACCCACTCAGTTGCCCTCGTACTCCTTCGATCCTCTTCTCCCATCCATCCACCTTCTCCAAAACCACTTCCCTCCTCTCAACCTCCCCGGTCAAGACCCCAACTTCCTCCTTCTTGACAGCAACCAGCTCCTCCATATCCCTTAGCAAGCCTCTCCTCGCACCTCTCAGTCCAACTACCTTCCTCTTTGGCTGCCTTACAGGCATGATTCCACTACTTGGTTGTCCACGACTCGAACTCCTTTGTAGAGATCTACTTGTCGGCGTACTACTCCCTGCATCAGAACCCCCCTCCGCGACACCAGTTGCCTCACCGCCAAATCCCTGGACAAGCCCAGCAGATTGCGCATCAAGCAACATTTGTAAATCATTCTGTAGAGCCCTCTCCCTCCTCTCGAGCCCTAACAGCGGATCAATCCCACCACTTCCCCTCCTGATCCTAGGACTTAAACTCCTTCCCGCAGAACCGCCATCATAACTTCCTCCAAAAGAGGATTTCGTTTGGTACGTAACATTTTGTGGAGGTAGGAGGACGCTGGTAGCTATTGGAGGAGGTGGAGCTGCGAACTGGATCTTGCGAGCTTTGGTTCGAGATGGAGAGGGCGAAGGGCTAGGGCGCGTGTCGGCGTAGAAGGAGGGCGGCGGCGAGGGAGAGGCTGTTCGGTCTTGGGATATTTGCGGAGAGATGGTGAGGTCTTGAAGAGATACGGCGTTGGTGTGTTGGGGGAGGAGAGGACTGCTGTCTCGAGAAGAACGCGAGAAGAAGGACGAGCGAGACATGACAGCGTTGAAGTTTCGTAGCGTTCTTGGTATTTGGATCTATAGAAGTGATCTATCTTGACTTACGCCATCTCAAAGGCGCAGGTTGAATGCCCAAACGTAGCCTGAGCGAAAACCTAGAAAGATGCCAGAATTTATTGAAGCAGGTGAAGCGGCTGGGTCCCGAATTAGGTAGCTAGGCAGGTGTTCACATGCTTATGGAGGGTCACCTGGAGGAATTTCAAGGTGGCCTCCTGAGACAGTAAATGACACTTTGCATATTTTGAAGGGCATTTCAATACTTAGATTATCACAAAAGCTGTATATTATTTCTTTCAGATTTATATTATCAATTGTTCTGGCGTGTCCGTTCTTTGGCAGAACCTCGGAATACTTACCCCGGATCTCCACAATTGCAGGGTACTCTAGCAGAACAAATACCGAGCCATGAGGTCTCAACTACCTCTTGAAAACCCTGCTTATATTTCAATATCACCCGAAGGCTCCAGACTTTAGTGGTTTGACTGGGCAAGAACTTATAGCGGAGTGGTGGACGTCATTGCTACTCCTTCATGCCCCAAAGTTGCGTCGGTAAACCTTCTTACTTGGGACACGGGTCACAGAAGTCCGAAGCAGACTGTTCGAGGGTTGTCTTCATGTAACTCCAACAATCATCTGCTTGAAATTAGTTATTCAAACATTGTCTCTTGAGGTACTTTACTCTCATACATTCAAAATTCATGAGGAAGTAATTCAGATTGAAGTGATCTCACACAGGTCAGCCCGTTGTCTTTCATAGGAAAAACCCAAGAATCAACACTTATTCTCTTAGTCGTAACAATTGCCCCTGGGATATTCCGGGACTCAAATTTACATTGCAACTTTCAGATACAGTCGTGCTTAATTCCTCCATCATGCCACCTGCAACCGATTCTTCCAGAGATGACCTAACTTCCCGGATCCTACCACAGTAAGCATTGACTAACTCGTGTTCATATTTTCAGTGTTTCTCAATATTCTTGTCATCTTCTTGTCATCTTATAGACGTAGCATCCACTGATTCTCTCCTATCATAGAATGGAATTCAGCAACGGCACTGGTCTAAACAGTCCACCCACTCCTCTCTCGGAGTCTATTCCCAGTAAAGAACGAGCCCAAAAACGATTCGAAGTAACAGGAAACGCCATGTATGTAAACAGCCCCTTCTGTCACATTCAGTCTTTCGTTCCCTTTTCATCCAGAAGTAGAAACGCAAAATACAACTAGTTTGAACAACACAATTGACACCTCTTCAGTATCACCGGCGGAGCAGGAACTCTTGGCCTTGAAGCTGGCCTCGCCCTCCTCGAACACGGCCTCACCAACCTCATGATCTTCGACATGAACCCCTCTCAATCCCAATCGCAAATCACCCATCTCCGGTCCACCTTCCCCTCCTCCCAAATCCTCACCAAAGCACTCGACATCACAGACGCCGATGCCATCTCCCTCGCCGTAGCAGAAACAGCTGCCATTTTCGGAACCATTGATATCCTACTCTGTTTTGCAGGGGTAGTATCCTGCGTACACGCCATCGACATGACGCCCGACCAATTCCGGCGCACACTCGACATCAACACTACGGGTACATTTCTGTGCGCCCAGGCCGTCGCAAGATCCATGATCAGCCAAGGCACAGGCGGCAGTATCGTGTTCGTGGCTTCGATATCTGGACACCGAGTGAACTTCCCGCAACCACAAGTGGCTTACAATGTAAGCAAAGCGGCTTTGTTGACTCTCAAGAATTGTCTCGCAGCAGAGTGGGCTCGGTATGGTATTAGAGTGAACTCGGTTAGCCCGGGTTATATGGACACGATTTTGAATGAAGGGGAGGGGATCAAGGAGGGTAGGAGGATTTGGGCGGATAGGAATCCAATGGGGAGGATGGGGGAGAAGAGCGAGTAAGTACAGGGAGTGTGGATTATCGAGGATGTGAAATGTGGTTACAGGAAACGAGATTGGCTGACGTGCTTGGATTTAGACTCACTGGAGCTGTTGTCCTCCTTGCTTCGAGTGCAAGTACCTACATGAACGGTACATTACATTTCCCCGTAAAGCTTTCCCGACTTCTTCATGCTAATACATATCACCACAGGTTCCGACATAGTCGTAGATGGTGGACAAATTCTTCTATAGTCAGGTTTGAGTGTGAACAAAGAGTTGGATTTAAGCTTGTCGAGACTTGGGTATATCCAGGGATACGAAACGAGACGGACTTGGCTCAAGGGCCTTGTCCAATTCCCAACTCGTGTGCCAAAAGTTCAAAATGCCACCTTTCATGCTCCAATCACATATTCACCACCCTCAAAGAGCCTTAGTACTAAACCTCATCGATGCCGCGGTACTGGAATTTATCCGTATCGTGCGTTGTCATGTTGCCAGCATCTCTTCATTGCCCAAATCTGCCACCTCTTCCACTAGAGAAACAGTCAGGAAAATGTCTCGTAACAGCTTCAGCTTCGTTATATATGATTATGATTGCCTAATCCAAATGGCCGAAATCAATATGATCACGAATAGCACTAACCTGATCTTTTGTTACCAATATCCCATTATCTCCAATATTATCCAAAGCAAATCCGTGCTCACAAGCGCATTGTCCTGGCTTAGCATCGACTGCCGATAATGTTTCATTGTGGACGCTGCCCAGATCACTATGATGATCGTCGTCATCACCTGGGCCAGTCGTAGACCGTACCGAGCCCTCATACTCATCCATAGCCTCGTCATCAGACCCTTCGTCTTCCGAACCTGTATCTTGTGCAATATCGACATCCTGATTTAAAGGATGCTGAATATCGTGTACATTAGCTGGCTGATTGGGAGTGTCACCCAAATCCGAATCATCGTCGTCTTCAACCTCAGATGAATCCCAGTCGTTCGGGTCGTTGTCTAGGTCGCTTTCGGAGCCATTGTGTTGCGGCTGGTAGAAAGGAGCAAGTGGATGCATGCCATCAAAGGTAGGCGTGTCTTCATAGCCAATATCGCGGAGACTGAGCCATTCGAGCCACCTGAGATTCAGTCGAATAAAGCGCAGAACTTTTTCCCAATTGGATTCCTCTAAAGATGTTCTTCTGAGAACGATTTCCCTCAAACGTAGCGATTTCAGCCGCTGGTGCCGTTCCAACATCTTCAAAAGATCCTCCCAATCTAATTGCCACTTGCTCAATCCAATGTGATTTAGGTTTTCGAAGTGCACATTGTGGAAGACGACCGCCAGTGGCACCGATATTTGTCGATTGCAGCCGATGTGAAAGCTTTCCAAGTGGCCCGCAGCCTTGAAAAAAATTCTGAACAGAGGCGATAATGTAGCGAGTCTCTCATTTGGATCTGTGTCATCTACAAACTGCAACTCGATCGAAATGAGCTGACGGGCGATTCCTCCAACTTGGCTGATAAGGGAGTTGGTAAGGCTAATTGGCATTGATGGCTCCATGAAACGGCTTGAGAAACGAACGAAAGGAGATCCCTGGCATTTGAAATACATATTAGGGTTTCCCATAATAAATTTATGGATCAATATCTCGAAGAACTGTACTTACCGATCGCCTAATAGCTGCATATAACGTTGATATGGCATGATCAGACGCAGCCGTCCATTCTGACTCGGTGTGCGCATCTGCGTAAATTGGATTATTCTGGAGGAAAATTGCCCAACCACCATCGACTGGGTCCACCACCCTCATCACTCGTATTTGCTTCAAATGGGTGAATGCTTTCATGGCAACACGTAACGCATCTTGATCGATTTCTTCTATGATAATCCTCTTCTGTTCTCTGGCCTTCAACATCGCGTTGAAGATCTGTCTCCGGTAGTGTTCCGCGACGCGGCGTTGAGACTCGGTCGATGGCTGCCTCCTTTCGCCAACTTGTGAATTGGTGCTCGACACGTTGAAATGATGCAGAATTTCTTCAAACTGATATGCATCTAGAATCTGTTAGCTGCTGAGCAAAAACGAACTCAGGCCTATACTACACCTTTGCTGTAGAATCGAGGGACAATGTACGAGAACTGCTTGACATTGCTAGCAGCATGTTGCCACCTTGCAAGTCTTCGTAATCTCGCTACCATCAAACAGAGGTTAGTTCTACAAAGTCTCGCTACGCTCCCATATATGGAGGACATACGAAAGTCTCTGTTGGAAAACCGTATCTGCACGCGAGCGAATTGGTTCTTTAGGCCGAGTTCCGCCCACCTTTTGCACACCAACCTCTAAAGGTAAGTAATTAGATCAAGAAGCTCTTTTGGAGAGGGATTTGTGCAGATTTACAAACTTGCCGATGTGGCTGTGGCCAGTGTCCAAATCGTGCGGATGTGGTGGCGCCGAGGCAAAACTCTCGACGCTCAAGCTAGCTCTCTTCCAAAGAGGTAACAGGTTCTCTTTGTTGTATCCAAGAAGTTTGTAGATTTTTGTCCAGACTTCCTCAGGCAGATTGAGAATTCGGCAATTGGCATTCATCCAATCAGGCCTTGGGAGTTCATTGGGAAAGATGTTGTCAAGCCCATCTCTTCCGGCCTTGTAAAAACACTTGTCGACATGCATGAAAGAGAGTACATTCCTACGATCTTCGGAGCTCCAAGTCGCAAAAACAGCTTTCCGATCTTCCAGTTTCCCCTCTACGGTGCGTCGATGTGTGCGATTGCCGCCAATCAGGTAGTGGAAAATGGTCTTCGCGATGATCGAGCGCGATGGAGACGGAAAGTCACCAAGAAACTCAGTGGCATCGGTGACAGGCCGTGGTTCAATGACATCTTGTTGATCCATCACGACGACAAGTAGAGACCAGGAGGACGGGTAAATGCACCTGGTGATGTGCGATCGCAATTTGGGAGCGAAGTAAGAGATGCATCTGTCAACCAGATGTGACCAGATTCAGTAAAGGATTGCTGAAAGTCGTCCTGAGCTAGCGGGAGATAGGACCAGAAACGCGTTGAAGATATCTGGGCCGACAGCGGTCATATCAACACGAAAGCAGTTATTTTCTGACGTGGTTGTGCATCCGGCAATCGCAGAGGGCTGCAACGAAATGAGCAAACACCATTCGAGATTCCTTGGTCGTGCGTCTGGTCTGCAGCACAAAGGCCGAGCATATTAACCTATCATTCAGGGCGAAAAGGTAGGCTGCAGAACATCTCGCATTAAATGACAGTCATGTGTGTCGTTTGGCGCAATTCAAGCCAGTCGATTCGACAAGATGATGATGGTTGCAGCAGGTTGCAGGGATAATCGCTGACTTAGTGTGCATATTGACTGACAACCATGGGGTCGACGGAGGGTTCCAGTGATGCTGTCTCTACCACGACAATTGCGTCGACCTGGGCATTGCACTGCAAAATTATCGATTTCCGCCCGCCAGCCGATTCCGTCCCCGAGAGGGTGTCAGCCCTTTTCCAAGATGCGTTTGAGGCGTGAACAGTGGCTCGTGAGTGGTGTATCACTGGCGCTTAACTTTTGTCGCCTGCAGCCGCCCCCTGAAGGTGATAGGCATGGCGGACTCTTCTCCCCATGTTCGCAATCCTACCGGTAACTCAGGAACGGGCCGCAGCCCGTATCTGTGTTCTGCATTTTGTTTAACGTCTCCCATTCTGTATCTACCTTGCCTTCGTTACATGGATTCGACTGATTCCCCGGTAGCCCGCAGGATAAACTCTGCTTAGGATGGAAGGCCATGCAATGTGGAGTGATAGTGACCATGCACACGGCTCGTTTCGACTCCTTACTGCAGGTGATCACTACTGTGATCCAACTCCTGCAACGAGCTTTTGACTACGTGGACTTGACGGCGTTGTACAGGCCTCACTCCATGCCGTGATTTCTTTTTGATGTTGGTTGATTGTGATATTGACAGTGGGCCAGGTCTGCACAAAGATACAACTTCTTCGAGAACCAAGAGAATAGGGAGTACCAAGAAGAAAGCCCCCAATCCAGCTAGAGCAATTTTGACCTGCAGGGCGCAGACCGCTCTTATGCCATGAGACGATTCTGGAATTTGGAGCCGACCCGAAAAATCGGTTGTCAAAATTGCGATTCTTGTCAAAGTTGTCCTTTGTGTGGGAGACATATGATTCCACGCACGTGCCTCTAGAGTGACGAGGTGCGGGCAACTTCTGCCCTGCGCTTTCGGATTGCTGTGCTGCTTATCTTTGAGGCGAAGTCCTCGGTCTTGGTTGGATTGCCCTCAGCATCCTCGGCATCCAGAACGTCCACTTCAAATACCTCGAGAGCTTTCCAGCCTTTCTCTAATCTCTTGTCATTGACTGCTTGCCCCCCCGACCTCGTCTCTCCAGATACGACCAGAGCCGTCACACTTTCATCAGTGATGGTCGGGCCGAAAGGATCTTGAATCTCGACACATTCGATGGTGATCGAACATGCCTTGATAGTAGTATGAATTGCACGGCCATTTGGCACGGGTTCATCAAATGAGTCCACAGTGGTCGCGTCCTCTCGCCGGGAACGTGTGAAGGAAAGAATTGACAGCAAGAATTGGACAACGTCTTCTTGCCGCTGTGTCCAGCTATTCAAGTACTCTGCGAACTTCTTGTTCTTCAACAACTCGTCTCCTGTAATGCCAACAATCAACCTTCGCTTGACTGGAGAAGAAAGAGTATCTGGTTGAAGGAGAAGAGCTGTGGCTGTAAGCAACAGCTTATGGCCCGCATGGAGGTGATCAAACGTCCCACCGACAGCGACAACCCTGTGCGCTGCAGATGACCCTGGGATAGCATGTGCATGTGTTGGGATCTTCTGAACCATGCTAACTCCCCCTTTAATGAGCTCCACGTGACCAACGAGTGGTGGGCTGTTTCGATTCGCAGCTTCCACGTAGTTTGCAAGAATCTTCTGTCCTTCCTCTCCTTCAACGGAGAAGACTTTGTTCCAGTGGCGTCGTGTCAGGGCAAGAGTTGGTAGATCAATGATTGGCCCAGCCATGGAGTCTCCCGACCCAGTCTCTTGATCTTCCTGGGAGCTCTTGGAGACATCGAGGTCTAGAAGGATGACACGAGCATCGATGGAGCCAGGTGTGTCTGAATCGACATCGACGCCCAGCTTAGCGCAGACAACACAGATGAGACTGTACACGCCACCGATCAATTTCTGCACCTCGTCATAGATCTGGCTTCTTGGGAGATGAAGCCGAGCATGAAGACTTGGGCATGGTAGAGCCACGAGAAGCTGGCTACTTGAGGGAAGTTGCCCGAGGGATGATATGGCGACAGTGAGAGAGGGACGGTATGCTGCTGAGAGAGATGGTGCCGACACAGGCGAAGGAGGAGGAGGGAGGAGAAGAAGGGATGGTAGATTATTCGGCATGTTGATGATATTTCAGCTCGGTTATAATGAAGTCTGGAGGCAGTTGCAACGTTGTTGATGTTCTGAGCTCAGATCCTTATGCGGTACCCTGATCAGGCGGCTAGCCGAGATGATAGCACGGATGAAACAAGAGCTAGATTTACATGTAAATGCAAATGGACGATCCAGAGAGTCACCGATGAAATTCTTGCATGTACAGGGAGTTGTTGACTTTGTTTTAGAAGAGATAGGTGACGTTGAAGAAAAAAGCCATGACAAGGCATCCAGCCTCGCCTGATTGCTACCAAGGAGAGACTAGCCGCGCGCTGTTCAAGCACACGAGGTATGGGAACATTATGTATGTACTGATTCCCAAGCTTCAAGTTTACATTATCAATATTAGATTTGTAGTATTCAGTTCTGCACCAATGGTCAGAGAAGGTGCGCATACGACATCTGAAGCTCTAGGTAGTCATTGGGAGGTAGATACCCAGATTTCAAAACTAATATTCCTCGGGCAAACCCGGTCCGGCACCTCGGTCTGATGGATCGTGGAGCGAGGGTGGAGAAGACGAAAGAGACTGGTTGAACTTTGCAACGCACACATTCACACCTAAGTGTTTGCACATTTACCTGGTCCTATTGTCCATTTCTTGCAATATACAATGCCTCAAAAGAGAGGAGTACCGCCTATTCGCCAGAACACAGCTTGCATGGGGACTGAATTACCCAGCAGCAATTCACCTGATCCTAACTCCAATACTCCAACGATGGCTATCCCGTTCGATATCAGGTCCACCGCGCATGTTTCCCTATTGACTATATCATAACCGTCCGTATTCACTCGTTCATCTTGGATGCAGGATCTCTCGGTGGAATCTATCGCTTCCTCTCGAACCAACCACTGGACCCGGCAATAGCTACCGATTGATCCATCACCCACTCGCCAACTCCCAAGTACTTGTCAATCCACACATTGATATCTTTGTTCTCGGTAATCGAATCTTTCTTGAAACTGGGCCTAAGTTCCCCAAGATGGGTCTTGTTAGCAAAACTGGTCTCTGGTGAGATATCGCAGGGGAGATGACAGGATACGGCCAAATTATTCCTTGACCGGCACTGAATAGCTGCAGTCATTGCATGCATCCTGGTGGCTATGGTATAGCGGAAGGTGTTGTTGGAGGTTGACATACGTTAAGCCCGTTGATCTCTTCATTCCAGCAAGGAACGCAGAAACTGCAGCAAGTTAGCAGATATAATTATTCGCACACATCCAGCAGACACATACAGAGGACGGCATCAAATGCATAGTGAGTCAATCTTCCGAGCTTTCCCCATAAACCAAATGTTAGCAGATTGAGGAACTGAGCTGATTAGGTTCCAGTCCAGAAGACTCGCAACACAGGGAAGACTGACCACCATGTTTGTGGATTGGGTATGTTTGTTTTCGTTCTCAAGTTTAAGTGTCGGCGAGGTCACAGGCGCGTTATTTTTGGTGCAGTCGGACCGTTTCTTCGTACTTTGTTGCAGTTGTCTGCTGTGAGCGTCGCAGGAAGTCTTGACAAAGGAGACAAGCTCGGACGGTGTTTGATTTCGCAACCTGGATCGCTGATGTTTCCAGGTGTCAAGATGGACGTGCAGAAGCTCTGCAGGCTTGCGAGTCAGGGTCTTGTTGCGTTAAGTGTGGCGGGACTGGATGGTTATTCAAGATGTCTCTGCAGCGGATGGCATGGATGGATATGAACAGTCAAGTCAAGTCAAGTCAAGTCCAGTCAGGCAGTCGGGGAGATCCCATGGCAAAGCCGCCTGGGCTTAGGTAGGGTGGGGCGGCGAGGGCGGGACAGCAGTCCAGAGGTAGCCGCCAGGCACTTAAAACAGCAGCCTGACCGCTAAAACACCCTGAGCTGCAACGCCAATCAGACAGCGGCCTTGCTTGCGTGGGCTTAGCTCTGGTTGAGCACGGGATTTTTTTTGGTGAGGAACGCTTGGCTTGCTTGGTGGGATGGATGAATATTCCTTTTCCTCCTGCAGCTGCAGCTGGCCAGGACAACAGCAGACAATTCCCTCATCTACTCGTGAGTTGCAGAGTCTTTCTTCTTCCCCTTCGACACTATACAGAATCATCGTCCGCATTTTCCCTCTGCAAGCTCTTCAATCGCAGATTTGCATTCTCTGGAATTTGTTGGTGGGATACCTAGAGCTCCCGTTACCCCACCAAGATAAGAAAAAGTTGAGGACGCCGGCTGACCATCGTCCATGATTGATCTAGAAAAACACAATATATTCACCTTTGAAGTCCATACAAACATTCCTACGAGCTCATCGCCCTCGCTTCACCTTTCGAAAACCTATAACACGAACACGCTCGAGCACTCCCGCCAACGAAATACATCATGGCAACTGCAATGGAGCATTTGAGTGCAGGAAGCCGCGTGGCTTGGTTGAGCGATCTGGACACCGAGTTCAAGCCATCGAAGAACTACAGAAGAACAAGCAGTAAGTGATATTTTGTTTCAAGGGATGCATGTTCAGGTATAAGAATGGGGCCGGAGCCGAGTATGTTGCAATTCGAGTCCACCAGACCCACACAAGTACCACAACGCCCTTCCCGGACGGCGCGACATTCGAATACCTCTTTTACCTACTGTTCTTCGTGGAGTACTGCCAGAGGAGGCATAATGGAAGCAAGGTATCGCATACCGATGGAGTCCGCCTATCCGATCTCCACACCAGGATTTTGAGCTCGGATCGCGGCTGAGAATCGACAATTGGAGTAAATCCTTGCAACAGTCTACGCTGCTATGTCTGGAAAGCTTTTCCGGATGGAAATAGGACAGCCCCTAGCTTTCTAAGTAACTTTTTCAACAGACTTGAAGTATCAGGCGCGCTTCGTACCTTTGGTTCTCAAACTTCGGTATCCTGACTTGGAAGCCATCGGCGACTTTCTGCACATCGAAACCATATACTCCAGCACTCATTCACCAGTCTTGGAACCCATATTTCGATATCCAGAGCTGAGCCCTGCAAAAATTCCAGCGACTTTGAAAAGACTGGCAATACCGATAACGACACTTACGTCCATGCACCAATGCTGGATAATCCCTTCGATTACATGGTCCGATTATCACCACCCCCCTATCCGCCAAAGGTGTTCTGGAAGGTCCTTCAACATCATACATCTTCATGGAACTTTGCGTAACGACTTGCACCGGCTACCTCTGTTCTCAGCCTCCAAACCTGAACGACATGAGATTTTTTATAGCCCTGTAATTTTTCGGAGCGGAATTTCTTCGTGTCGTCTCGTCTCTGCCACAGTTTGCTAACAATTCCCAGTTATCTGCACGATCGGCCCTAAAACCAACAATGTTGCTGCTCTTAACAAGTTGAGAACTGCTGGTCTGAACGTCGCACGAATGAATTTCTCACATGGAAGTTACGAGTACCATCGTAAGTTGTCTTAGATTTCTTGGGGTTATTATCGGACACACTTGAATCAAATGCTTACAATGTGCATAGAATCGGTCATTGACAACGTACGCGAGGCCGAGAAGGTCCAGAAGGGACGTCAAGTAGCTATTGCGCTGGACACTAAGGGACCTGAGATCAGAACCGGTAACACTGCTGGTGATATTGATATCCCAATTGCTGCCGGAACCGAGATCAACATCACAACCGACGAGAAATACATTACTGCATGTGATGACAAGAACATGTTAGTTCTGTAACGCCTGCTATAAGCATACCCAGCTAATGAGAAATTGCAGGTACGTCGACTACAAGAACATCACCAAGGTCATCGAGCCAGGACGTATCATCTATGTCGACGACGGAGTCCTTGCCTTCGATGTTTTGTCAATTGTTGACGAGAAGACCATCCGTGCCCGTGCTCGCAACAATGGCAAGATCTCTTCCAAGAAGGGTGTCAATCTCCCCAACACCGATGTCGATCTGCCAGCTTTGTCCGAGAAGGATCAAGCCGATCTCAAATTTGGTGTCAAGAACAACGTCGACATGGTCTTCGCCTCATTTATCCGCCGTGGTGAGGATATCAAGTCCATCCGCAAGGTCCTCGGCGAGGAGGGAAAGCACATCCAGATCATCGCCAAGATCGAGAACAGACAAGGTCTCAACAACTTTGCCGAGATTCTCAAGGAGACCGATGGCGTCATGGTTGCCCGTGGAGATTTGGGTATCGAGATCCCAGCAGCTGAGGTGTTTGCTGCCCAGAAGAAGATGATTGCTATGTGCAATATGGCTGGCAAGCCAGTTATCTGCGCCACTCAGATGCTCGAATCCATGATCTACAACCCTCGCCCAACCCGTGCTGAGATCAGTGATGTCGGCAACGCCGTCACCGATGGAGCCGACTGTGTCATGTTGTCTGGTGAGACTGCCAAGGGCAGTTACCCCAACGAGGCTGTCAGCGAGATGCACGAGACTTGCTTGAAAGCCGAGAATACAATCGCGTATGTCTCGCACTTCGAGGAACTCTGCAACCTTGTCAAGCGCCCAGTCAGCATCGTCGAGTCTTGCGCCATGGCTGCTGTCCGTGCCAGTTTGGACATGAATGCCGGCGCTATCATTGTTCTCTCCACCAGCGGAGACAGTGCCCGACTCCTCTCCAAGTACCGCCCAGTCTGCCCAATCTTCATGGTCACCCGTAACGCCAGCGCTTCCCGATATGGTCACTTGTACCGTGGAGTCTACCCATTCTACTTCCCAGAGGAGAAGCCGGACTTCACCAAGGTCAACTGGCAAGAGGATGTTGACCGCAGAATCAGATGGGGTATCGCCGAGGCTTTGAAGCTCAAGGTTCTCAACCAGGGTGAGACTGTCGTTGTCGTCCAAGGATGGAAGGGAGGCATGGGCAACACCAACACGTGAGTGTTCTCTACTTTGACTTATAACTCGTGCTAATAGATATCCAGTCTCCGTGTTATCAAGGCAGAGCCAGCCGATCTCGGTCTTGCTGTCCAGTAAATAGCTCACCTTTCACTTAAATTGATAAGGTCTTGCTACACCCATAGAGTACCCGCGCCCATGCTTTTTCGTCAGCTTCTTTCAAGGAATCCTTAGTCATGCAGCAATTGAAAAATGGTCGATCGCCGCAGTAAGGCGGAAATGGGAGGATAAGACGAGATTCGTCCACAATGCGTTTGGTAAATAATATTTTTTGAGCGAATTACCAAATGGTTGCGGTCGGATATCTTGACTTTGTTATGTGACTCTAAAGGTAGTTTCTTCCTTCCCTTACCTCTTGAAACGTGTCTGTATGTGGGTAGGCTCCATGCCCAAGCAAGTGTTCCTTGATACCCACCATGACACCGATCTCACTTTCAGACGAGTTCAATGTTATCATTGGATGTCGGACATTCTGAGAGGATGCGAATCCCAAGCGTATCGATAGTATCCAGTTTTCAGACCCAAAACTGGTTAAATCTAGTGTTGGTTGCCGCTTCGCTACCATTCCTGGATTTATGAGAGTCAGCCTGGCACACCAACGTCTGGCGTGGACTTAGTCCAGTACACCAGTTCAGATCTCAATACAGTCTCATATAATTTGCCAATATCAATCTTAGTTCTTTTAGCACGTCTTCTTCCTTCCTCATATATCCATCTACATTTATCGTCCAAGAAATTCCATAACTTCAAGACGTCTCAGAATCTCTCGTCAAAATGGACAACTCCAACACCACTCTGCCAAACGCAAATGCTACAATAAGTACAAGGACACATTTTGAATTGAGAACACTCAAATCGGATATCGGATTGACGATAGGCTATCTCACTGTAAGTCAAACCATTCCTCTCTCCCTCTCTCATTCTCTTCCGAGCCACTATCTACCCCAGAACCAAGTCAGTACATGTCATCTAACGTCCTTCTCCCGCAGCTTGTACTAATCATCGTCCTTGTCATTCTGGCAAATGTCTTCCACAAGAGATTACGCGCAGCGTGGTCTTGCTACGGCTCCAATGCTCGTTCTAGAATCAGCAGAAGCGAGGACATGGGCGAGGACAGTGCGGATGGCGTGCGAAATATGGAAGAGGGATTGCCGGGGTCTGCTAAGAGTACCTCTTGGAAGAAGCAGAAAGGAAGAGTGGATGAGTTGGAGATGTGTGTTTGGAATAGCACGAGTGAGGCGGTAGTATAGGCTGTGAGGGGGTAGGAATCGCACTTTCCCTGAACACTGCCCGAGTCCTGGTGGTACTCCTTCCTGGATTGATATACGGGTAGACGCAGTACTTTATCGGAAAGGACGTCGAACAAGAATGCACCTGCCTCCTTGTATCCTCAACCGAGGACATGGAAGCCATCAGGTATATCGAACTCCAACTTCATATATCCAAAAACAACATTACCACAAGGAACATTAACACGGTATCGCATATACTGCAGCATCGCCACAATAGTCATTAGCCAAACTAGCATCAATCATCACGTATAGGCTATCCTCCCCGGAGTAATCCTGCCAGTCATCAGCCAAAGAAGCGTCCAGGGGCTTTCGATAACATCCAGCATGCATACGCCATTCTACTTCTTGCTTCACGAGGCCGATGCTGCCACTGCTGCAGCAATTTTCAAGGAAATGAATAATTCCACAAACTCCACAAACTCCACAAACTCCTCCGCTTGTCGAACCATGAAAGAGTGTTTTAAAGACGTAAGAGTTTCTTCTTAATCACTTGAACATCAATTTAATGTAATTGACTAACTTAGCGCCGCGTCTGCTGTAGCCCAAAAGCCGCATCGTCCTTATTATCGTCTGGTCGCTCGCAGGGATGTCCTTCATTGGAGCTGTGGTATTGCTGGTTAAATTCTGGCTGACCCACCGACGCAAGTCTAGGTCACAGAATCAGGAGGCAGTGCCTGAAGGACTTGGTATTCGGATGGATGAAGTGAATGGACAGAACGTGCAGGGGTCAGGCGCGGGTCAAAACGCACCAGAATCGGATTCAAAATGCTGTTTCTGAGTGGCTCGAGGTTGGGTCAAGTACATTAAATTTTGGATAGGGGCAGGTTTAGAGGGACCTCGGGACATGAATATATTTATGCTAATGGCTTTCATGGAATTTACTTTACTAGGTTACTCGGGTATCAGCGTCCAAAGTTGTGGATATCCTGTTGTAAGGAAGGCTGCTTGCACTGTGTATAGATACATAGTCACTGGGGCAGAATTGAATTTTATTTCAGCCGTCTTTCGTATTGTCCAAAATTCAATAGCATATAACCTTTGAGTCACTCCGCCTCGTCCCGTAACTCCTCAGCGCCATCTATATCTCGAGTATCAAAATTTGAGAAAAGGCAGATTTAGCCTTGTCTCTAAACTGCCCCTATGAAAACTAGCCGGCCCCTAGCGATGTTGATGTCAACAAAATAAAGATGATCCCTCACACCCTGGGAAAGTAAACCTACATATTTAATGCCTTTTGATGTCGCAACAAGCACAAATGGATAGGTCTCGCTCTGAAGCATGATTGTTGTTCTTGGCAGCGAGGCAGGGTCGTAACACTAGGAAAGAACGCTGTCATATTGAAAGATCTTATGGTTCAAGAGAAGTGAGTAGCATAGCTAAGGAGTGATCAAGATGCAGCAGGATTTATATCTGAATTAGAACGGTGTGTGTATTATCGTTGTCAAGTGTTGGGTGGCAGCAAAAGGAGCGGAGAGAAATAAGCGAGGTATTCCTTTGCAGATGGTTAAATGGATCTATGATACCGACAAATTGAAAAACCATCATGATAACTTTAGCCAGCAGCGTGAACGCAAGAGAGGCAAGACTCATTAGAGTAGGCCAGGTTCAGGATTTCGTAAAAGTCTCGATAAGAGTTGAAAAGGTTATAATCGCAACGAGCAGGAAGATATTTGCGGGCAGATGCAAGGCTACATGACCCAACTCAACTGGTCCACTTCCCGAAAGTCCCAGGCATTGAAAGTCTGTACTTCGCTAGCGATCTTCCTTAGGACTGCGCCTCTCGCTCTGTCCAAAAGTCCAAGAAAATTGAGTCGGGGAAACGACACAGTCTTTCTGGGCCCTGAAGTTGACGCGAAGAAAGGTCAACGTACAATCCACTCCCATGGCCCTCATACCTCCACACTCGATTATCTCCTGACTAATCCATTCTTGCCTGTCGAGCGTACGTTGTCGGCGTCGTCCGACTTTCATCTACCGGGCTCCGACTCAGCTCTAGCTGGTTAGGTAGCTGGCGTTGGAAGAGGACATATCTTAGTCGTCTTCTGAGCTCATGGCCATCTTCTATTGCCGCTGCCGCAATCCGACTGACAAACGAGTGCCATTCGAACTCATAGCCAGATGCGGTGCCGCTTTGGTAGATCCCGATTTGAGTGTTGGGACTCGGGAGAAATAAGAAGTATCGCTGAACGCGAGACTACACAGCTATGAAGACCAAAGCTACAGTGGTCCACCGTTCTTCTAGCCGATAAGAATTCTATGCTTAGCTAGAAATGAAATACTTATTTAATTTGAAAATCTTGTCTCACATATTTGTGTTGTAGGGGGTTTGTTACCGCTTCTCCATCCATAATTCCGTGTACGTAACTGTGTATAGACGAGTTCATTAGTATCTATTCCCAGCTTTGTAGCCTATTTTTCTGACCTGTCGCCAACGAACGTGTAGTATGGATTTGTGACTTGCAATGGTCCGCTCAAGACAAAGGGAACGGATGCACCGCCGAGGATAACAATATTATCGCCTTTTCGAGTTAAAGGTGGTGCGAGACCTATATAGCCCTTTTGGGATCTGAAACGTCTCCGTCTACTGACCAAGATCAAGGAAAGCACATCACTGCTTCAATTCCAGGCATATGTGCTGAACCCTTCTTGTTGACTGATAGCGGCGGCCACTGGCGCTGAATGATCAACAGGTAGTCGACTATGGCCTAAATTCTCATCGCCCTCGTTTCGCTTTTGATCCACTAGGAGGAATTGAACAAGAGCCTCACTAAAAGTCTGAGCGGGGATATACGGGTAGGGTTCATTAGCAGACCAGCCATCCCCGAGCCAAGCGATGAAATCAAGAGCTTGGTCGAGTAAGGAAGATGCCGATTGCGTGTTGTCGGATGGTGCACTCAGTAACTCGATTTGATCTATGAGGAGCCCACTACATGTTATGAAAGTAAAGGGGGCTTCTCCACTTCGACCCTGCTTTGTAACACGATATGGCTTTGCCCGGAGTCCCTTACCAGCACTAAACAAGGTCATGGTTTCCAATTCGTGCTCTGTGGTATCCAGCTTGCAGCTTGTCCCGTCAGCTTCATCTGCAACACTAACATTGGTGGAAGTAGAAACCTACACAGTATGCCGTAGTTCAGGGAATTCTGCCTTCAATTGCTCGCCAAATCTGGCAGCAAATCGTGAAATAGCTCTGTGAGCTGGATCCATGGCACTATGCAGGTTGGTGAAAGGGAAGTAACCACAACTGTGGTAAGAAATTGTTCTACAGTCAGGGACACAGGACAGACGAAAAGCCAAGATACGAGGCTGCGTAGCTAACATGGCTGTAGAGACTAGACCGATTGTCGCGAAAGCCATGATATCGATTCCGTAACGCTCTATCAAATGGGATGCCACCCTTTCCAACAAATCTGAGAGCTTGATGTTGTAGTTAGGCTCCAGAGCTGAGTCCCTGTGGCAAGGGTCCTCGGTATCAATGAGCCCCAATGGTGCAAAGATTCGGTCCCTAGAGTCTGTGGCGTCCAGTTTTCCATGGTAAACGAGCATTTTAAAAACGTTGGGGCTAGCAATTGGCCTCGTAGTTGCTCGATGATGACTAGTTGCCCCATGAGATGCAACGGCAATTGTAAGGGGAAGAAGTCGGTTTCAGACAGATCTTGCATAGAGAAGTTCCGTCGAAACTTAGCTATCTTCTGATGCAGGAACCAGAATTATATAGAAATATGATGCCAGTCGATGGACTCGTTGCCGAGAAAGACTGAAGCGTCCTTGGCGACGACTATCTCCTGTAAGCACCAGACCCTCGACCACCATGGGCTTTGAGCGATTTCCGTCAGGGATTCTAAGTCTGTCGAGAATTCTTTTCCCCTACTAAGCTGGTACTCTCTGGCGATCTCGAGAATCCTTTTGATGGCTTCGAGTGCCGCAGTACCTCTCTCCCCACCTGGTCCTAACCACACAAGCACACGATCTGCCATAGAGTAGATTTTCCTCATCTGTTTGATTTGCTGGCACTTTCCCTCCAAATGGCTTTGATCGATACAAATTGCGTCCACCCACACCACACCTACACGGTCTTTTAGTCCGAGGTATTGTAAGGCCTGATAGAGGTTTGACGTGACTTGAAACACCTCGGAGCTTGCGTTGTCAACAAAGAGCGACATCATCGTGCCATTGCCCAGGCCCCAAGTATACGATAACGCTTTATAACCCCCTCCCCCATCACCACCGGCGAAAGATGCATGCTTAAGGTCACATTCGATAGGAGTCTCTCTATTGGTGGCCGGATGAAGGTGAAGTAGTCGAAAGTTCTCGTCGTCTTTTAAACGCTTGTAGATCTTAGAATTGTTTCGAACCATAGAGGAAAGATTCATGGTGTATGTTTTGTCCCTGATGGGTGGATCTATCAGAAACTCACTTCTCAGGTCATTCATGAAGTCCTCTATTACTTTCTTAGCTTCCACAGTCTCGCAGTTTCCATAGTGCTGTGCGACCAGGACAGAGAAGAGACCCTTTAGCCAAGCAAGCATCGAACCGTGTGACTGGCCTGGGGGCGGGATCCGCGGTCGTATTTCTGATTCATAGTTGGGTAGCGACATAACAGATTGCCAGAGCACCATACCAATTTGCATCAGCTGCCCCGTTTCTCTCCATCTGTCTGTCGAGGTTTCTGGGCTCCGACTTCGGTTGTACGTTTGTGCTGATTTCCTTTCTTTACATACGCGAACAAACCTATGAATATGCGACCGAAGTTCTGGTCGACCTTGTAAAACGTCTTCCCAACTGTCGGGTGGTCGAGCCATATTTTTTGTATCTTCACCACAAGCCTCGGCCGCCGCAATAGAAGCCGCGAATGCAAAAGACCACATATCCATGGCTGCTGGGGTTGTTGTTCGATCCACTGTGATCAAAATGGAAGCTCAAACTAGGAGTTTGGTCCCCGAGAGGGCTTTAAGATTAGGTTGCATCTCTGGTCGATATAACGAGATAGCATTCAGTGTCTCAAGCTTTGTTCATACATGTTTGTGAGGATAGAATAGACTGAGTCCGGGTAAATAAGTCACACCCTGCTGTGAAACAGTAGGCCGAGTAGGGGTAAAGTAGCTACATTCTGTTCGGGCGAGAGCGCTGCACACCGATTACGGCTCAAATAGCTACACTTCACAGGGGTGATTCTTGTACCGGTATCTAGGCAGTACAGAATTCAAATTATGTCTAACGACCTCTACTCAGTTCAGCATGATTTCGACATAATAAGAATAATAAGTAGAAGACAGAAATGATGCAGCGGAAGCAAAACTCTAGGTACAGTACACCAAATTTCTGCAATCCATATGGTGCCAAAAGACATGACATAACAAGAAAACCACAATCAGTAGTTCTGATCCAGCAGATATTGGTACATACTTATGGAAAAGCACTTGCAAGTATCAATATCGACAGCGAGGAATAGCAGGGAAGGGTGGTAGCAAGAGAAGAAGCAAGAAAGCATATAATGAAAAGACGACGGGCCGTCCTAGCGGCATATTCAAGCACCAGATACATAGCATAATGATTCTGGATTTGATAATTGTACTCCTCTTTGGGGATGGGAACAGCCCGAAGAAGAAGAAGAGGAGACTGCAGGGGCCGGTTGTGGGGTAATGGGGGAGTGACATGGAGACGTGAGTCAAGGGGAAGGATGGGTAAAAGAGAACTGTCCGATTGAAGAGCTGGAAGGACAACGACGAGACCGTATGGCTCAAGACTGAGGAATCCCTGAGCTCCCTCGACGTTGAGATTTGCGGACAGGAGTGAGGTGTGGTTACGGATGAAGTGAGCTCGCTCGGTTGGAGGCAACCAAGTGGCGAGGCTCTCGCTTGCATGCAGTTCGCAACCAGCTCTCATCTCCCCAGGGTGCCATCGCATCGGACCAAGCGGGTGGCGCTGGATAAATTGCAAATCGTGGGGTCAAGCAGTGAGATCCGGCCACGAAGTACCGCATCGATTATTTCGTGCGAGTAAGCGCAGGGGTGGCTGCGTGAGACGTCGCTTTCGGACTTCGTCCTGGGACGATTGAATGTCACACCCCACGATGGCGCGCCTGCCGAAGGAAAGTTAGATCCTTCGAAAATTCTTCTCGAAGGATGTAGGCTCAAAAGACTAATGTGGTGAGGGAGGATCTGATCTGATCGGTCTGATTGGTATGAGATAAGGATTGCGAAAATCATGATGCGGTGAGGCTTTGAGTTGGATGGTTGGATGTTGGTCATCAATTTCTCGGTTAGGAAGGAATGCCGGGACGGCGTAACGATTGCATGTTCTGGGTTGCAGTGGTGAGATTTTAATGTGCTTGGTACCTGGGTATTATTTTGGGTTTGAGAGGGATGTTGAATGTTTGATCTGACCCTTTCAGAAAAGTTTGGTTGATATTCTAGAAGGTTTCTAGCTCCTTGGTTTCCGAAAGTTAGAATCCTTGTCAGGACATTAGCGTTTGGAGATGTGAGGGATAAAATTGAATGTAGCAGCTGAGTAGAAAAGTTTGACTGTTAAGTACGAGCTACGAAAAGTGGCACGGATCAGAGTGATAAACAGCTGTTGAAAAGTGCCCAAAAACGTAATATTTGTAAGAGGGCATGATTGAAGGATGAGGGGAAACCTTCAGCTGGGGAGTTATGACTAACAGATCGCGGAACTGAGCGTCTTTACCCCGCGAAAACAAAATCACTGTCGGATGCTGTCCTCAAAGAGACTTTTCGATTCCGAAGAACACATGGGTTTGTCAGTACAAGAAAGTATCGCGAGACTGCCACTTCGAGAGTGGGACCATGTAGTCAACGACGTAACAAATACTTCCCCAGAAAAGATAGGAAACCTTGTCAGTCAAATTCGAGACGAACTGATATCCAAAAGTGCAAAAGTGGAAACGATAACTGCATACCCACAGATACCCCTAAGTTAATTGATCCGAAGAGGGGCGAGTTTGATACCCACTGAGGAGACAAATACGTAGTTTCGGATGCCATATCAACTTCTGTTGTTCTTCGGGTAAGAAATAATTCTCCGGTATAATCCCATGGGTGTGGGTCTTGGGTTGTGTTTCTGAAATATGCCTGGAATGATTGGCATCAATGCGAAATTGGTATCGAGTGTTTACTATAGTTTCGAATCCGATAGCTGTAAGTGTTATTATTGTACGTACTCAGCCAAGTGCATACGCCGCACAGTAACATTGACCAAGCCGACATAAGCATGTGGAAGCAATCATAAGCCGAAGCCGCGTCTGGAAATCCTGGGGATGCGGGTTAAGAAAATGGCTCACGTCTGAATCCTGTTGGCTGGATATTGCTGTTGGACAAGAGAATACAAGCACGGTAATTGGATTCCATCGGCCTTGGCTCCAATAGAGAAATGCAGGCGAGGCTTGGGAGAGCGAGCATGGATTTGGCAGGTCCAATAATGCTGCGGCTGCACGACACGAGAATAATAGAAATGAAGTGGTGTGTCGGACCTCGTCGCAAGGTAAAAAGGTTTACGGGTGACGGACGGACGGTTAACGGATCAAGGCTCCTCAAGATCACGCCTCTCGGAATGAAGCGATACCAGCAGGAAGCAGGTGGCTCTGACCGGGAGAAAAGACATGGTAAGAGGGTGAGAGGCGAGAGAGGGTAAGAGAAGGCGGGAGGCGTCGAGACGAAGCAGCCACCTCGCTTCGACAATCCCAAGTGGTACCTTACGTACAGGAACTCTCCTCTCCCTCTCCCACTTAACCAATTCTAACTCTCACTCAATCCTGCGTGATCTCAGCCTTGGCGATTGTTCACGTTGGTAATTTCAGCCTTGGCTGGTATTAGCTTTGGCTGAGGATCGTTCTGGAAGCAGAATAGAAGATGTCGAGCTGGTCGAGGCTGGGCCAATCCCGGGGCAGCCGCGCCTATCCGTCAGTGACAATTACAAAGGATGAGGCTATTCGGAAACTCCTATTGGGTTGTGTGACGCCAAGATGATAAGGCTCATTGCAACGGATCATGGAGATGGGCCTGGGTATGGGTCTAGATCATGGATCATGGATGGATGCAATGCGCATGCAAAATTATGTTCCCGAGGTCGGCAAGCTGGGCCTGGGGGAGGACGAGAGAGATTGTGGGGAGAGCAGTGGCAACCGGATCGAATCAGGACTCAGGACGCCCGGGGATAGAGCGCTCCAACGTTGACTCTGAATAGTAACACCGGTGCCTTTTCGGGCTAATAACAACGTAGTGTCACCGTTAGCTCCAGAGGTTTAGCCTAGCTGGGTGTAAGTTTAGCCTTCGTCGACATTGTTGAGGCGTGTGCTTCATCTTTCCATTGCTGGTCTTTCTGTTGAACCGGTGCCCAGCGTTCTAGTGATTTAGTGTTTACTGACCCAAGCTCCTTCCTATCTGGGGAAAAAATGGCAGAGCTGGCGGGGCGGGCTGACGAATCATAGTGAGGACTCGCACAGGGCTAAGCCGGCCCCGCTTCTTGGGCGAAGGTTCGATGTATCTGATAGGTTCATATGGGCAGGGATGAAAGCTTAGGTCCTCCCCTAGCTCAAACTCAATTCCAACATCTCAGACACCTCACACACCCTCGAGCCTCTCAGTGCGCTTGTCCTGTCCGACTTGTCCAACCTGGGCAATAATAATCCTCGCTCTGCTCTCGTGCTCTCACGCTCACGCTCACGCGCCGTCAGGCGCTCTCGCTCTCGTGGTGTCTTGTCCAAGAACGCCCTAAGGCTTCGTTCGATTGACAGAACGCTACGCCTCTACGCTACGCCTTCACGCCTCAAACATGGACTGCTGACAGGACAGGACGGGATCCTCGAATCACACTTGCTCGCAGTCGCCGCTTTCCACCTCCACCTCCACCTCCACCTCCACCTCCACCTCGACCTCGGTCCACCATTCTGTTTCTCTTACCACACCATCGACGAGTGATGGGCATGCTGATCAGCCACCCCAACACCAACACCAACAGCCATTTATCTTCGATCCATCGTGTGCGAGGAGTCGAGGACGCAGCGTGAAAAGCAGCTTGCCGTGTTTCGCCTTGACAGGACGACAGGCATGGGTCGCTGGAATGAAAATCGAAATACAGTAGCATGGAGACGGGGAGGTGAGCCTGGGGATCAGCACACAATGCATTCCCTCGTCTAGTTTTTCCTCCTTCGCTCCCCTTTCCTTCTTACGGAGGTGTGGTCTGGCGCACATGATCCTTGACCATGCCCATGCCCATGCCCATGCATGACCCCTACCCGTAACCCTTCCACCCAGTCGGTGGCTCGGGGTCTTGCTCTCTCTCTGTTCTGCTTCAGCCTTCCTTCCACAACTCCAGCACCATCCCGATCCCGCACCCTTCTCCCTGCAACATCCACTGTTTAGTCCAGCGGCGACGCTATCATCAACTCTAATAATAATCTACCAGGCGGACAGTAATTGGAATTAGCCAAACGCGGGGCCTGCATGATTGCTTGCTAGAGGTTGCAGCAGCCACCATCGCCATCGCAGATCTTCCCGCGACGTATATGTGAATATATGTGAACCTGATCAATATCCTCACCTCGTCCAAGAGGTGTCGTTGAACTGCCGCTGCGGCTCTTCGCTGTCCAAGGCGACGCGCATCTGTAAGAGATGAAAAGCTGGAGAATTTTGGCCTTGATGCAATCAAGACATCTTGCGCCGGTTGGCAATTCCTGGGCTACTGTACAGTACTGTACCATGAAATACGGGCCCAGTAGATAAGACAAGCCCAGAAACCCCTTGGCAACACGCTGGGCAAGCCATCGCCAAGAAGCCCCAAATCCCCCATCCAGAAGGTCGCTATCGCTGTGCCATTAATGGTCCGTCCATGCTGGTCTAGTATCCGCTGCTGGTTTAGTATCCGCAATGTGCGTGACAAGGGAGGCGACATGCCCCGTTGGACCCATGGCGACCCAGAGCTGAGTTCGGGAGCGGAGCTCTGTTGAATACAAAATGAAACTGGTCCCCTCCCGTTGATGTTACTTTTCCAGTCCCTGTATCTCGCCAGCTCGAGGATTCATCAGCAACACGACTTCGCTCTGCGCCTAGTTGTCGTCCTACATTCCTTCAATACAGTAACGACCTAATAATATGTCTAAGGAGGAGTATCCTTCGGGGGCCGCGCCCATCAAGGGTAGCGACACCGAGACTTCCCCAGTTCGCGACGCTGAGAAGGGTGCCATCACCGCACACGATCCTCTCACCCAACATGGCGACCTTCCCTCCAACCGTGAGGTTGACTTCATGACCCGTAACGGTCTGAATCTGAAGAGTTTCCAGAAACGTTCGTCTCGCCTAGCCTGCGGGCAAATATCAGCACACTAACATCTTCCCAGGTACTGCCGCAGATGGCCAATTGGCTGATCTCGATAAGTCCATGAAGGCTCGTCACTTGCACATGATTGCAATTGGTGGTTCGATTGGTGCTGGTTTCTTCGTCGGTTCCGGAAAGTCTTTCACCAGTGGTGGTCCAGCTTCCGTCCTGATCTGTTTCCTGATCGCTGGTGTCATGATCTTCAATGTCGTCTATGCTCTTGGTGAACTTGCCGTCATGTTCCCTATCTCTGGTGGTTTCTATACCTACTCTATCCGGTTTATTGATGCATCCTGGGGTTTTGCCATGGGTTGGAACTACGTAAGCTACCCGACCACATAAACATCGCTAAAACGTCGCTGACAAAACTAGGTCCTCCAATGGCTTATTGTCTTACCTCTTGAATTAACAGTCGTATCCTTCACAGTAGCGTATTGGGACAAAGATACCAGCGTGGCTGTTTGGATTACAATTTTCTGGGTCTTCATCATTATCACCAACATTTTCGGTACTCTTGGATACGCTGAGGAGGAGTTCTTCGCAGCTATCTTCAAGCTCAGCGCCACCGTCATTTTCATGTTCATCGCTCTTGTCCTCGTCTGTGGCGGTGGACCAAAGAGTGGACGTTACAGCGAGTACTGGGGTGCCCGTCTTTGGTACGACCCAGGTGCGTTCCAGAACGGATTCCGTGGATTCTGCTCCGTCTTCGTCGTTGCAGCATTCGCTTTCTCCGGAACCGAGCTTGTTGGTCTTGCCGCTGCTGAGGCCAAGAACCCGGCCAAATCCCTTCCAGGAGCTATCAAGCAAGTCTTCTGGCGAATTACATTGTAAGTACACTCGAGCAGTTACAATCAGACAGCCTGCTAACCAAGCATCAGGTTCTATATCCTCGGTCTTACCTTCGTTGGTCTCTTGGTCAGCTCTCAGGATGAAAACCTGCTTAACGCCAAGAACCCATACGCCGATGGTACCTCGCCATTCGTGCTTGCCGGAAAGTATGCTGGCCTTAAGGGTTTTGATCACTTCATGAACATTGTCATTCTCGTCTCCGTTATGTCCATTGGTGTTTCTTGCGTCTACGGTGGTTCCCGTACCTTGACTGCTCTTGCCCAGCAAGGTTACGCTCCCAGATTCTTCGCCACCATTGATCGTGCTGGACGTCCTACCTGGTCCGTCGCAGTCAATCTTGCCTTCGGTGCCCTCGCCTATGTTGTCCTTGCCTCAACCGGTAGCGTTGTCTTCGACTGGCTTCTTGCCTTGTCTGGTCTCGCTGCTCTTTTCACCTGGGGATCCATCTGCTTGGTAAGTTCCCAAAAGTCCCAACTTCTCGTTGAAAACTCTTCTAACATTCAAAATAGGCACATATCCGTTTCCGTTCCGGCTGGGCTGCTCAAGGCCACACTCTCGATGAGATCCCATTCCAAGCCATCGGTGGAGTCTACGGATCCTACCTAGGTCTCTTCCTTGTCTTCATCTGTATGGCCGCTCAATTCTTCGTCGCCATCGCCCCCATTGGCGGTGGTCTCGCCTCGGCCGAGGACTTCTTCAAGGCTTACCTCGCTCTCCCAGTCGTCATCCTCTTCTACGTTATTGGATGGGTCTGGAAGCGCAAGGGATGGGTCAAGCTCGCTGACATGGATGTCGACACTGGACGTCGTGAGCACGACTGGGAAACCATCAATGCTCACCGTGAGCTCCTTGCTGCTAAGCCAGCGTGGAAGCGTTTCTTCAACGCTGTCTTCTAAACGTATCTCGTAATTGCATGTTTCTTTCGTGTAACGGAAGGGAGGTGGAAAATCATTCGGAATGGATGGGGCGGCAGGGGAGTTAATAGTGTGTGTATACCCATGATATTAGAGCGGTGGAGTAGAATACTATTACAAGCCAAAGCCAATCGTTGAATTCAGATCTTGTAATACAACTCTCGTTCATTTAATGACATTTCACTCTAACTGTATCATCCCCTGTGTATCTCGTGTAACGAACGTGCAGTGCCAGTAAAGTTCAATGCACCCAGGATCTCGTATCTCCACGTCGTACGCCCCTAGCTCATTCTTCGCCCTCCTATGACATACTTGGTACCCACTGTTGGATAGATCGATCATAGTCTCCAGTCCTTCCCCCTTCCTCCTACCTACCTACCTGCCTGCAATGTGTTTATACCTCCCTGCGAGCTGCTGACATGCATCAATCACTCCCTTTCGCTTCGATAACCCCACCACCTTCGCGTGTTTGTTTACCTCGCTATCCCACTCTCAAGTCAACTCTCCCAACAAGCGAGCGAGTTTCGATGGGAGAGAGTGAAATGGTGGGATGAATATATAGAGAGATATGACATAGGTACTCAAGGAGGGTTCTTGGGTGGTTGATAAATAGCTATGACCTGTCCAGTCTAATACATTGTTTGGCGGTGGACATAAAAATAGAGCAGCAATACTCGCTATCCGAAAAGGAGCATATTCAGTAGCTGGATAACAATCCAAGCTTTCGATATTTCTTTGCACCACCCAAAAGCAGTAAGGGAACATTTGCTTGGCAACGTGATATTTGGTGCTGGAACTGGGAATCGACAGACTTGGGTCCAAACCACGACAGCGCCGTTTGACAGGAGGGGAGGCCAAAAACAAAATAGGAAGACTACATGAATGATACGGAGGTGCTAATGAATTTGATATACAAACTCGTCAAGTTACAGTACTTCACGTCACCGTGCCAAACCTTTTCCAACGCCGCAACGGCGCTGTGCCCAGTGCTTGGCCACACAGCGAAACAGGATAACCGGCACGCCGTCTCCACTAAATCTACAGGCTGACATGCGCCTTAATCTTCTTTCAACATCATCTCTTTCATCCAATTCAAGATTCTCCCTTTTCAAATTTAGAATAAGAATCAATCAATCGCCCTTTCTAGACCTTTCAATTCATTGACTCGTGTTGTGTTGTGTCGTCGTCAATTGATTGGATTTCAATTGAAGCGTTACCCATTCGTGCTGCTGATGAGTCGCCCTGGCATGCTTCGGGGCCCAGCTCCCGCTGCGCTAGCCAGCATCCTCATGAACCTACCTCTCCTTCGAGCCCTCGCCCTACCTTTCTCAACGCCCATCTCGAGATTCGAAGAAGACGAAGGCGCCAGTCCGGATGATCCGCAATTGTGGCTGTACTTGGGAATCGCGCTCGTGCTTGTACTTCTCGGAGGAGTTTTCGCTGGCTTGACGATTGCGTAGGTCTCCCCGCTTTGCTTCCTTGTTTTTGTTGCCAGGTTCAAATTGCAATTTGTAAATTTTAAGATCCAATTGAGACGGGACTGACATTTAATTTGTGAGGGTACAGATTGATGGGCCAAGATGAGGTCTATCTTGAGGTTATTCATGATTCCGGAGAGGAGAATGAGAAGAAGCATGCTGGGAGTGTGCTGAGATTACTCAAGAGGGGCAAGCATTGGGTTCTGGTCACGCTTTTGCTGAGTAATGTTATCACGAATGAGACTTTGCCGATTATTCTGGATAGGTCTTTGGGAGGAGGTTGGCCGGCTGTTGTGGGCTCTACGGCGTTGATTGGTATGTTTTGATTCTAGTGGAAGTTGTGGTCACGATTGCTCGCTCAAGCGAGTGTTTATTGACTGGCTCCTTGGAGCTTCCTCCCGAAAATGGGACGATGCGATGCCCTCACAGTGCCCATTGAAGAAAGTCCTAACATCAAATAGTCATCTTCGGAGAAGTCATTCCTCAATCCATCTGCGTCCGTTATGGTCTCCAGATCGGCTCCTATCTCTCCCCCGTCGTCCTCTGCCTCATGTACATCATGTCACCCCTCGCCTGGCCAACAGCCAAACTCCTAGACTACCTCCTTGGAGAAGACCACGGCACAATCTACAAGAAAGCCGGGCTCAAGACCCTCGTCTCCCTCCACATGTCCCTCGGCAAATCACCCGGCGAGCGTCTCAACGAGGACGAAGTAACCATCATCACCGCCGTCCTCGACCTCAAAGCCAAATCAGTCCGCACAATCATGACACCCATCGAAGACGTCTTCATCATGTCTAGCGACACTGTCCTCGACGAGAAAATGGTCGACAAAATCCTCCAAGCTGGATATTCAAGAATTCCAATCCATACCCCTAACAACGAGAGGAACTTCATCGGCATGCTACTGGTGAGGATGCTCATTACCTATGATCCGGAAGATGCTCAGCGCGTGTGTGATCTTGCCTTGGCTACTCTGCCCGAGACGGCCCCGGAGACCTCGTGCTTGGACATCATAAATTTCTTCCAGGAAGGCAAGTCTCATATGGTTGTTGTATCGGATTCTCCTGGTGAGCAGGCGGGTGCTCTGGGTGTCGTCACGCTTGAAGATGTTATTGAAGAGTTGATCGGCGAGTAAGTACCTGCATTCTCTTCTCATCCCGAATTCTTTGGACTCTCATGATAAATTTGCTAATTACCCCCTCCAGAGAAATCGTCGACGAATCCGACGTCTACGTCGACAACCAACGCTCCGTCCGCCGCACCCTCAATGCCCCCGTAATAATCGAAGCCTCTGAAATAGCTGCCATCCAAGCCGGTTCTGAGCGGAAACCCACCCCTATAATCGCCGGCGCGGATGTTGACAACAGCACCCAAACTTTTCCCAAACCTCGCCGTGCTTCTACAGGCTTCAGTCAGAGAGCTGCGCAGGGTATCAAACATTTGGGACCGTCGAACAAGGCGAACAAGCCGAGTACGACGAAGTATACTAATATTAAGATTAAACCTGGGAGAGAATATCATCATGATGAGGAGAATGGTGGGGCCAGTGGGGGTGGTGGTGAGGAGGCTGGGGAGAATACCCCGTTGTTGGGGAGGGCGGATGGGTCATGAGAAGGATTCTTGGAGCTTGAAGGCTCTGGGTGCGTGAGTAAGGGCATGAATTGAGTGGCTGTACGACTTGTAATCTTAAGCTGAGAGAATTGGGCAGTGAACGAATAAGACCTGTAAGATTTCGGACGTGAAGGACACACACATATCTACACTGCAAGAATTCATGTATACAACCAGCAAATCCACCACATATACAGCACATATTCCCCTCCCGCATTTCGTTTCCTTCCTCCCAATCATACACCTCTCACAACCCGACAGCAGCCTGCACCGCCTGCCCAACCAACTTCTGAATCGCCTGACCAGGATGATAATCATTGTACCACAAACAACTCACCCCATCTGAATTATAACACAAAGCATCCCTCGCACCATAACTGCTCGGACTTTTAACCGCCGCATTAAACGCCGGCGCCGTATCCACCACCCATATCTTAACACCATCCCCTTTCCCCGCCCTCCACTTCTCCACCGCCGCCTTCAACGAGTCATTATACCTCACCACGGCCTTCCCCTCCGCAACCTGCGTCGCACTCCCCTGCTTCGCAACCAACGGCGTCAACTCAATCGGCGGCACCGTCAACAGCGCAATCTGTCTCGCGCCTCCCGCGTACAGCTTGTCAACCTGCTGCATGTACACGTCGATGATGTTCTGGCTTAGCGAAGCCCAGTTTGAGCTTGACCAGGCGTTGCCGACGTCGTTGACGCCGATCCAGATCCCGAAGAGGGTGTCGCTGCTTGTCCATGGGGCGTAGTTTGGGTGAGGGGTGGTCGCGAGGTTGGATGTGAAGAGGGAGACTTGGTCGATCAGGGAGAGGACTGTGGATGTGTACGGTTTTACGAGGGCGGCGGAGGTGGTGGCGCCGCCGGAGGCGAAGTTGTATGTTAAAAGGGATGGGTTGGGTGTTTTGGAGAGGTAAGTGAGCCTATATATAATGTTCAGCAGTTTGTTTACAGTACTTTGGAGGGCGGTGCTGTGGATAAGTGGTGCTGCCTCGGAAGCGAGATGGGGGAGAAACACGTACCAGTTGTTTCCACCACTTGTGGTGTATCCTGGGAAATTCGGGTTGCCAATCGGATTCGATGCGGAGGGCTTAGTCCCCTTGATATCAAAGCCGGTCTGGGAGTAGCTGTCTCCGCTACATTTTGTGTTAACCCATGAGGATCGTTGTTGAGAATAGTTTAACTTGGAGGAAGCACTCACAATGTGAAAAGATACTTGTATGATGATGCACCACTTGCCAACCTTTCCGTGAGCAGTAGAGATGTAGGGATAGCAGATGTAAGAGCAGCGAAGGAGATAAATGTAGACAGTGTCGAGGAAAACATGATGCCTATGTCGGACTGAACAGAGAAGATAGTACGAAAAATGTAGATACAGAGAACAAAATTAACTGACGGAATAGAACAGCATAGAACAGAGCAGTTAAGTAGAAGAAGTTCATGTAGAGATACTTATACTCAACCCCGCGCCGACGGAAGGCTTCTATGGAAGCCAGCGGGGTATTTCATCCCATCAATTAATTTAGGTTTGCAGGTGATGATCAGGAAGGCGAGTTCGGAACAGCGTTGCCACGGTCCTAGCCACGTTCCTGAACATGCTGAAGAATGATCAAGTAGGTAATTAATATATACGCATATAGTTTGATCGATCTAGAATGAATGTGGGGTGGTGGAGGTTGGAGCGCCGAGATCCTGTTTGGGGTTAATTTCGTTGACATAAATTAGCCGAGTGGAAAAGGGTCTTTTGTACCACATGAGACCCTGTAGATCTAGAAAATAAATTGCTGAGGATTGAAAAGCGAAAGTCTTATAGATCTATTCCAAAGAGTGATTTCGCTTCAGATATTGCCCCTCCGTTAGGTTTTCCACAGTTAACTGAGAAGCTTTGTAACCACCTCCGCGAATTTCTGTGGCTTTTCAACTGTAGGCAGATGGCCAGCCCCATCGATAACCTCGTATACAGCACTATTGCTTCCATACGAAGCAGCCATATCTTTCATGGTACCAGGCAAACTCAGTCGTCGCTTCCAACGACAAAAGCACCTTTGACACTGTACTAGTCTTCATCTCCTCCTTCAATGCTCCGTTCCATGTTTATATTCATCTTTCCATCTCTAGGAAGTCAAGCGAGGGCTGTGCTGACTCATCATTCTCTCAGTCAACATTGAATCTAAGGGGGTCGGCGAATGCTGTGCTCCAACTTAATGACATGAACAAATCACAAGACACCGGACGTCACATAAAATTTTGGTATAAACCTTTTCCTGAAGTCCAAACAAAGTTTCTCTTCCCGCTTCAAACGGGTACTGTATTGAGGCTCATGGCTCACTTCCTGAACCAAGCTTTGAATCTCAAAGCCAAACGATACATCCCGGAGAGCGTAGACTCTGGGGCCGAAAGCATGTTGAAGAGGCAGTGGATATGAAGACACATCAGCCCGGGTAAATCATAATACTCTGTAATTCTCCAGCGTTTTGACGTCAAATGTGCAGTAGATGAAACCACAGGGCGAGGCCGGCGGGAACGGTGAGGGTGTGGATGTCTGTGTGTGCATGTATAGCTTTTCGGTAAGTTTATTGTTGAGAGAGTTCCGAAACCAACACCGGCAGTCTGCCAGGCGCGATAGCACGCGAATAGCGCGTGGAAATTTGATGTGATGAACAATATTCCGGATGGTCGTTAGCTGAACTTACCGTGAGCACAAAGCATATTATTATCAAAATTCTTATTTTGGTTGCTTGTGAAAAGGATCCTATACATTATGTGTACTGTTGATCCAGGTTGGTTGGTAATATCTGTTTTACACATGATCAAGCCTCGAAGCTTAAGTATTCAATCGCAGCAAAAACAACCCCAGCGCCGTCTCCAGGTATATCTGTTGTCCTCAAGGAGTTCCCAAGTCCGCCTCCCATGCTAGTTTCCATGCACCGTGAGGCCCCATAGTAATGACAAGATAAAAGGAATCTCAAAACTTTTTCACCAGCTCATCAGTGCTCAGATGAGTGCGAGCTAATGGGAAATCCCCGACATCGCCCTCATTCATGCCAATAATCACACCACCCTTCCGCGTTGTCTCAACGGTATGTCCGACCTGTACCTGGATCCTCCCCATAGGATACTCTTCCTTGACACTCTTGTTCCTCTTCATCCTTCCTCCGGGGGCGTTCTCAAGATCAAAAGTCTCCTGTCCCCTCTGCACTCCGGCATCAGCGATATCATTGCTTTTCTCAGCCGATATATGCGTCGTGACTGACCCACCTCCGATGACCTGGTCACCAAAAACACCGAAGCGTTGGAGTTTGTCGATAGTGCCCGCTGTCGGCGAAGCGAGGGACTCGCTCTCTTGTCGCTGCCTTCGTCGAGAGGTGAGACCACGGCTCGTATTCGACGCCACACTTGTTCCCCCACCGGAATCCTTGCTTGTAACCCAGTGAAGTACCAAGACTGAGAACAGAATATCTGCGTTGCAGCACATTAGACAGATCCATGCTTCTTCGCCCTTGAGAACCATGAGTACGGTCAGGTTGACGACAGATGATGTGAGTGTTGCGAGAGAGCCGACGAATGATCGAAGCGCAATTGTGCGGAGGGCACTATTGGGTGTATTTTTATATGAGTAAAGGGAGCGTAGTGGGAGGACGAAAAGCATCGTGAGGTAGAAATTAACGACCGCGTCGAATATGATGAGAGGCATCATTGCCTTCATTTCCATCCCAATAATACACGTTCCGTCTGGAGTGAAATATGCTGTTCGGTAGACGAAGTTGAGGATAACGCAAACGATGTAGGGAACTAGAAATATGTTAGAACACAGTTCTCAACCTGTTCGATCATTCCATACGTAGCATGCCGAAGCAGTTGAATAGATAAAGCTTCGATTTCAGTCGTGGTTTCGATACACTGCGAATAATGTATACTTTCTCGACCAAAAAGTAGTAGATAACCTGTCGCTTTTGTTAATAGAGGTTTCCGTGAATACTTGTCTGCAAAACTCACAACCTAAATGTAAGTCAGTATTATCTATCGCCAAAACAAGCAGAGCACCTACTTTAGTCGACATGTAGCATATGAGACAAAGCAAAATCGCTGAACCGCATATCATCATATTCAGATTGAGACCGAATCCATGTTCCAGTATTGCAGTGGCGAAGATGAAAAGAATGGAGTCGCCGTAAATTATCAGGATGACTACCATTTCATCAGTCGACATCCTTGTTTTCATCCGGAAAGACTTACGCCATCTTGTCAATGGCACCTTGGACCAATTACGGATTGCTTGTGTTCTCCTTGCTAAAGAGCATGATTAGACAAAAGCCTAAGATATGGAGAAAAGAGAAACTCACTGAAGCAGATTGCGAGTACTGCTATCGTCAACATCGAGAGAATAGTTGAGATTACCATCCCCGCTCTGGGGATTTCTGCCGGGACATGATTGACAGGTTCTGCCCCCACTGCGCGGGGTTGGATTCGCAGCAAAGCCATCATCCTGATCGTACGATTTTCGACAAAATCATGGTGTAGTCAAGAAATGGGCTTGCCGTAAGATACAAGTACTCATGAGAATCACGAGTCAAGGACGGTGCACAGACTGCACCCATCCCGCGCGAGAAGGCAAGAACTTATAGCTTATATTCAAAAGCGATACATCATCCTGGGATGAAAAGCATGGTGAGTTAGGGGCATATCTGTCGCGTGAAAGTCTGAGCGTGGGGTCAAGAGCCAATAGTCGGCCGTGGAATGCCAAAAGAATGCATTTATGTCAAAAGTATCGACAGGCGGACGCGAAGCAAGGAGGGTCGTGGAATTAAGAGGCTTACTGTATGACGAAAATGGTGTTGTGCATGCTCTGTGGCTGATCTAGCAAGCATCCAGGAAACCCTTTTCTCGGTCTGGTTGCACCCAGAGGGCCTGAGATATTTACTTACCACTGCCTTCGCTCTCTGGGCCAGCAAGGACGCGCTGGGGGCTCCCAGATCTCGGGGAGAGATCGACAAGCGCCCGCAGGCGATCCACACTTTAGCTGTCTCATACTGTACCTATTGTGTTCGTCCTGATTTGCTCAAAACTTCGAGGCTATCGACTTGAGAACAGGAGAAAAAGCAAGGCTCGCCCGAGTTGGAGATAGAGTACACAATTGATTGATTGATTGATTGATTGACTGATTGACGCCGCGTCGTAATGACCGAGCGAGTATTGCCACAGCGAACGCCTCACAGTGCTCCAAGTGCTCCAAGTGCTCCAAGCTGAACTGCAAACTGCAAACAACGTAACAATTAATGGGGCATGAAACCCCTACTCGGAGGTCTATATCCATTATCCATTATCCATTATCCATTATCCATTATCCATTATCCATTATCCATTATCCATTATCCATTATCCATTATCCATTATCCATTATCCATTATCCATTATCCATTATCCATGGACAAGAAGAGGTCAAAAGAAAAGAAAGTTTGGGGATTCTGCGCTGCCGGTTTCGGTTTCGGCTCCACTCGGCATCCTCTCCATTGGACACCCACACCCCGCGTCGATCATTGTTTCGATGTCTTCTTGCTACGACGACAGCGAGGACAGTATCGTATCTCGAGTATGTCCATGTCCTCGAGGTCCTGTACTCGAAGAATAGAATAGACTCGCATCAAATTACTCGTGGGTATGGTATGACCGACCGCCTCGCTCGGGAATGGTCGTGTCTTGGTGAACTGGTCCAGCGCCTCCAGGAGTTCAGGCAAATTCTTACTTATATCAGAACAGCTAAACCGCGCGCGCCATCCTGGACGGCCGGGGATGCTCCCGCACCGCACCTAAGGTAAGGTAGGTGGGCCGTTAAGTGGTCGTGGTCCATCCGCTTATAATAGTGTGAACGGGTGAAGTAAAGTTACAGTACTGTACAGTGGACGACCTCGACCTCGACCTCGACCTCGACCTCGACCTCTATCCCTAGGTTTGGTTGTTCCGAACGCAGGAGGCAGGATGGGAGTGGGACCCAGATACAATATTATTATTCCGCCGGCTGAGTGGTGACAATTGGAACCGTTGGCGCTTGCTTGCTCGTGCGCAGCGTTACTGTATCCTGGTCATGGCGTCCTCTAAGACCACCACCACCACCACCACCACCACCAAGCAGAACTTCTGGGGCTGGCTCTTCGACCACGCTGCGATCCTACATCAGGTCCCCAACTCGCCTTAAGAATGTGGCGTGCGCCCTGTCGCCTCTCCAGCTGCACGATTATCGTCGTTGATACTGTAGCTTGCAGTTTCCAAGAATGGCCATTCCATTAAAGAGAAAAACACGATTCATGACCTACCGTCGCTCACACTCATTCGAAGATGAACGGGAGTTCGTTTGTTCTTTGATGCGAACCATGAGCAGGATCTACACCTCCAAGCTTTCATGTTTCTTGCGTTGAGCGTCGGTTTTGATGCAGCATCGTTCAGGCCGACATGTTTTCCTTGCGACCACAGGACCGAAGATTGGTGCCTGTGTGTCTGCGGATACGGAGTTCAAGAACCACAAATATCGAGCCTGGCCATGACGGAAACGACTGCTCATTAGCTCATTCGAAGCCGATCTCTCTTCGGGTAAGTACAATAGAATGGGAGACAGTGCCTCGAGTCTGTTGTTTCAAGTCAGGGCCCGGCTGGGTGTTTACCTCTTCTCTGCATCTCGTCCAGGCTGCCTCAGTATCATGTGTACGCCAGAGAGAGAGAGGGAGCGGGCGGACTGATTATATCGAAGAATTCATCTGATGAGACAATTTGGACCCTCGGTCAAAATTCCCAAAGGAGCAGCTGAAGCTTCAACAATGTCGCTTTGCGGCGGCGAGACGACCCATGAATTGCGGATATCGGAGTTCAAGATGTCCAGGTCTTATTATTGGCCAACTCCACATGAAAGTCCTGGATACGAAGGATTTATGGATCTTATCTCGATATCTGATTGTTTGATTGAATGTGAGCAATCATCTGGAGTATCTCTGTGGGTCAGCTTGATTAGGCAGGTCGTTTTTCAACTCCTTAATATCTCTCGGGTTTCTCTCTCTTCGTACCAGATAAAGATGAAGCCCATAGTTTGTCTACAGATGATATAGCTCCTAGACTCAATGGCTTCGACATTTCACGAAAATAAGTTCCTCGAGGACGGCGAGTTGCCAAATTCAATCCCATTGAAAGACCAAGATCATCTACGGGAAACACACATTTCAAAAGATGTCGAGAAATGCAACTGTATAGCAGCAAACGGTGAAAAAGAAGAAGAAGAAGAAGAATCGGTAGCGTTATCCATGGACTTGGTAGACATGACTGATCAGCCTCAGGTCACCTGGGATGGGGAAGACGATCCGAACAACCCATACAACTGGCCAAACTCCCGCAAATACACCATGACTGCACTCATGTCCCTTGGCGGACTCGTATCAACATCATCAACAAGTATGATGGCCCCGGCATTGTCCCAAATCAGCAAAGATCTGGTGATCAGCGATTCAGAGACGCAGTTGACGTTGTCGATTTATCTACTGGCATTTGTATTCGGCCCAATGATTATCGGACCTCTCTCTGAACTATATGGGAGAAAGAAGTTGTGGATTCTCTGTCATTGCTGGTACATTATTTGGAATGCACTTGCTCCTGTTGGGAATTCGAGTGGAATGATGGTAGCTGGCCGCTTCTTATCTGGCTTTGGTGGAAGTGTCTCGATATCGGCAAGTTAACAGATCCCTTTGGAACATTCTCGGATTTACTCTAATGAGTTCTCTATTAGATAGCAGGACCCACAATGGCAGATATGTTCAAAGCCGACCAGCGAGGAAAGTCGTACGCGCTCGTTACATTCGCACCTTATCTCGGAGCTGCAATTGGACCTCTAGTTGGCGGGGGACTGACCCAGGCAGCAGGATGGCCATGGTTATTCTGGGTGGTCTCAATTTTTGACACCGTACTCACCACGATTTTCACCATTCTCGCGCGAGAACCGTACGCACCTGTTCTCCTCGCCAGAAAGTCAAAACAACTCCGAAGGTCAACAGGCCGAGACTACCGTACGAAATTCGAGCGCAGTCATCCCAAAATCGGCCAGAAGCTGAGAGTGAGCATGATGCGGCCTGTCAAGCTCTTCTTCACTAGTCCTACTATTCTCATCCTCGGTCTTCTCACTTCGTACAGCTTCGCCGTCTATATCATCGCCCTGACGACATTCTCGACGATGTGGCAGGAGGAGTACGGATTATCGAAGACTGAAAGCAGTTTGCACTACATCGCCATAGCTATTGGTTCGACAATTGGCTCTCAGGTCACTGGTCCCCTCATTGACATCGTTTGGGCCCAACTCAAGAAGAAAAACAACGGTGCAACAGCCCCAGAATACCGCGTCCCCATGATGATACCGGGAATCGTGCTGATGCCTTTTGGTCTTTTATTGTACGGATGGGGCGTAGAGAAACATCTGCACTGGATTCTCGTTGACTTTGGAGCCGCCCTGATGAGCGGCGGCATGATGTCTTCCAGCAGTGCGATGTTTGCATATCTTATCGATGAGTTCGCGCTACACTCTGCGAGCTCTAATGCTGCTTGCAGAATCCTGTCGAACATTTTCGCTTTTGGATTTCCGATTTTTGCACCAAGTCTATATGGGAAGTTGGGGTATGGGTGGGGTAACAGCATGTTGGCGTTTCTGTATATCGGGTTGGCATTTCCAGCTCCTTGGATAATGTGGAGGTGGGGCGCGAAGATAAGAGCTATTGGAAGACCGCAGTGATCGTAGTGAGCTCAGAGCTGGAGGTCAGGGGCTTGAAGGTCCTCGCTTAACGTGGTAGGGTTGACAACACAGGGTTGAATTGGCAAATATCCTGGGCTCTTTATACGAGTCATCCAAAACAGCAAGGCAATACAGCATTGGACAAAACTTCTATCATTGTCCATTGGAAAGATAATGGAACTATCAGTTTATTTATTTGGTCTTTTCACAGCACATACCGCTTTTCTTGAGAGAAGGGTCAGTGGACTGAAAGAAAACGAGACTTGAATCAGTAGTTTCTGGATTGTCAGATTCAACATTTTCAACAACTCCGACGTCATATTAGTTACATATTTTCACCAGCAACGCTTCTCAACCAAGTCACCGTCTCGTCGACCTTGCTTAAGAACGGACTATGTGAACTCATCACCCTAGTAATATCCATGGTCGCCCCCTCCTTCTTACAAGCATCAACCATAGCCTCCTGCACCGACGGCGGAATTGCTTTGTCATCTTCACAGATCAGATAGCTACTCGGAATCTCCTTCCACGAGCAACGGTCCGTCCCCAAGAACTTCGTCGCATACGAATGCGGAGCGAGTTTAGCAGCCCATGATTCGGCTTCTGCACTCGGAAGATCATGGTAGAAAAGAGGGATAGGACCTGGTGGACCAAAAGGAGTGACCCAAGGCTTCTACTTGTGGCGTGAGCGCCTCCTAATAACTGACAAACTTCAAGGTGATTCAACACAAGCAGACATACCTCGACGATATAAAACGGCGGCTCTTCCCCACCAAAAGCCTGAAGCAAGCCCACGCCCTCCATAGGCACAAAAGCAGCGATATAAGCCAATCTCACCACACCTCCCTTCTTCCCCTCCTGCTCCCGTGACTTCTTGCTCAGCCCTTCAAGCGCACCACCGACGATGATCCCGCTCCAGGAATGGCTGACGACGATGACATCTTTTCCTGTATCGGCTTGGGAGCGCACGGCGGTGTTGAGAGCGTCAATGTCGGGCTGTAGGGTGGTGACTGCGGGCTGAGCGACGACTGCTTGGAGGGGTAGAGCTTGGCTGGAGTAGCCGTGGGTGCTGAGTTTGGATATCACGGCATCGTAAACAGAGGGGATGTGCCAAGCGCCGGGAAGGAAGACGAATACTGGTTTGGATGACATTGTGAATATTTGATGTTCTTGAAGACTTCCCTGGTAGATTTTTGAGTAATCTTGAAGATACTGTCAATGGAAAGCCTCAGGGATTAAATAATCAGTTGATGTCAGATCATACTCGAGGCTTGAGAAGTGGCTGATTATTAGGTCGGCTTGTTCCGCATAGCTGCCTCAATTTACGTAAGAGTTCAGCCGCCATACGTTGATTTCTCACTGCAGTAAAATCTGACAGGATCAGAATCTAGTAGTGCAATTATGCTGAGTTTCGTGACAACTCGTAGATTGTCCTTGACCAGTAGTTGTGCCTGAACGCGGTATGCCGTGATCTGCGGATAACCTCAGGCCGAGCACTAAACGTTGACTTCTATCTCAGCCGATGGCAAAGACATCTGATAACTCGTTTCGTGGCTTGAAGTGCCATCTCCACCGTCCCAGAGTTCGTTCATATCAGGTCGTCGAACTCTCACCCGCTCCTCTGCCGCCCCTCTCTCTCCCGCTGCCACCACCCATCTCCTCCATGTCCATGCTCTCGCTAGATATGTCAACAAGCATATTGCCACTCGTGTTTCCGTTCTCAAGTCCATTGCCATTACTCTTATGTTTTCCAGTAAACTCCGCATCGATGTCCTCCAGACTTCTCCCCCTCGTCTCAGGCATCCAGAACACGCAAACTATGGTTGTGAGCAGTGCAGCGCTTCCAAATAAAAAATAGACACCGAATGACGAGTTGGCCAGAAAAATTGGCGTGGTGAATGCTATGATCCAGTTCACGACCTATAATTATTAGCTACGTCACCTCTGACCGGTCATGCAAGAACGGTAAGAAGGCAGGGAAATGGCAAAGAAAACCTACCCAGTTCGCACTCAGCGCCAGACTACTCGCACCAGCCCTCGTCTTGGGACTTTGAATCTCAGAAACATAAACTCTGAAGCAGACCCCCCAAGTCCCACTGAACACCATAGCAAACACATATATCAACACGACAACCACCCATCTCGCTGTTCCCCTATCAGAGTGCACGCTACCACTTGCATACAACGCACCCATGACGAACATACAAGCTGCCTGAACTAGCCCACCAAAAATAGTCGATGTTGCTCTTCCCCAGCGATCAGCGAGCAGGAAGGCCGGGATCGTGACAAGCAAGATGAGCAGTGCAGAGATACCCGAAGCGAGAAACGAAGCGGTGGAAGACGAGAGCCCGGCAGAGGCAAATAGTAGAGGAGCGTAATATAATACGCCATCTATACCACTCGCTTGCTGAGCGCCCATGAGGAAAACGCCGAGTCCTGTCTGCCTTCTGGCCTTCTTGCTGAAAACAGCTAAGATGTCTTTCATTTTCACCGGGGGTGGCAGGGCACTGTCTTGTCGCTCCTCAATCTTCTCGCGCTCCGTAGAGGCGATTCCTAACATATCCCAGATGAGGAGCGCTTCCTTGTGGCGGCCACGTGCTGTCAACCACCGTGGTGATTCAGGGAGGAGAATTAGCGTGCTGATTGTGAAGGCACAAGCGAGGACTGATTGTAGGGCGAAAGGAATTCGCCAGGAGGCCGATGAAGCGATGTTCACGGTACCGTAGCAAATGAAATATCCTGCGCAGACTCCAACGGTGATTAGGAATTGTGGAATGAACGCTAGTGTGCCTCTGGATTGAGGAGGTGAGATTTCCGTGATGTATCTACCAAGTTAGCAAGGAATGGTTGAAGCTTCTTGGAGGGAAGAGAAATTTTGATACATACACTACCAAAGTGCTCAAGAATAGCCCCTCACCTATCCCTTTGACTGCCCGTCCAGCAAGTAGCACACCCAGATGCACACTCGCTGCTTCAATTCCACCACCAAGCGCAAAGATGGCAGCGCCACAAGCAATACCTCTCAGTCTCCCAATTGAGTTGGCGAGATGTCCCCCGAAGAAGGAACTTATGGCAGCCGGAATGAGGATCATAGAAATTGTGAGGCCATGTACGGTGGATGATAGATGGCCAAAGGTCTTTTCGAATTGAGCCATCGTTGTGAGCGGACCAATTGTACCTGTATCCAGCCCGGATGGACATGAGCTTGACATCGAGAACCGAGGCGAGAAGCACTTACCCGAACAGAGCGCCCCCAACGGAAATGAGGATAGAGGCTTGAACATACTTCGGCGGATGAAGCCAGGATAGGCACTTCATTCTGGACTCGATACGCCTACACTCTGCAGTATGGGATAAATGCTCAATAGTGGGTTGAAGCTAAGTCAAAAATGAAACGGAAAATTATGGAAGAGAAGTGCGGAGACTTTTCATTCTCTTGTAGATGAGCCCCTAAAGATCTTTAAACAGGATCTCAAACATGCGGACCGAATGGATTTTCCAACATCTGATTGGCAGATAAGCTTCATCCGCAGCGCAAGTCACGAGAAATCTTTTTTTCCCGCATGTGCTTTAGTTGACATCCACTTTGTGGTGCTGACATAATGAGGTTGATAAGAAGTTGTGAAGCGGAATATGAGATGGAAGGTTATGCGAGCGGTGGGCAAAGAAGAAAATGTGGAGCAGACCGAGCAATAAAGGAAACTTACGCGCCGCTGAATACAAGGCTGGTGATTTACCTGTATATTGACAGACGCACCGTGAGGAGATGAAATACAATTTCGTAAGGGTTTTTCGGCATGGCACACCGATTGAAAATGTCATAGGAGAGACAACTAGGATGGAGATCATTACCTAAATTCAAGCCTGAGGTCTACCTGGGAATGGGAGTCAGGGTTGATCATGTGCCTCAACTCGATCCCTCTTCGGGTTAGATTGAGAACCTCAAGCGAGATGCCAACCTCCATACTCCATCAAGTAGGCTTTGATCTCGATATTGCTAATCTCTTGGATATCTCTGTAAGTGTCCCTTCCAAGGATGTTGTCTCCCTTGACTCTGATACTGTTACCCCTCTCTCCAAGGCCAGTTGGCCATGTAAGAATGGGTTGCTCAACGTATCCGAGAAGTCCAGACCATGATCGTAGCTGCAGGATGCGTTCGAAAATCATACTTGCTGAAGCTTTTCCCACGCCTCCCCCCTGGATTTCGTAAGTTTCAAGGTCATCTGTTGGTAAGCCCCTCCCGCAAAGCAACCTTGGTTTTTATGGAACGTGATGTGGGTGAATGGATGGTGACGAAATACATATGGTCCCTACAGATGGAGACCCCTTCCTTCAATTCGACAACTTAAACCATCTCGAATAGTGCCACACCGTTGGGGAGACTTCAGGCAGGATGAAGCAGGTCGGGACATCACCAGGAAGATCCGCCGAGGACGGGAACTCCTGATCATGATGCCCATTACCCTGCACGCGTGCCACCCTCCGCCAATGGTCTTGCCACCTATTCGAAAGCTCTGGAAAAAACCCTTTGAATGGCATGCAAAAGATATGATGCCATGAGTTTGCGAGCAAGGGGTAATCTGCTCGTTCTGCTGCTGGGACGACGTCAGCCAGGCTGAAGGACAGACCAGTCAAGCGTACGTCGTGACCGATATTGATTGTGAAGTGCTCGAGACGTGGAGTAGTAGCGTCAGAGCTGGGTAAACGTCGGTACTCACGGACCATGAGAGTGGGAGACTGATAGCCAATGTCAATGACATAAGCACGGGCAAGGTGAGGGTATCTTCGAAAAGCTGTTTCCACCCGATGGCACGCGTCGTTGAAAGCCTGCAAGAATGAGACCTCTAGGATTATGCGTTTTTGGCCACACGCCGAGAAAGAGCCGTCAACGATGATTTGATTTTCATTGCGACCAGGGTCCATGTTAGTCGCTCTACGCCAATTGAAGTTATTACATATATAAGAAAGCTTCGGCGATGGCCGCATCTTTGGTAGCCAGACTATCTGCGTATCTCGTCCCACATGCAATGAAAAGACCATTGACGATGGGCATGACGGCTAGGTGTACATCGGACAAAGACATTGCGAGTAAGTATTTATCTCTGAACGGGCGAAAGCTGTAGGGTGCGCGGTCAGAGATGAGGAGCACTAAGGAGCTTGGAGACTTACATATACCGACGCAGGCCTTCGTAAATTTGAGTGGGGAGAGGATGAGGGGGATGAGTCATGCTGTCGAGAACTGAGACGTTGTCTGCTTCTGCAACAAGGACGCCGGCGTAGTCTACTCCATGGCTGCGTACGCGCCGCAGGTATTCGACATCGACCTCCGGTAAGGTAGACAGATGTGTGATTTCGCTGGGAGTAGCTTCGTGGACGTGTAGGTAAGAAGCAAGATTGAGAGGGAACTGGAGAGAAAGCGCAGAGTTTGTCGCACATTCATAAACGGCGGGGTCAGACGTGGTAGAGGGCGCACTGCTGCTTTGCAGTGTTGGTGAAGGGACATGTATCTTGGATGGATCGCTGGTTGCATCTTGAGAGCTTAGAGGGGCGTGAGGTTGAGGGGCAGAGGAGTGGCATGCTTCCTCAACTTTTGGCATATCTGCGTGATTCCATGCTGAGGTAGACATCATGAGCGATCGTATCGTATCGTATCGTATCGTATGTCAGGTTCCGTAGAAGAGACAAAGTAAGGCCGTAGTGCGAAGTTTGCAATAGTAGAGGCCGAGGCCAAGGTCAAGATATGGACGAGGTTGACACTATGAACTAGAGAATGGATGCGGTTAAGCGACCTGTAGGCAGCAGCGGGAGCTTGTTTAGACGCCACGGCCTCGAGACAGCCTATCAGCACGTGCGTCAGGCATCAGGCGTCAGGCACCACAGGTACCTACCTGTATCTGGGTAGGTAGGTATATGTACTTAAGTACTTTAGGCCGAGGCGACCTACTCCTCGGAATCTCAGCTAACAAGGGTGAGGGGACTTGCTCAAGATGACTAGACTGTGGGTATTCTGACACACGAGCATATTCGGGAAGATATGGAATATCATACATATCTAGTGCGAGAGCGGATTCGGAGCGAAAGATGACATCCATCCTTGGATAGGTATGCTTGTAAGAGGGAAACCTGATGCAGTCGCGGCTGCAATGGCTGAATATTGCCTCAGCCACGTATGGGCTTCTCGCCTCCCTCGATCTTTCATCGATTGTCTACCTTCCACTGCTTCATATAGCAGGGTAAGAAGCCTTGAAGGAGCTCCATGATGCCAACATCAAGCAAAAGCTGCTTTCAAATCACCCCTCTGCGCAGAATCAATATGGCATCGTCTCGAAGATCATGGCAGATAAGTATGATGCCTTAGTCACTATACTCTCAGCCGCAACCCCATTTGCTGACGTTCGAGACTATTCCCTTGGAGATCTTCACGTGGAAGCCATCAGTATCGCGATAGTCCTTTCTAGCCCTCTGTCTCGTGGCAGCGTCCACATCACTTACGCCTCGAGTAAGGGCGCTTCTTCCATTGACCCTCCTTACTTGAGCCATGCCCTCGACCTCCGGATGTGTGCACGACAGATACAATACCTTGCACTCCGAATCGCTGCCGCGCCCTTCACATCATTGCTCATTAAGCGCAACAGTCGAATGACAAGACTTAAATCTTGCAAGGACGATATCGGAGTTTTTAGAGGGCATACGACGCACTGTGATCTCCATGTGGTATCCAACTAGCATCTGTGCTATGCTGTCGAAGGAGAAAGGTGGCGTTGTCGATGAGCATTTGAGGGTCTACGGAACTGAGAAGCTCAGAGTTGTTGATGCTAGCGTGATACCACTCATCCCAGAGGCAGATATTCAGAGCAGTGTTTATGCTCTTGCAGAGGGCGCATCGGATCTGATCAAAGAGGGACATAGGCCTTTCTACGATGCGAGCATCTAGCTTAGGCTATTAGCTTACTCCTTTCTCCATCTGTTTCAATTCGGAAGTAGGGAAACCTTTTCCATTTAGGAGAAGTCAACAACATGAGCTGTCGCCGATGCAGTCTTCAAATATCCACACTCCTTACACGATCACTATCCCTCGGTGGGCAAGTAAAATGTCATTGAAGTATGTCGCATAAATTGCATTCCCGTGATCTCAGCAGATCTGCATGTGGCATAGTTCCAATAACCCCTTCCTCGACTCAAACCAGCAGAATGCCCTCAGTTGGATAGAAAAGTTTCCATTGAGCGTCTTCACGTTTGAAGAACCCTACTCTGATAAATGCTCCAGGCTGTACTGATGGCCTCAACACAAGCGCTATAGTAGACGACATTAGGAGAAGCCCAACCTCATCGCCAACAGTAATCTCTGCTGGCTTACTTCGGCATAATGCCAGTGGTACATCCAAGAAGCAGCGTCCCTTCAAGTTTCCTTGCTCGACGATCGCATAGGTACAATTCTGCTCTGGCTTGTCCCGCTGGCTCTGACTTGGCTCCAAGACGGCAGCATAGGGTCCAGCTGTGGCTATTTGTGAATTCCATCCTATCTCACGAGAGTAAAACCCGATTTCCGTGACCCAGGCTGTAGAAAAAGGGCCATGAATCTTCATGGAGGCGCTGAACACTCGGCCTCGAGGATCAATGCCTTCTAATACACTCGAAGCCTCCAAGATCGTCGCAGAAAGCTGATTATCATTCTTGCCTTCTCCAAACTCAGTTTCAACGTGGCGAATTGGGCATTCCATAGAGACCCAGCTCCAACTTGGGCCTCGCCAGGCGGAAGGTCTCCGAGCCATCACCCCGCTCGCGTTGGAGAGATTCGGGCACCAATGTAATGATTCTAGAAGAAGGCTTCTCCACATTCCAGCAAGGTAATCGTCGCATCGACCCGATGTGACTCCCGAAAGGGCAGGCAAACGATCTAGCTCTTGAGTTATCTGAAGTTGAGTGTATGCTTCCACAAGTGCTGTGTATGCCTCAAAGTCCTGCTGGCGCTTTATGGAGGACTCAGGAAGTTTCTTGGATTTTGACACGAGAATCGCGTGTGCTTTACCTCACCGTGTCTCCCACTGAGAACTATTCGCCTTTTCCTCCCAGCCCCTACATTTACATGCCACATGTGATTTGCATTCAAAGTATAGCTCTCCAGACGCGAAATGGATGAGTCGTGGGCTGAGAATTTGCTCCTGAAATACCCAGGCTCGCTTCAGCAGCGGCTCCTTAGGTTTCTTATCTTCGTACAAGCCATGAGGACGCCTCATTAAGACGGTGAAGTTTCTCAAACAAGCGTCTCTGTCGGTTCCTGATATTCGGAATGGTTGCCATATCGCTGGGTTTCGCACTTGCTGCAAATCTGAGTGTACTAGCTTGAGCGGCTCATCTGTACGAAGTCCAAAGAGACCTCGGTCGCCGTTCTCGCCTCTGGATGCCGATATGGTGAGATATGATTTGGTGTATATGTCTGCCATTTTGGAAGCGTGGTATTCCCAGTCTTCTTACTGTCTTGAATGATACAGAGAGAGTCTATCCAAAGATATCGAAAGCCAAGATTCCAGGTAAGTTTTATGGCTTCGTTGAAAGTTCGCGAGAGACTTGATGATGAGATAGACTTCTCCATCTCCGCCTGACTGGAAGAGGTGAGGCTAACATATTTGGTTGTGCCCCAACAGTGACTCAGCGTTAAGTATGTGCCTTGTGCTCTGTTCGACCAAACGAGCCGGACTTTATCTTCTGATATTTCCAAGAGTCGCTTAGGAAGTGGTGATCGTGGCTCGATAAGACAGTCGGGGTGGCACTTCTGACAAGTTTCAATCCATTGTTTGATGAGACTTACTGTTTCCGGGCTAGAAGTATCCTGGATCAAGTGATGAGTAGATGGCAGCTGACCTTTATAACCAGGGTGATCTTGAGCACTGTGTTAGATTGAGATCAAAGAAGTATGAAAATGAGGCAAGGCGTACCAGAGTCTTTGAAATCAAATTCTAGAGTTTCACCACCATGATCATCGAAATGAACCAGAACTTTGTTGGCATTTGAAAGCAGACCGCTCTTGAAAGAAGTTCCGGATAGCTCCATTTGTTCAATTCTAACTTTGTTAGGTGTATACTGGGTTTTAAAGACGAGATCTGCGAAATGCTTAATGCTTCTCTGTAGGACATCACAAGTACCACATCCAGAGACCGCAGCTTCCTCAAGCTCCTGGAGGGTAAAACCGCGCGGTCGCTCTTTGTGTTCGCTTACTTGCTAGCAGTAGCCGCAAGTACTTCGGAAGGTATTGCCACCTGAAATCTCGTATAGTTCTTCTTCATCCATTTCAAAGCTACTTCTGGAGGGTGGCCGCACGACAGGAGCAGCGAGTGAGCTGGGTGAAGGTGTAACTAACAGAGTTACCTGCTTCGGATTGAGACCCAGCTTGCCCATTTTCTGCAAGAGTTCAGGAACAGTACTACCCCCATCGCGATCGAGATGCACGAAGCCGTCTCCTTCGCTTTCAGGACGAGCAAAAAATATCGAGCTCGGATGATTGCGCATGATCCTTCCCGTCTTCGGATCGATGGAATTGCCGTGAAAATCCCTGATTCTGGGATGTTCATGGGTCTCCTTTTCCGGCTCCATACTGTCCACGAATTCGGGTTGAGTAGATTGAAATGTGACGAAAGCCAATACCAAAATTGATATGCACCATCTGAGAACTCTTTGGATGGATAGACTCTGCGAAAACCATTATATCTTTTGCCTGTTTGGTATGTCTCCAGTGTGTCCACAATGTCCAAGATCCAGCTGAATATAAAATCCTGGGCGAAATCTGGAGCTGGATCGGCCCTTGCCGAGACAGAATGACTGGAAATTGCCAAGGCTATTTTAACCAATTCGAGTAAATAGCAGTTCCTTTGTGGTTGCTATCAAAGCTATTATCGGTATCTGGTGGGCTGGCTTGTACGCAAACTCTGATGGCTTGCGTTTCGCCAAGCAGCTGGTCCACGACCAAGCTTCTAGGGCTGAGGACAGTCGCAAAATGCATCCTGCTCCTGATAGCTGATTGAATCTCTTAGTTGCATCCGGGTGATTATATGCTGGGAGTAATTCTTCAACAGCTCGAGAAACGCATCAGTCCGTTTTGAAAAACACAATATGGGCTGCTCCGGTAGTAGAGAAGTGCAGCCAGACATCGCCTTCGATAATCGACAACCACGACCTCTCCATTCTTCTGTCCAGCAGAGGACTCAATAACAGCCTGCCACTATCAAGCATGATAGATTACCAGGACAGCGAGCAGTCCAGCAAATTCCATTACCTAGGCAAGTCGAATCCGCCACGCAAAGTCCATGGCCGAAGCGAGTTTCAATCGGAACCTCTGGTTTAGAAGTCCAGGTCTGGCACCACACAAATTACCAAGATCAATATTTTGGACCGTCTTCGGGATGGGCTTACCTCTCTGATGGCCTGCTTGGAATGAATCAACCAGAAATAATTTTCAGACCGAGACAACCTGCTACTGAACACCCACACGACTTTCCGACATTTCCAATTGAATGGATCCAAGTTGTGTACGAATTCGCTTGCAAGGGAGTCAATCTCGAAGAAGGCCAGATGTGTCAAATTGTTACAGGGCCTTCTATTCGTTTTATCGTTGGCCGTAGCGAGGTGATTCGGAACAAAGATCTTTGGAGCGGAGCAGAAAGGTTGAAAATGCTCATACATGGTTCTCCAGGCTACGATGGAGTATTTGACATTCCCCTGGGATTCAAAATCCCAAGAGCAGCCCATCATGTCATTGGTCTCACTGCTGAAGAAGCAACAGTCGCCTTGGAGTTCGGTCCTACTCGCGTGATCGCTCATTTAGGCGAGTCCGAACGTTGCTTCCCCTCCCCTGTCTGGGCCGACAGAGATCGGAAAAATTGCTGTACGATGGCGGATCAGGCCAATAGTGGACGCTCAAAGTTCAAGCTTGCCCGAATTTATGGTGTTAATGCGCTTCTGGATGGAGGGTTTGATAGTGGAAACATAATTCTGACCCTTCCGCCTGGAGAAAAGAAGATAAGGGCGATCCAAGCAGCTTTCAGGAACTTATCCAAGGACATGATGTTTGGTTTCGACTCATTTATGAGCGAGCGAGCTACTTCAGCATTGACGTGGAGAACTGGTCAGACAGTTCCCAAGGCTTATGGAAAGAGCTCGTAAGGCGTTATCTGTTTTTTCTACTTACTTCGCTGACATCTCTCAAACAGAAGCACAAACCTGTTGAACCTGGCATTTATTGGATTCGTTAATTACACCACTGATCAGAAAAATGACTGTATAATTATTGACGACGGCTACTGTAGTAAGTCTGGCATCTGATTCTTCCCCCTACTTCCCCGAGAAAGTCCTCTACTGATTATTCGAGAAGTGTTTCTACTCCCTGATAGTTGGGCCAAGATACAACAAGCAGTTGCTGCAGTGGAGGACTGCACAATTCCGCTTGGAGGCCAAACTTTCGTTTTGAAGTGGTTAAGACCAATGCTCAAAAGCCCTCACGATCGTCCCGTCTTGGAAAGATTCAAAACAAACGAGCCAGTCATTAAGCCTCTGACCAAATCTCATGTCGAACTTGTGGGCATGACCTTCTTACACGAACCAACACCGACTATTGTCTCCGCTATGGCTATGTGTGAGTACGTGGAACGTATCAGACAGTTATTGTGCGATCTGATGCCGCCGTATCCTCCTCCAGGCATTCGAGAGCCCTGTCAGACATTGACAATTCGCTTGCAATTCCCAACACTTCCTGGCGGCGCACTGGCTACAAAGTGCGACCCCTCGGACGCTGGTGTAGATGCGAATCTGGTATCTAACGCCATGATTCTGGTTCCTTTGGAGTTCAAAGACACACCCCCAGAAGGTGAGCTGGTATATCTCTGCCATGCAGTTTTTGGATTGTGGGGTTACATGGGTCAATAGTGTTCTGCTCCATACCTAGACAGCACACCTGACAGTATGTTGGCAACAATTGCTCATACAGTCATGATGTTATCAATGATTTCTAAGATTTGTGTTTGTTCGAGCTCGCTTCTCTCGCGTGATCATAAGATCACGATTTCGGCTCCGACGTGAGGGGTTTTGAGGTAAATATACTTCCTAATTAGGACAAGTGCGGGGCTCGCCTCGCAGTCTCTCTGTGAGCATGGGCCGCGAGAACACTTTTCCTGGCAGGATGCCACGTTGACCCGCGGCGGCAATTGATACAACTATCACTATGGGGATGTCCCTTGCTTTAAACACTCTGAATGAGGCCACTGATTCTTCAGTATTAGAAGAACATGCGAGGCAGCGACACAGCTCTCACGCAATATCACCTATCCGAGATAGCGAGGGGTCCGAAGATGACCAAGACTCACTTCATGAACTTCTCTCAAACAACCAAATTCTCGAGCGAGAAGGCCAGTATATAATTCCCCGAGCAGTGGAACGTAAAAAATGGTGGAGAATCTACTTCCTCCATTTCGCCTTCATGTGGAACACAAGGACCTTCGAATACGTCTCTGTAAGCTAATAATCGAAGCCCTGTGGGCGGTTGATAACTTCGCATACAGATAATATTGGTTGCTTCTGCTTTCCCAGACGACCTTACAGCGACCTCCATCAGGTTTGGATGACTGTCGAATGTTCAGATCAAGTGCTTACGAAACAGGGGAATTGCTTCCACACTATCAACGATTCTTTTTGCCTCTTCTGTGGGATCTTGGATTGATAAATTACCTGACAGAACAAGGCCTCTTTATATAAGTATCATGGTCAACCACACATCGATAATCACCATCTATCTCGCATGGATACTCTGGCCAACTATCATTGGAGACGACTCACGATCTCTCAAGAACGGTTTCTTTGGACTCATAGTACTTCTAGATGTGGTCCAGGTGTTGAGCGCTACAGGAAATAATCTTTCCATCAGTCGGGACTGGATACCAGTTCTAATCGGCGCCGAACTGGGCTCTAACTATACCTTGACGCATGTGAATGCCGTGATTGCTAGGATCAACCTGCTTTGCAAGGTTACATCTCCTATGATACTTCCCTTCATCATCTCGGCATTTTCAAGAAATACGTGGATATTTTTAGTAACTTTGGTCACTATGGGAGTCTGGGCATTGGAGATGTTTTGCTTACGCATCGTATCGATGGAGAATGCCAAACTGCTAGCTCCCAAAAGCCAGGAACTCAGGTCAGATCATTTAGGAGAAATGCTGGCAACGAATTCAATATATCAAGTTAATGCTTGGAAAGGGGTGAAAGACCTGCTCTACCACCTTCCAGCCCAGCGACTTCGACACTTCTTTTCCATGCCAATCTGGCCAGCGGCGTTCTGTATGGCGTTTCTGTACCTCACTGTTCTTGTTTACTCAGCTCCTCTGATTACATACTTACTTCAGAGCGGAATGTCTCTGACCGCAATCACTACAGCAAGGGCGTCTGGAAGTCTAATGGGTTTTGTCGCGACATTTACAACTCCCATGGCGAGTGGATATCTCAACCAAAAATGGACCGAAAGCCAGACTAGCAAAGGAATAGTCCCTAGGAAACTCAGCTCTTCGGGAATAATTGGGCAATTCTTATCCTTGGTGAGTCTAGTTGTAGCGAGTTTCTTCAATTCACTGACTTGCCAGGTCCCTGTCGTACTCGTTCTGCAGCACCTGTCTCCAAGCTCCTCGGGTATCGTGGACGAGAACAAAGAATCTGTCTCTCAAGCAAGTTTAGTGACGATGATAACCTTATTCGGCTTCCTCTCACTATCCAGATTTTTCCACTGGACTTACGAGTTGATGGAGCAAGAACTGGAGCAAAGTGAGGTCCTAACTTCGCAGCGTTCCACCTTCTCAGGAACTGGACAGGCAATATGTTCATGCTTCGATCTCTTGCATTGGTTTGCTACGATCGCCTGGGGTCGGCCGGAAGAATTCAAAGGACTTGCTACGGCAAGTCTGTGTTTGGTGGGTAGCAGTGCAATCTGGTTTTGGGTCTGGGCTCAGAGACTTTGATTAAAGATGATTGGCATGGAAAGAGCATCTTTCCTGGTATATTAAAATTACAACTCGTCCGTTTTCTGCCAAATTGAAAGGTTAGAAATTGAAGCATCGCAAGTTGGCTCAAGGCATCGTCTCATATACATCTTCCATCCTTGGGCTCTTCAGATAGTCCGCTGGCACATCCTCTGGCGCCTGGTGCTCGAAAGCCCACTGCCGAATGTCATCGAAATTCCTACACTTATGTCTGGTGTTGAAGTCCGGATACGCAGCTGGCTTCTCTCTATTCCACCACACCTGCCCCAAAACGCCTACATCGGCCGTACACATCAATTGTTGTCTTAAAGTATCAAGGCAATGCGCTGAGAGCCACATTATCAGCTTCGATCTTTGTTCGATAATCTTGGTTGGCAGAGGCTGTGACTACTTACTGACGTGAAAACGAAGTATCTCATCTTTGTTGCTGAATGCCCCTTTACCCAATTTATGATAATAATCGAAGTTGAAATACAGAGCCTGCCTCAAAAGATTGAGACAATGCAGATGATGCAAGCCTTCAACATTCGCGGGAAAACCTCCGCCATATCGATCAGAGACCTGCACCTGGGAGTCTATGAGCCCAGATGCTGCTGCCAGCTCGGGAGGTACGATGGCCGCTCGGTCTGTCAAGAAACGTGTTAGTGAAGGATAATATCGCGAAACGTGTTTCGAGGTGACTTACAATCCACTCCAAGAGCTTGCCATGCGGCATCAACGGCAGGTGACCCTGTTGCTCGATAAATATTCTCGTGCATTAGAGTGCCATTGAATCTCTGTGTCGCATATCGTATAGGTACATCTTTGAGAACCGGTGCTGCATATCATCAGAGCTGAAGCATTCAGACAGACCTAAGATCGCACATACAATAATTCGACGTATAAGCTATGCAAAATTTATCTGAATTTCCTTGACCTCCTATCCAAACTCCAGCGAGAACCGCGATTGCAAGAGATATTAATATCGCAATGGCGGAAAAGAAACTAGAAAGCCTGGCTTGTTGAGTGCTGGATTGCAGTCGCAAACGTGAATCCTGTGCTGAATCTTTGATCAGAGACTCGCAGTCTTCATCTGTTGATGGCCTCTCTGAGGAATCATTCGAGTCCTTAAATGTGAACATTTTGACTTCTTGGCCTGACTATGCGGTTCATAAATCTTCAAGATGGAATTGTTGGAGAAATGGCAGAGCAGAAAATCCAAAAATCGAAAGACCCAAAAACGGCTCGGCACCCGCACTGTGTACCTCCCTCTATTGACCACGCAGCTCGACTAGCTCCACATGCTCACAAATGCAGAAGCAGCGCAGCTACTCAGCTGAAGAGCTGTCATGCTCTAGTTCCCATGATAGTTTACCCTTGTCCGCTTCCGGCGACGCCTCTGAGGAGGGGTAGCTGTTCTCCCAAAAGCACGGAACGTCGAAAAAGTGTGCAAAAGATACACTTTCCACTCGTGGCTTGATCGTCAGTTCTAGACTGGCTTTAACAATGCGCCACCGACCCCGCTGAATGGATCAACCTGGGGAAGCTCTTCAGCCCTAGGGCCTCGCATGTATGGCATCGGGGATATCGCTTAGCGACAACTGTGAGTTGGGTTGTTGTTGCCATTCAACGATAACGATCCGGATCCAGTTCAATGGTTATGAATTGATACTGCGGGTATTATGATATCAAAGCCTGTCGTATCAGTGAGCAGCTTGGTGCAAACATGTTATCTGACAGTTCGGGTGTTCATCACCCAGATCTCCCATGGGATTAGACTGCTGTTCATGATGAGCACCCAACAAAGTCTAAATCAACCTTCGTTCGTCATCATGAATAGCTCACTCATTCAAACTGTAGTAGCCGAGGCTATCAAAGATCCGACCACCAGCATGAACGCTGGCCAGAAGGCACAGAATAGTCACAGGACTTGATTAAGCCTGTAAGTCATGATGTTCGCAGGCAATGCCACCAGCACTCTAAGCCTCAAAATGCTAGCGTGGTGAACGTGAGGGCAACTTCCCGTGTCAATCTTCTTGGTTCAACCTTGTGCATACACTTTTTGCCGCATTTGCAGCAAGGCTGGCCAGCGATCACCACCGTCCGGAGCTACGGAGAGTGAGTGGCTCGATACCATTGGTACATCGAGCGAGACTATCAATAGCCTCCAAAGTCCGAGTATATGCATGTCTGAGAGAACAGCAGCGACAACGAACAATATTCAAAAGTGGCTTCATAACGGACGATCCATTGGTCGGATATGGCTCTTCGGACCCCAAGAATGAGGAAATTTTGACAATACAGGGATCAGCTCTAGAAAAAACATGGCGGACTATGGAGATGCATGGACGTGGCAGCCATTCCAGGCCTGGTCGGAGCTGAGCTGAGCTCCGTCTAACTAGAGCGAGGGAAAGAGCATGTACAGAGCTTGTAGCTCTAATATATAGCTCTACCCAGCTCGAAAACCAAAAGGAAAATCCTTCGTACCTGCAGCATCCCCATTCTTCAAAATCAACTTGATCAACAAGTTCGAAAACTGATCATCATGAAGTTCACAACCATTCTCCTGCCTCTTGCGCTTGCTTCTGCAGCGATCGCTGCTCCAGTACCTATGGAAGCTCGTGAGGCCAGCCCAGCATATGGGAGTTATGGCAAATACCCACCTCCAGCAGGTGCGTTGTCTTGCGAATGCGGTTTTCATGTGCCTGTCCTTTATGAAGTTCGAAGAGCTCAGGCTTGCGAGCTTGAGGAAGGCACCACGAAACACATTCTCAGCCCACAAATGAAGCCATTCCAAGCCCTAGAACATGCTGACCCTGAGACTCAGGTGGCTATGGTAGATACTCTGGTTATGGACGCTATCCGAAAGAGAAGCGTGACGCAGCTCCTCAGTACGCCGACTATGGAGATTAGTAAGTATTCTCCTCCTCGGATGAAGATGTCTCAACTGCTCCCATAAATGTTCTTCTTCTTGAAACACATACACGGCGAATACTGACTTCGTCATCACTTAGTGCCGATGCAACTTACGCGTCCTATGGAGACTATGCCGGTGCAGGTACCGGAGCTGCACCTGCACCCGCTGCAGCATACGCAAGCTATGGAGGTAAGCCTTCGCTGCCCTTGAACTTCTGTCAAGGCATCAGAAAGATGCTGGTCTTTAGAAGACCTGAGAGATCACATGGCAGAGAAGAAGCTAATCATTTGCCTAGATTATCCACCCCCTGCAGGAGGCTATGGTTCGTATGGAGCTTACAAGAGAGCACTTGGAGCATTTGTGAAGAGAATTTTTGGTTAAGGATGAGTCTCATCAATGCTGGGAGGACAGGTAGGTACTGAATAAATGTCATCGCGAGTGTTTCAAGCTGACTTTTCTTAGATTGACAATGCACAAAGATTGGTCGGCTGGAATCAAACGTGATGATGTAGTGGAGACATTCAGGAAGTTGATGCGTACACAAGAGTCTGAACTTACATAATGCTGTCCTTACCCACGTAATCAATGGACATTTCTAATTCGATTTCTGGTTCTTAGCGATGCTTTTTGCAACATTTTCCCACACTTGTCCATCCATGATACCACTCTTCTCGTTGTGAACTCCAAATTGTCTCACGGCTTTCCCCATCCACCACGGTCTCTTAGCATTCAGTACTGTTGTATCACGACAGTAGTTGGCGAACCCCATACGCTCTTTGGTAGCATGAAGATCCCCAAGTTTGACTCGCGTCACTCTTGGTTTGCCGATAAAGTTCATGGTCGTGATGTCAAGCTCAGCGGTCTTAGGTAAGGTCTTGGAGTAACGTAGCAGCATCTCATGTGATTGGCGAGCAAATATCGGAAGCCGAAGATGGATGTACGTTCTAGGTATCGGGGAAGTTAGCAATTTGCTCATTGGGTTCAGTTTGGGTAGAGGTTGAGACATGTTTCGGAAAGCGTTAGGACGACATCAAATAGAGGAAATGATGGGTTCTCCCCACTACCTACACGAACGGCGCCGAAATGTAAGAAACAATTGTGACTGGAACAAGGCCAGACAGCATAACTATTCAGGTATCAGAATGCCCTACGATAACATGTGAAGAGAAAGATTTATCAGCCATACCACTGGCAGCTGCCCAATTTGAGTTGTCAGCATAGAAATGCGTGGGAGCCATCACGGCACAGAAGAACGCGCAGATGAAAATGGTAGTGACTTTCAAACATCCTAGAAATACTGTTCTACCAGTACCAGCATGGTAGATAATCAATTGCTCAGGAAAACCTAGCTACGTCAGAGCCGTTGCTTAGTATCCGCTCAAAGCAGCTGAGACTCACGAGCTTTTTTGAGTCCGGGCTTTGGAGCACGGGTGACTGTGCTATTTGATCGACAACTCAGAATTGGAAACCTAGAAAGAGAAACTCGTGCCGATTGAGGCTTCCTCAAGCTAGGTAGGATAACCCGAGGCTTAAATCGTAGAAATAGCATCATGATGCTGTTGTGAGTATGGTTGGAGAGGATGAAATAGGGGCTGCGACATGTGCCAGTTCGCAGTTGACGGCAAGTGATGCGCAAGATTCTTATGCGAGACAGCACAAGTGGCGATTCGGTACAGAAGACATCGATTCCGACTTATGACTATCTCGATGCGGTCGATTGCTGACGAGACATAAAGTGGATGACAAGATCGCGAGAATCGTTGCTTCATGAAGCGCGTCTGCCAGCCCTCACCGCCGCGAGACAACCGGAAGAGGCAAGAGGGGCATCAAAATCTCTGAATTCTTGACTTTTGGAGTGAAACTCATATGTCATGCTAAGCTCAGTATATTTGATCGTTATTCATGACTTCTCGAAGGTTAGCTAGCCTGTTGCGTAGCGTTGACGGTGTCGGTTTATAACACAGCACCTCATTGCTATTTCTTAGCGAGACTTCCAGCATTCAGAACAGAAATCGGCCATTCTCAGCATCTGGAAGAACAACCTTCAATCTGCTGCTAGGCGTTTCTACCTATTAAGAAAGTGATGGACAGAAAACAAAATTTCAGGACTCTAGCCATTAAAACCTTCAAGAAGTAATCCATGAAACCTTCAATGCCGACCATTCCTTCTCCTAAATTCTGCAAATCAGATAAAACTACCCTATCTTAACCCTCAACTCCCTTCTCTGGGAATCTCGCTCTCGACTGACCCTTTGTTCTCGTCAAATTATTAGACAGTATGCACAACTTCAGTTCCTATCCCATCATGTTTACAACGCCTGGATCAGAAGCTGTGTTCTCGGAATCTCCTGCTCGGCTTAAAATCAGGACGACTTCATTCTTGGACGAGTTCGAATTCTCATTAGATATTAAATCGGTCATCTTCTTAATAGCGCACTGTGATTATGACAAAGCTCAGCCGTAAAAGTGACAATTGATTCAAAAAAGTCCACCTCCCAATTAGCTCTTCACCAATTCACAAGTCTCGTCTTTGCTTCTCCAATCTCTCCAGCTTCTCACCCTTACACCTCTTTCCCCCAATCAAAGGATTACATTGAACCGTCTTGCCACCCTCAAACCTCGCCACGAAGCTGCTGTTATACCTCGCCGCCATCCCAACAGCCGGGAAATCTGTCGATATCAGTTGTGCACCACTTGCCAACGCCGCATCCCTCATCACAAAGCTATTTTCTAGCACGGTCTTGATCGGCTCATCGCTTCTCGTTCTCACGAGATATCCTTTCTTCACAAGATCTTGGATAAGCTTCAAATTGTCCCCCGTCGGATCGTTCCGCTTCAGAAACGCGCCATCGGACTCCCCCGGAACGGAATTCGTGAATATTGCACGACCTTCGAGATTCTCGTGTCCATTCGCTCGATAAGGATTGCGAATGAGGCCAGGAGATGGTTCATTGTCCATGAGGAAGATGACTTTGTTCTTGGCGTATTTGTGAGTGGGCCAGCCGTGCTGGAGAACGGATTGCTCGAGTGTGAGACCCGGCTTACGGACATCGTCTGGGGTGATTATTTCGTCGTCCTTGAAGACTGAGCGGATCTCGGCGTCGACTGTGGGGATGTTGGTGGCATTCCATGGCTCACCTGGGGCACCACCCAGAGATGCGATGACAGGCTCTTGGTTTTTGAATTCGAGCATGATGGGGATTAGTGTGTGACCTTTGTTGGCTTTGGACCAGGTTCGGACTTGTTGGAGGCAGTCGATAAATGTGAAGCCTGCATTGCAGGTTAATCATCAATTCGAATTCGAGGGACACGCAAAAGGCAGAATGGGACATGTTCTCAAAGAGTTCGAGATAATTGGATGATGAGAAGACTTCAAAAGTACTTACATTGTGAGTTCACATCAACATCAGCAATATGCAGAACTTTCGTCCCGGGAAGCTTTAGCGCAGGGATATCCGGATACGGCAACTTGGAAAGATTCCTTGCAAGCGGGGTGGCATACATTCCACCCTTCGAATCAGCGAACAGATCAAATTCGAAACCACGGATCGATTGATAGGTGAGCTGGTCTGAGATTGAAGCATGCGAGTAATACAGATCTTGAGCAGTGCTCAGACCCACGAACTTCTCGATAAGTGGCCGCTCGGCATAGGTTGGCTCGATGTGATAGCTGTTGTGGGTGCCGACTACTTGGACTTGGTTCATGCGGAGCTCATTCCGGCTGCATTCAATAGGAATCGCGAATACATTTTGGAATTTAACTACCTGTGTCAGTATCGTTATCCGTGTGTTGACATGGCTTTAAGACTTACTGCTGAGAGCAAGGTAGCTCCAGAGACCGACTGTGAAAGCCATGTCGCCCAAAGAGATACTCTATTGGAGATCGAGAGACCAATTTCCAAACAAACTAGGCTTGGGATACCGCAATGTCTGTGTAACAACGCCGAAGCCCTTTTATGTACGTCCCGAGCTGTAGTACACCAGCATATCACTACAACATGATTTTAATATTCACGAGGGAGGAGGTCATATACTTTATCAGAACAGCACACCACACTAATGTTACCTAGGTAATGAGCAGACTAGGTGTTATGGTGACCTTGAGTCCTGCGCTAAGGCCCTACGGGGGTTTTTTTTAAGGCACTAACTGCACTTCTTACAGATACTATCTGTAAACATGTATTTTAGACTGATTTTCTATCTATAATTTAGTTAATTATTTATATTTTTTTCAGCTAGATTCTCTAATTCTGATTGATTTTTAAGGATTTAGAGTAAAAATACAGAAATTACTTATAATTTAAGGGAAATATAGCTATTATCTGTATTTTAAGAGTTTTCTAACTAATAAAGTTAATTTCCCTCCTCCTATTTCCCCTCCCTTTTTTCTTCCCTTCCTATTGCCTACTCTCTCTCTCTCTCTCTCTCTCTCTCTCCTTTCTCTAAGGTCTCTCTTCTTCCTCTAAGGTCTCCCTCTAAGGTCTCCCTCCAAGGTCTCTCTCTAAAGGTGTAGGTCTCCCTCCAAAGGTAGGTCTCCCTCCAAAGGTAGGTCTCCCTCCAAAGGTAGGTCTCCTTTCCGAGTGTTCCGAAAGTGGGTAGAAGGTTTATATTTAACTTTGAATTGAAACATGAAAAGTCCGAGTTACTTAAACTCTTATACCCTTAATAAACTCTAAATTATCTACACTTTTTAGACATACTTGTAGCAGATATTATCTGAATTTTATTTGTATTTTACTACTACTAAGAATACAGATACTTTACAGACGTTATCTGCATGAAAAACCCCGTAGGGACGTCAAGAACGGGAGCGGGAGTGGACTGCCAAGCTTTACCCCTCCTCAGCATGACAACACGATGAACAGGTGTGCTTACCTAGCGTAGTTTATTTCTATCCCCTTAAGCGGTGGAACGCCTTTTAGCGTCTTAGCGGGTTCCCCACTAAAACTGAGGGTAAATAAACTATATAAATAAACTAAATAATTGTTATTCTACACTATATAAAATATAGTGCAAGCCTATATAACCTATTATTTCTAATTCTACTAACCTTATAACTACTTAGCTAGCTTTACTACTTATTAAAAAGACCGGAATAGGCTTTATACTTATAGAATTACTTAATTTCCTCTCTTTAATTAACCTCCTTCTATACTTTACTCTCTTTAATACTTAAGGTATATTCTTACTGTTTTCTATAAGGAAATTATCCGAATTATTTACTAGAATATAAATTAGTATATAGATCTTAAAATTAAAGCTTTAAAACATGATTTAGACTTACTATTATATGCCTAGATCTATAGTTAGTACCTTATAATAATACCTAAAGTATATAAATATATTAGAATACGTATATATATATATATATATATATAGGAATCTATTAAGAAAATCAGTTAAGGGATTATTAGAGATTAAGGGATAATTAGTAGTTAGATTACTCTGTTTTAAGTGTTATAAGCTTTAAGAGGTATAACGTAATTTATATAACATTCTATATATCTACTACTAATCCGAATTATAAATTTAAGGCTATTTCTAAAAGAATAAGCCTTATTCCTTTATATTCAGATAACTTACTAATTACCTAAATAGTTAGAACCTTTAAATACTTATATTTAAAAGGTCTTTTAAGCATATTAGTTTCTAGGGCATAACATAGCTATTAATAAGACTATAGTCCAGTTCTAAGGTTATTCCTTTAATATACTAAAGATTCCTAGTAAGTGTTACGGATAATATATCTTATCTTAAAATATAATATAATAGTAGAGCTCTTTACTAATATAAATTGTTACTAATTCCCTGCCCTCCTAGTACTCTCCTAGCTATATTCCGCGTATAATACTATAGATATATTAACTATTAAAAGAAGGTTAGTAAGAGATCGTATAAATTCGAGAGTTCTAGTAGCTTAAAGTACTAGTATTATATTAAGAATAAAAATAAATACGAACTTATAAGTATCTCTCTTTTAAATCTTATCTATAACTCTTCTAATTATAACCCTTAGTTACTAATAAAAGTAGATCCTAGTTTATATAGCTAATAAATATTATACTTTTATTAACGCTTTTACTAGTAGAGACTAGATTATTATTAAGGAAGCTACTACTGCCCTTTAAAATATTATAACTATTACTAAAGCTCTTATACTAAAAGATATACTATTAGCTATATTAGTTATATTAGCGGAGATATATACTTTATATAAGAAGATAGTTAGAATTGTAGAATAAAATATTATAAGTATTTCCTCTCTTTTAACTGATTCTTCTTACTTCCCTTTATAAGATATAATCTAATAGCTTATATTATAGGAGATTCTTATAGCTTTATAGTATTTAAGAATTATTAATAAGAAGTGAAAAGCTCTATTAGATAGTCCGAGACTATTAAAGCGTTATAAAAGGATAAGTACTTATAAGATTCCCGGAGATAGTTTAAAGAAGGGTTTAACTAATAATCCTAGTAGTTCTAGTTTAAGTAGTAGCTTTATACTAATTAATTAGCCCTTTAAAAAGGAGGAGAGTAATAATAGTACTTTAGTACTTAATCTAACTCCTTTACCTTCTTTTCTTTAAGAGGAAGAAAAAGTTATAAGAGTTAATAGTCTTAAAAAGAATAATATATAGAAGTAAAGGGAGTTCCGGCCTTATTTCAGATTAGTTTTATAGTTAATTCTTTATAGTAGTATCTTTTTTATACTTTTTATATAAGAGTAGCCCTTTATAATAAAACTAGTAATTAGTCTTTATTAGAGTATTATTATAAGGCTACTTATTAGCGCTTTAAATTAAAAGGTAATTATCTTAAAATAAAAGCTATTCTTATTACTATATCTTACTTAATTATAAAGAAATAAATAAGTAATAAAAGAGAGTTATAAGGAAATTAATATAGGAAAAATAAGTAAATATATTAAAACGCTTCTATTATAAGTCTAAATTAACCTCAGTTAACCTTTTAACTTACCTTTTTATCTTTACTATTAACTAGTTAGTATTAATAAACTCTTAAAGAGCTTTATTTAGATTAGCCTTTATTATAGCGTTAGTAGAGTTACTTACTCTATTAATCTATTATATCTCTATTAGTTCTTTACACTTATATAATTAATAAATAGCTATAATATTAATTATTAAATACTTCTTCTTTATAATACTAAGCTTAATAATATATTTATAAAGAGATAAAGAATTAGTATAAACTATAGTAGGAAGCCTTAGGAGGCTTAGCTTATTAGTTACTATATTCACTATAGTTATTAGAGATATTAATATATTAATCCCTACTATTATAGTATATAAGTCCGAAGCGAGTATTACTTAAGTAACTCTCTTATACTTTATAAAACTTATATATTAGGTTACTAAATAGAGAGAATCCCTGAAACTCCTTTAATTCAGTTCTAATAGCTAGTATAAAACTAATCTAAGAGCTAAGGTTTTTATTATTTATAAAAGGTCTATTAATAAAGGCGTAGATCTTTATAGAATATAAGTCTACGGGAATATACTATAAACCTCTCCTTTAGTTCTCTATTTATTACTTAAGATATAAATTTAAGGCTTTAATATTATTAAGAGTTAAGTTTTAGTATTATACTACTACTAATAAGTCGAATATAGCTTCCGGTTAATAGATTATTATAAGATAAGCTCTATAACCTTATTACTTTATATAAGCTTTCTTATAATCTCCCTTAGTAATATTAATTTACTTAAGCCTTACTTCTTAACCCTTCTAAGATATATAGAGGTTATCCTCTCTTATACTAATAATATACCTATTAAATATTAGTAATTCGGATTAGTTTAAGACTTATATTAGTTTAGTTATAAAGCTAGCCTAATTAATCGCTTCTTATTCCTTTACTAAGAATATCTTATCTCTTAGAATAAGAGTATTATCTATTTATATTCTTATAATTCTGAACTTATTAGTTTCTTTAGTACTTACTAAGAGGTATAAGTTATAAGTTAATATCTCTATTTAAAAGCTCCTTATATAATACTTATAATATATTTTAAACTAATAGTTTCTAGACTTAGATATATTATATAAAAGAAGTACTATTATAAATATTATACTAAGTAGAAACTTATTAGTAATCTCTTCTAGTAGTTATATAAATATCTTATAAAAAAGCTTTATTACTACTTAAGTATAAGCTTAAGTAATATCTTATATTACTAGCTTTAATTTAGAGTTATTCTAAATGTATTTCAGATAGCTAAGTACTATAACTAAGTATATAATAAGCTTTTAACTAATCTATTAGATTATTAGTAATTAAGTTAAAATCTCTTATTTACTCTTATTATTAAAGTATTAAATGATAAGCTTAGATTTCTTATATAAGCTTATTATCTTCTTACTTTTAACTTTATCTACTATTCTAAACTTAAAGATCTACTAGCTTTTTACTTTAAAGTTATCTTTATAAATAGAGATAAAAATACCTCTTTTAATAAGAGCTTTATATTCTACTTAATAGGATCTTTAGAATAGTAGTCCTAAGGTTATAGTCTTACTCTTTAATTATAGTTTAAGAGAAAGCTTTTAATCTCTTATCTCTTTCTTTATTAAGAATACCTTAGTATTATATATTACATATATCTTAGTATTATAATTATTATTAATTATTAGTAATCTATTAATCTAGTTTATAAATAGGATCTTAATATAAATAAGTTTTATTAGAATATAAAGGGATTTAGGCTAGATATCATATGTACTACTAGGCTAAAAATAGCTTAGTTAGAGGCACTTAACTCTTTATATACTATAGCTTCTTTTAAAGAATATACTTCTTAAGAGTATAGTTTATAACTTATATCTATTCTCTTCTTATTATAGTAAGATTATTAGATCTTAGCTATCTAGAATTAGCTTCTAATTATAATTGAATAATTTAAGCTTTTTCTTCTTATGAAATTTATAAGGTTTAAGCTTATCTAATAAGCGAGGAAAGCGATTAACTATATAAAACTAAATATAAGTCTCCGGGTCTATCTTTAGCTTTCTAATTTCTAACCTCCTATTATATATAATATATAATCTCTTAATAGCTAAACTTTCTAAGAGCTACTTTATATAAAGACTTATATATCTTACTATTAATTGTAAGTAACTATAGTAAACTCACTAAAATCCTAGTATCTTACTTAAGAGCTTTATTA